TACAGTGAATGAATTAAAAATGGTGTGTCCCATCCCTCCCACTCTTCTGCTGCTTGCCGGAGAAGTAGAATCAAAAGAAAAGCTAGAAAAAGGGAAATATCACATTATTCAGTAATTCTGCAAGTGTATTACACCATGAACTCAGCTGCCCTGATAAAGAAAAAGTGATTTATGTGCGTTATGTGTGTGATATAACACTGCATCAAGAGATGGCGACGTGGGGTCCTGTTTTTCTCTACCTGTTTTCCCTGTTTAAATTGACGGCGCTTTAAACTGAAATGCTTCTTTGATGTGTCTAGATGCAGCCCTATCATTGAGAAATATTTCTTGTTAAAAACAAGGGGAATCTAGGAAAGAGTAGATGTATGGAAGTGAGAGCTGGACTATAAAGAAGGCTGATCGCTGAAGAATTGATGCTTTTGAATTACAGTGGTACCTCGGGTTAAGTACTTAATTCGTTCCAGAGGTCCGTTCTTAACCTGAAACTGTTCTTAGCCTGAAGCACCACTTTAGCTAATGGGGCCTCCTGCTGCCACCGCACCGCCGGAGCATGATTTCTGTTCTCATCCTGAAGCAAAGTTCTTAACCTGAAGCACTATTTCTGGGTTAGCGGAGTCTGTAACCTGAAGCATATATAACCTTAAGCGTATGTAACCCGAGGTACCACTGTATGGTGCTAGAGGAGACTCTTGAGAGTCCCATGGACTACAAGAAGATCAAACCTATCCATTCTTAAGGAAATCAGCCCTGAGTGCTCACTGGAAGGACAGATCATGAAGCTGAGGCTCCAATACCACCTCATGAGAAGAGAAGACTCCCTGGAAAAGACCCTGATGTTGGGAAAGATGGAGGGCACAAGGAGAAGGGGACGACAGAGGATGAGATGGTTGGATAGTGTTCTCGAAGCTACCAGCATGAGTTTGACCAAACTGCGGGAGGCAGTGGAAGACAGGAGTGCCTGGCGTGCTCTGGTCCATGGGGTCACGAAGAGTCGGACACAACTAAACGACTAAACAAGGAAAGAGTAACCCGGTTTATAAGATTCCCTGAAAGTAAGCCATTGATTTCAGTAGGGGCCACAATGTTCAGAGTTTCTGAATACTGGTTGCAGTTGAAACTGCAGGCGGAGAGAAGGCTCTTCTACTTGGGTCCTACTTGCAGGCTTGCTGCAGACAACTGGCTGGCCACAATTAGAATCGGATGATGGGTTCAATGGGCCACTGGCCTAATCCAAAAGGCTCTTCTTATGTTCTTTTGCACACAAAAACTTTGCGTGCATGTAGAGGAAGAGATTACACATGGCAAATGCCATGCAAATTAACACCATAGAGGAAAACGCACACTCCTGTTGTTAAGTTGTAGGTGAACATATCAAACGACACAGCGATTCTTCAAACAGCTCTTGTTTATTCACAGGCCAGAACAGAACTGAACTGAACTGAAGGGTTCAGCCAGCCTGCTTATAAGGAGCTCCAGTACAACACAACTGTAACAACTTTCCATAACTATCCAATCACTGAACTTCACTTTCAATCCCTTATTTGCATATGTGGACCTGAGTGAAAACTATCTACACTATCCCCCTGCTGGCCCAGGGTGAGAACTTCAGTACATAACACCTGTCTTGTGAGAAACAAGGCAAAACTGTTGCATTTAGGATATAAGAACCTGTGTGAAACAGTATGGAAAAGCAACCACTTAAGGCAGCCTTTCCTCCTGACAATTAACTATTTTCTTTTTTAATTGATTTGAGCGCATGGAATATGGGATATTCTCTACTTTAGAAATACCAAAGGCATAAAATGGTTTCAAAACTGAATTAAGCTGAAACCTCATCAGAAATTTGGAACTTCCATTCCCCCCCACACCTTTTAAAAATATGTATTAGCATGCCTGTCCTGAGCATGCTTTCAGTGGATTTCAGCTTCCATTGCTAGAATGGATAGCTGTAATAGTTTCAGCCTGCAATACAACTTATTTGCTACCTTTGGACCTGTGGAGAAGGGTGGCTTTTACATCTATGTTTGATCACATTTGCTGCAGACAGGAGGGAACCACCACGTCTGTGCAGTCATCCTTTCAGTCTTAACCCCCCACTACTTATTCTAGAGCAGCCTCTCTCAACCTTGGATCTCCATATGTTGTTGGACTACAACTCCCATCATCCCTGGCCACTGGCCAGGATGATGGGAGTTGTAGTCCAACATCTAGGAATCCAAAAGGCTGTTCTAGAGGATTTATTTTTCAATTTAGAGCATTTGGGTGGGCCAGATGCAGCCCTCATAATCTTGCCCTCAAAACTCTTCCCGAGCTGCACCCCTCATTGGGTTTGCTTTGCACCCGGAATGTTTTTGCCTGGCTGGAATGCATCCTAAAATTGTGATGATGACTCTCAGTTGCCTGGATGCAGGTTAGAGAAGGGTGCATGCAGAAATTTGCCTACTGAACAAAGAAGAAGAAGAAGCGTTTGGATTTGATATCCCACTTTATCACTACCCTCAAGAGTCTCAATGCGGCTAACAATCTCCTTTCCCTTCCTCCCCCACAACAAACACTCTGTGAGGTGAGTGAGGCTGAGAGACTTCAGAGAAGTGTGAGTAGCCCAAGGTCATCCAGCAGCTGCATGTGGAGGAGCAGGGAAGTGAACCTGGTTCACCAGATTACGAGTCCACTTCTCTTAACCACTACACCACACTGGCACTGGCTCCACCCACTTTTCCTCTGGCCCCGCCCACCGCTGGCATGTGGCTCTCAGAAGCTTCCCTAGAAGGGAACGCAGCCCTCAGGCTGACAAAGGTCCCCCACCTCTGATTTAAAGATTTGTGTCTATTCATCTTCCTCTGAAGTTGCAAAAGCTCGTGCATCTCATTACAGTTAATTGCCTGGCATAGAATGGACAGCCAAGTGCTGTCAGCACATGCTTGTGGATTTAACATTGCATAATGAAGGCGTGAGGTGTCTTGTAATGAATCAACAGAATCCTCAAGATGTAAAGAGCTATGCCAGCAGAGAGTGTGAGTCATACAATGACTATGGCAAAGTGCTGTTGTGTTATATATATATATATATACACACACACCTCTTCATAAGTTAATCACATGCCCTTTTAAAATGTGTTTTTTGGGGGGGGCGTTATTGGGTTGTTGTTTTTATTTTGATTATATATTTTGTGGTTTTATATTTTGATTTTGTTCTGCGAACCGCCCTGAGACCTCTGGGTATAGGGCAGTATATACGGTAAATTCAATAAATAATAATAATGATGATCACATGGCAGCTACAGGCTGTGAGTCAGCATTCCTTGACTGTACGCAGGATCTGTATACCGTAGTTTTGGATTTATTTATTTTTATTTTTTAAAAAGAGTGAATTGTTTAGTATTTGCTTTGATAACTATCATCAAGAACTTTGGTAGAATGTGAAACTTAAATATATAGTAATAGATTAGACATCTGCGTGTATCTAGAACCGTTTGCAGCCCAACACTATAAATATTTACTCAGAAGGAAGTTCTACAGTGTTCAATGGGGTGGGGTTACTTGTTGCCTGGGACAGCTAACCTATGCATACCTACCTACCAGCAAGTAATAGCAAGGAAGAGCCTTTGAAAATGGTATGGCTCACCTCTGAGCATACATGCATAAGGCTAGGCTATGATTAGGTATATCTGTTCATCCAACTAGGCCAAACTCGTATTGTGAGCTCTGTAAGTAATGAACACAAACAATGCAAGTCTACCTGTTGTATGAAGAGGTACTTTCTGCATTTACAGAGAGACCCACCCTCCTGATTATGTGTACTCAGAAATAAGCCCTACTGCCGCTGGTTTTGTTTTCAGGGTTGCAATATTAGACTTCTAAGATACGATAAAGGTTTGGCTGCAATCCTATGCACGCTTAACCTGAGAGTAAGGAACTACTTCTGAGTAGACATGCACACAATTGTGCTGTTAAGACTGCAATTGCATGCATGCACAGTGCAATTCCAAATTGTGTCTCCTCAAAAGTAAGCCTATTGAATTCACTGGAGCATACTCCCATTAAGTAGGGTTAGCACTAGAGTCTTGTCTGGGAGTGAGCCTTCTTCAGTGGTGTTTACTTTCGAACATCCATACGCAGGCTTAGATTGTGACCCTAACTGCTTGGGGAAGGGTAATAGAATCTGATTTGGGAAAGACTCTGCCAGTCAGTGTAGACAATACTGAGCTAGATGGACCAATAGTACAGCTTATTTTGAGTTTCCTAGGTTAACTTACCTGGGTGTAAGTTCCATTGAAATCAACAGGGCTTACTGCTGAGTAGCCAGAGTTAGGATTACAGACGTGCAGTGTTAAGGCTGCAACCCTTTGCAAACTTGGGGGAGTTAATCAGAATAAAACAAGAGAGGGCTTTGCTTCCAAACACACATGCACAGCTGCTGCACCACCTTAAAACGGAAGAGATGAATAGGCTTTAATGCAATGCAAAAGAAGAAGAAGAAGGAAAAGGAAAAGGAGTGAACATAACCTAAGAACGTAAGAATAGGCTGCTGGATCAGCCAGTGGAGTTCCACAGTTTAACTCTGCACTTCTTTCCCATGTCCTGAATCTTACAACATTCAGCTTACTTGGAAATCTTCTGTTATATGAGCTCTTGCATTTATTTTATTTTATTTTTGCAGCTGAGTTTTATGTCATAGCTGTCAACTTTTCCCTTTTCTTGCGAGGAATCCTATTCGGAATAAGGGAAACGTTGACAGCTATGTTTTTATGTGGCAATGTTTATTTTGATACTGACGAGGGTGTTCTGCTTAGTTAAGCTTTACAGAACGTAGAAATTATCTCCTTTTTGTTTTGGTATTTACTGTTTATTTAAGATGTAAACCGCTTAAGAGTTTTGCTTAACTACGAGCGGTATATAAGTGGTCGAAATAAATAATAAATAACAAAATGAGAGAGAGGAGGGTGGAGAGTAACTTTCCCCAGTCCACTTTCTCTATGCATGATTTCGAAAACTTCTACCATGCTGCGCCGCCTCCCCCCCCCGCCCCGCAAACGTTGCATCATGCCGATTTCCTTCGTAGGGGAGTCGCTCCATCCCCTTGACCCTTTCGACGGACTTCTCTGGACCTTCCCTGGCTATGCAAGCCAAGCACCCCACCCCACGCCGTGCAAAGACCCTCCGTGCAACACACTAGGGATGCGCAACGCCCCGTGCCTGGCCAGCCCCTCCGCAACGCTCAGGATGCTTCGCAAAGCATCCCTCTCTCGCCTTTTTTAAAAAATTTGCATGGCCACGCCCCGTACTGAGCACGCCATTGGCCGAAGCCCCCTTCGCCCCAGCGAGCGTGCGGCATGCGCGCGCGCGCGCCGTTGAGGCGGGTGTGTGTGTGCGCGCGCGCGTGGAAGAGACGATGCTTGTGTATCTGCGGAGCCGCTCTCTCCCTCTCTCATTAGCATAGGCCGCGGCCTATTGGTGGGCTTTTGGGAGGAGAGGGACGCGGGGCGGGCTTAACGTCGTCACGGCCCTTTGGCGGGGCTGGATTGGAAGCTCCCCGGTTGCCTGTCAAAGAGGGTTGAGGGCGGGGTTGAGGGCGAGGGAGATCGCGAGGGAGAAGGGGGTGAAAACGACGACGACGACGAAGAAAAAGAGGGTCCCACTTCCGCCTTGGTGTCAACCGGGTCTCGTGAGGAAGCGAGCGAGCGCGCGCGCCGCGAGAGGCCGGTGCCAGGTAACCAACCGCCGAGGGCGCTTAACCGTCGCCGCTGCCGCCGTCCTTCTGGTCCCTCACCTCCCGACCCGGTTGGGCGCCTGGCACTGAGGGAAACAGCTGGAGCCCCACAGCGGGGCGAGGGGGACGGGTGGGCCCAAAAAAACAACCTTCTCCCGCTCCGCCTGAGGAGAGGGAGCCAGAGGAGCTACTTGTGAGGAGGAGAGCGTCGAGGCTTTGCCCCCCCCCCCTTCCCTCACAGGGCCACTCTGAGGGAAGAAGAGGCCCTTTCCTTTTCGGACCCGTCAGGCTCGTTTCGGAGAGGGGCGGTGAGGGGCCAGACCCGCGCATTCCCTCCCCTAGGGAGGGCCGTGGCTCCGTGGCCGGGCAGGTGCTTCGCACCCAGTAGGGTGCCCCGGGCTCGGTCCCTAGCGCCTCAGTCCCCGGTAGGGCTCGGGGTGGGGTGGGGGGACGAGATCCGGCCTCCTCGTGGACTGTACCGAGAGCCAGCGCTAGCCTGACTTGCTTCCCTATCGGGCCGCAGCTCAGCGGCAGAGCATCTGCTTTGCATGCAGGAGGACCCAGGTTCGGGGCCCAGAGCCTGCAGGTAAGGTGGTTGCTGCTTCTGCTGCTGCCAGTCCGTGTGAGCTGGGATATAGGTGTCAGTTTCCTGGGTGCCCGAGCACACATAAAATTCCCCATGTAGGGGCTGCCCCCCCATGTCAGCAAAAATCAATAAAAATACTTTAAAAACTGAGGTTATGCCCACCCTAACAAAAATCCTGGCATGGCACCACGGCCCTAGGCACCCATGGTCGTGGGGCCTAGCTGGCACTTCTGGGCTGGGCTGAGATGGGCCAGTGGTCTGTCTCATTGTAAAGCAGTTTCTTATGCTCCTGTTTGCCTCTCCTACTCACTCCTAGGTTGATATGTTATTTGGAGGGAGGAGGGGGGTTTTTTTGCCCCTCATACAGCCACTGTGTTGTTGAAGGGTTCAGACTCGCCCTTTACAGACACACATATCCATCGACATTTCAGCACTGCCCCCCCCCACATTCCCGCAAGTCCAAGCAAGCATTTCCACTTCTCTGCTTTTGAGTTGGGTTGCCAACTTCCTTATTTGTGTGTGCGTTGCTGGGGTTCCTGCTCCTGTGCTCGGAACAGCATCTTGATCTGCAGACATTTATTAGTACCTCTGTACATGCTGATCTCTGCATATTGAAAAATTTCATCTGCTGATTTCTGCAGATAAGGTAGTTCTGGTTGCAAGACTGCTGAGGGCCATAGGTGCCAACTCCCTGGAGCCATCATGAGAGGCTGGTTGTGTTTTTGAATTATTTTTTCAGCTCAGCTGATAATCCTGGTGCTGAGTGCATGATTTGGCCTTGTGGCTGTGGTAAGGAACCATTTTTAGATGGAGGGCTGCATTCTCATCTGGGCAGTCTGGGATGGGGGGTGCACATATGCTCTGTCAGTGCCAGAGGGAAAAGTTGGTGAAGCAATGAATTTACATTTTACCTTTCTACAGTCAGTTTCTACACATGCACACACGCCCCCTCTGTCCAGGCAATCAAGAAACATGATAAAAGTTCTAGGACACATTCTAATGAGACAAAAACAATGAAGGAGTTATGAAGTAGGACTGGTGGAGTGGTGTGGCCTGTTAGAGTTTTGACAACTGGATAGAGAGGCCTGCATGATAACAATCAGCCTCTGGGCCCATATGTTCCCCAACTGTGACTTAAAACTTCCTCAGTGTTCTTGCTCTGCATTGCGCCATTTACCTTAGGACAATGTTTCTCAGATTTGGATCTCCAGCTGTTGTTGGACTACAACTCCCATCATCCCTGACCATTGGTGCTGCTAGGGATAATGGGAATTGTAGTCCAACAACAGCTGGGGTTTCAGGTTTGAGAACACTGCCTTAGGCAAAAGGAACCCTATGTGATCTTTTAAGTTTGTAGATGTGGTATCTCATCATAAGCCTGAATGCACCCTGCTATTCATCCCTCCTTTTGGGGATAGAGGAACCCCTTCATGAATGTGTGGCTATATTTCTTTGATGGGTTTATACTCACTAGATTGAGGTGGTGAACAGATTCTAATTGTCATCAAAACTGAAATTTCACCTCTGGAATTTGGACATTTAAGATGTGACATTTTTTCTTAGAGGAAGAATTGCACCTTTCCCAATGCAAGGAAGAAAGCAGAGAAAGGAGAATAGCAAATATTTCACATCTTTTGGCACTAAAGCCAAAAGTGTGTAGTTCATTACAGGTCAAGGAAGGGAACATCCCTGTCTGTAATTGTGGGACCTAATTTGCTACCAGTGCTGTGGGGATAGACCTCAACATTCATTTATTGGAAGTATATATAGGCTGCCTTTTAGTGTATAACCCTCACAATGTGGCGTACAACAATGATAATGAGATATACAGTGGTACCTCGGGTTACATATGCTTCAGGTTACATATGCTTCAGGTTACAGACTCCACTAACCCAGAAATAGTACCTCAGGTTAAGAACTTTGCTTCAGGATGAGAACAGAAATCATGCTCCGGCGGCACGGCAGCAGCAGGAGGCCCCATTAGCCAAAGTGGTGCTTCAGGTTAAAACAGTTTCAGGTTAAGAACAGACCTCCGGAATGAATTAAGTACTTAACCCGGGGTACCACTGTATTAGGATACATTTAATGTATCAAAAGCGTAAGAAGGCAAAATTGTGAAGAAGCATGGAGCATCAAGAATCAATAGCATAAACACTGTTAAAGGCAGTCTGGAATACGAGTTTTCTGGGCATGCATTAAGGTTTGCACTAAATGTGTAGTAGTGCAATAGGAAGTGAGTTCCACAATTGCCAGGTCACCACCAAGAAAGCCCTATCTTTTGCACCCATCAACCAAACTAATTTTATTGGTGAGTAGGTTTGAATGAGTGAAGACTACTTTAAAAAAACAGCCCTGGCCCCAAATCATTAAGGGTTTAATAGTCAGACAGTCTTGCCTGGAGGCAGGAGTCATTCCTGGGGTTAGGTTTGTTGCCCTTCTGTTTGTTGCTGACAACTTGCCTTGGCCTACTCCAGGGTGTAACTTGATGTATCAGTGACAACAGAAACCATTTCCTTCCTCTGAAGAGAACTGGGTGGAGAGACTTTTGCCTGGGGAATAGCCTATAGCACTGTAGGGGGTAATAGACCTCTAGATTTGTTTATAACATCTGCTGCCCTGTCCCTTCGACTAATTCACTTTAGACTGGAGATACACTAAGATAATTAACTTCCTTGTACCTTGGGGTGTGGCAAGTCCCTTGTCCCTTCTAACTTGGAGACTGCCTCTGGCTCTAGTGAGACTATCTTGCATAGGAGCAGAAATGACCTCCTATTTGGATACTGTATCTTGTTCCTTATTGCATAGCTGGCCATTCTTCCTGCAGTTTGTGAGACTATTTGGAACATGTGAATGTAGTTGCCATCTATATCTCTGGCATAATTGAGGGTTTTAAACCAGTACACACCCATTGGCAGCAACGGATATGTTTACTTCTTGTAGAGATGGTGAAATAGGAAAATTATGCCTCCTGCTTCACCTCCAACCTGAATTGTAACTAAATATTTGAAAATGTGAAGATTTGAAAATATCAAATGGTGAGACTTGGTTTTGAGTCACCTGTTTAGGGATAGGTAAGGTGGTGAAAATCAAAGAGAGGGCTATTATCCTAAATGCACTTGATATTTCAGATTGGTTTTGTTCCATCTTAAAGTATAGAACAATTGCTTCATCCCTAGTTTAGAGATTAGACTTTAACTTTATTATCTGGATCTTCTGTTCCCTGAAGATATGAAGGAGAGACTTGCATTTTAGATAAGACAGGAGGCTGCTTTCATGTGGTATGAAAGTAGAAACCCTAATATATCACATGCTCCTTGTCTTGGAAGATACTCATCTTCCTAAATAGATGCTCATCTTCCTAAATGGAGAAAAGAGTATGTAAAATAAGAGTTTTATGGTGGGTCCTACAAATGGGATAATCTACCCTGGAATTTAGAAGTGGGAGAAAAACCAACTGCTGTGATTTGTTGACCCTACTAAAATCCAGTCGGGTGAATGTTTAACACCTCTTACTGGAACGAATCCCTGTGACGGGTGAGCTCCCGTTGCTCAGTCCCAGCTCCTGTCAACCTAGCAGTTCGAAAGCACGTCAAAGTGCAAGTAGATAAATAGGTACCGCTCTGGCGGGAAGGTAAACAGCGTTTCCGTGCGCTGCTCTGGTTTTGCCAGAAGTGGCTTAGTCATGCTGGCCACATGACCCAGAAAAACTGTCTGTGGACAAACGTCAGCTCCCTCAGCCAGTAAAGCGAGATGAGTGCCACAACCCCAGAGTCGTTCGCAACTGGACTTAACTGTCAGGGGTTCTTTACCTTTAATGGAACTATATGGACCACCTCTGTTGCAAAGTATGAACACAAGCAATGATAATCTTTGTAGTTATGCAGTAAAGGGAAGTGTGAATAGACTCCATAGATTGTGTTAATGGCTATTATGCACTATTTCTACTGCTTTAGGGTGCCACCCTAGATCCGCTGGGTTGAGTGAGTTAGGATGTGTCGAATCTCCAGTTTAGCCAGCAAATACCTAGTTCAGCTGGTATAAGTCCCCAACCCTGGCTAAGTTGGCTGAGCTGAGACTGGCATAATTTACACTGGCGTAAACTTTGCAAAATGGGTGTTGTGTGGGAGACTGGGCTGAGGGAACTTGTGCTGGTTCCTGACTTGGCTCATCTCAGTCATGTGACCTACCAGCCCAGTGGAACTTGCACTGGCAAAAAGTGTGGTCTCCTTTAGTGCAGCTATGAGGATGAGGCTGGAAACTTGTGGTTCTGTTTTCAGTTAACCACAGTGTAGTATAACATCCAAACTTAAATGTGCTTAATCCTAACTTTGATTTATTGAAACAAGCTAGCTTCATAAACCGCATAAACCCTGGTTTCAGTTGTGGAAGAATATTCCTATGCTATGAATGGTCCATGTCGCCATTAAGAAAAAGAGGTAGGAATAGGCCAATGTATATGTGGATGGTCCCTGGATAAAGTGACTTTTCTTTTTTGAGTTCTCAAAGTTCTTAACTAGCTCAAGGTTGTCATCTGAAGTAGCCAGATGCTTAACTGATAATCAATCACAGTCAGTCCATCATTTGAAAAATAAGAGTTTAGAGCTGGCTTGCCCCAAAATGGGAACTGGACATTCCATTTTGGTGACTGTAACCATGGTTTAAGGAGACATTTGGCACCTAGCTTACATATCTGAATTTCTGACACTGGTTATGCTGCAGGAGAAGTGGGAAGTGGAAAACAAGGGACCCCAAGACTCATTTGCATAACACTAAAATTTAAACCATAGGCCACATAAAATTTAAACCATTATTATTATTATTATTATTATTATTATTATTATTCTGCCTTTCATTTCAAGAATAATGCAGTCAGTGTGTTTGTGACTATGAATGAGGTTTACAGCTAAAACTATTCTGTACAGTTGAAAGGGTTAGATATGGAGATGACGTGAGATATTTTATGATGACAAGCAACACCTTGGATTTTGCAGTGCAGTGTCAATTGCAAAATTCAGTTGTTTTAGACAGCAGTTAGGCATTCTGAATTCTGTTGAAAGTTAATATGGCCAAAGTATATAGGATGTCTGTGGAGCTAATATGAATACTCTTATGGTGAGCTTCCTGGGCAATGCAGAATGTATGTATACTGCAGCTTGCTTTGATGTATTATCTGAAGCTTGGCATATGAGGAGAAGAAGCAATTGTGCAAATAATGTGTTAGATTTAGTTATTGCTGCCAAATCCCAGCCATCCCAAAGTGTTTGATATTGATGTATGGCAGGGGTCAGCAACCTAAGGCCCATAGGCCACAAGCAGCCCATGGGGTTTGTTTAATTGGCCCATGAACCCCTGCCGCCTGCTTGGGGACCCCTGCCGCCCGCTCAGTTGGCTCCCATACTCTGTGCTAAACCAGCATGGAGCAGAGCGGGTACTGCCTTCCGCGATGCTGGCTGGCTTCTCATTGGCTGCAGCAAGCTCCAGTGGGAAACTGTGTGCGCCTCCTCCACACCAGAAGGAGCGTCGGAAATAGTGTTTGCGCATGTGCGCACACACACACTCCGGCCCACTGCGGCGTCTGCGGGACCGTGAACCGGCCCAAGTCACAAAAACTTTGCTGACCCCTGATGTATGGAATATTGTTGCAACAGAGAACCTATCTTCTGCAGTGTGAACCCTTCCCGCCTCAGAGGTGTAGGGGCGAAACTGAAGAACCTGGTCTATCTTTTGGGAAGGTCACTGTGTAATATAACAAATCTATGCAATATTATTTATTTGTAAATTTCTGTACTCTTCCTCCTCAACCCCAAATTAATAAATCAGTAAAATATTACATATAATCAAGGACCATATATACAAAGAATAGAAGGTAATTGATATGCATAACTAAAATCAGGAGGAATGAAAAGTAAGGACACTTGAGCAGTTAAATCCTTATGGAAGGATTTCTGCATAATCTGTGCTGGGGGCGCCGGGCAAATTGCTTGAAAAGCTCATCAAATTTTATATCTGTATAAACCTCACTTCAGAGAGGCTTTTTCTGGTATCTCCATCATTCTGCCTATTTCTTATTGATGGGGCTAGTTTTACTTGCCTGCTTCTCTTGGGCGATCTGTATACTTAGCCGAGCCTGAGTTTAAGGATGTGCAACCATATATATATTAAGCAGAAGAGCTACTGTGGAAGTGTACTCACCGTGTTTCATTCATATGTATGATTTTTCCAGCACTGAACTGCATATTTGGGCAGAAGTGGGTTGTATTCATTTTTACAAGAAGATGGCTTTAGTGGTGTTTTCTTGAAAATTTTGAACTGAAAAATGAAAACTAGACTAATTTCTTAGGGAAATAATAGATTCATAGAATTGTAGAGTCTCTTCCAACCCCCTGAAATGCAGGAACCATAACTGAAAATCTCTCATAGCTGGCCATCCAATGTCTATTTAAAAAACACCAATACATGTAACAGAGAGTCCACCATGTTCTAAGGTAGTCTGTTCCTCTGTCAAACAGCTCTTGTCATCAGAAAGTTCCAGTTTACATTGGAAAACTACCTGCTTTCCCATGTTAACATGTTTGTTTTATTTGTATTTAGAAAACAACATTGAAAGTATTCCCTGTTTTTATTTTGGTCCCAATACAATGCAAGTGTTTGACTTGAAATACAGTATTTGAAGGGGAAATTAAAACATACTTAATGTGGTTAAATGTTATATTGTGTAGACATTCTTATTCAAATACTTAAAAAAAGTAAAAGACAATAGCATGTATTTACCTTGTGTTGTTTAAATGGGGGGGGGATTAGTGATTGCTATTGACCTCCCATTTTTATTTTTCTCATTCCAATTTACAAAACAGTGCTATACATTTATTCTCTCACATGCTTAGTAGGGATAATCAGATGAAAATCATTTAATACAACTTACTGCCAACCTTGCCTAATATTGTATTTATAATTGGTATCCATTCATTGTGCCTAATGAACTTATAAAATGGCTATTTTTCCACCTCACATCATAGCATGGCTTAGATTACAAGCCTTAGAACTACAGTACTGGGTCCTTAGCAATGCACATATTTATGCTACTACAAGTGTCTCTCTGACTTCTCTGGATTACATGCCTTCTAAAAAATTCTCTTTCTTTCCTTTCACCCACAATCAATCAACCTGAGATTGTCTCAAGTAGGTTAGGAAAAACGGTTATTTCAATGCAACAGAAGGTTAGTTGATCACAGTGATGGAACTGGTGTGTATCTTGAACCCCTATATATGTTTTATACTCTGAGGAGGCATAGCACTTCCTATAATGCTGAGAGGCAAGATTATGAAAAGTATAAAAGGAGTGGAGTGTGTGTCTTTTGGTATGTGCCACATGCTTGTAATTTGCCACCAAATGTAGTAATGAATATACCTTAATATTGCTGTTCAGTGTCCTCTACTGATATTGTCATGCATTGGCTCATTTGCACTTTTTTCATTGGTCCTGCTTACACTAAAACCTCCTGATATTTGTTTCAGGGTTGCTGCTTGCATGCAATGGTAATTTATCTTTCTTATCTTTGCAAGGGCATCAGCACATCTGCACTGTAAGGTTGTTTTCAAGGGCTTGTTTTGTCACATTTCATGCTGATGCCAGTTAGTTAGGATTAATGTTAGGTTGAGATATGCAGTCATACCCAACTAACTTTTACTCAGAGTAGGCACATTGAAGTTAGTCGACCTAAGTTAGCCATGGCTGCTAATTTCAATGGGTCTGCTCTGAATAAAAGTTGAATGCAATCCTTGTTTCATTTTGGAATGGGAAGTAAAGGTAAAGGTAAAGGGACCCCTGACTGTTAGGTCCAGTCGCAAACGACTCTGGGGTTGCGGCGCTCCTCTCGCTTTATTGGCCGAGGGAGCCGGCGTACAGCTTCCGGGTCATGTGGCCAAGCATGACTAAGCTGCTTCTGGCGAACCAGAGCAGCGCACGGAAACGCCATTTATCTTCCTGCTGGAGCGGTACCTATTTATCTACTTGTACTTTGATGTGCTTTCGAACTGCTAGGTTGGCAGGAGCTGGGACTGAGCAATGGGAGCTCACCCCGTCGCGGGGATTCGAACCGCCGACCTTCTCATCGGCAAGTCCTAGGCTCTGTGGTTTAACCCACAGCACCACCCACGTCCCTGGAATGGGAAGTAGCCCTGACCAAATACTAGACTTCGAAAAATACCATGGGGCACATGGAGTAGCTCAAGATTGTAATCTGAACTAACCAGGTGTTTAACTGATAATCAACCACAGTCACCCTAGCCTATCTGAGTTTCTAACACTGGTTGCTCCTAAGTTTAATTGGTGTTAATCTCTTTCCTAGTAGGTTTTCCAGTTCCCTATGCATGGAGATTTTCCTAAGTCTGAACTCTAGATCGATTATTGATAAATGGATGTGCCTGTATGATTTGATTCCATTAAGACCTAGGCAGGGAAGAAGGCACCTGCATATTCCAGGGCTCTTATGTCTTATGCCTTTATAATCTATATTACTGGAGAGTTTTCTTACCCTGGGTATCTAAAAGTCAGCCTATCATACATTCATAGACAAAATGGAGTTCCCTTTGCATCGAGCTGCTAGAGACATGTTTAAAATGACAGAGAAACATGGTTCTCTGACAACACTGCCCTGAGTTCCTTTGGGAAAGGGCATGGTACTGATATGATAAATATTGGGTTGTATTCTGTGCTAGTCCTACTCAAGTATAGACCCATGGAAGTTAATGAACATGTCTAACTTAGGTTCTTTAATTTTACCTGGTCAACTCTGTGTAGAACTTAGATAAATGCAACCCAACATACTGAACCTACACTTTGTTTGATGGAAAGACTTTGACACAAATACTTATTTGTAGTGGTGTTTCCATCAATGCACAGTTTAATAATCCTGGCTCTTTCATAATTGGTATAAAATCAGCCAGATATGTAAGCTAGTTTTGTTGTCTGATATAGCATTTGCCTTTTCCACTGTGTGCAAAACACTCACTGCAGAGTTACTCCATCTCTGACCTAGAATGTTTCTCTCTCTAGTACTTCCTTGGTGGTTGTATGGTTGGGGGTCAACTCTAGAAGGCAGCCAGTTAGGCTCAAGCTTTGCTTGGTGTAGGCAGATTAGCATCTTTTCAGGGCCTCCTGTTGTTGGCAAATCAGTCTGTAATTTATGGCACTCTGCCCTTGAGCCATTCCACTTACATTAAAAAAGCCTCTTGTTGCTGAAACATTTTCCACATCAGCAGTCTTTAAAATAAATAAATAAATAAATAAATGCAAAAGAGCCATCAGAGAGCACCCCAACCCTGGAAAGAAATTTGATATGGTGGATATCCAGGTATTCTAAAATTGAAGTTAGGAAGAGTCTTTAGCACTGTCTGCAAAGTAAGTTTTAAATATATGTGTATCTCTCTTTTTTTTTTTATTACAACAAACAAACATATTGGGGACTTCCCTTTTCATTCATAATTTGAATCTTAAATTATGTAAAAAAAGGTAAACAAATTGACTTTCCTATATTGGATGTCTGGATTACCACATTATAGTTTTCCTTTTCTCTCAGTATGTTTGATGTTGTTTGCATTATGTCTTTACTTAAAAAAAAATTAATAAAGTTTCTTTTAAAAACATCTTACGTGAATTGAAGCAATGGCAGAAAAGTTAATGCATATATGCTTGCTGATAGTTTAGTGAAATATTTGGGGTTAGCCCAATTGTGTCTGTTTTGTAAGCAACCAGAATATAAATACTGCATTCAGCATAAATTTTAATTTCTAATCCTTAATAGCCATTCAATTGACTCTGCTTCTCTCACATTATCACTTTAGTCTAACTATATTAGGACGATAGCCTGGTTTCATTTAGAAGCAGAAGAGATGTCACAAGAGGGCTGGCTTTATTCTCTGGCTCCATTTTTAAAGACAAATAATAATTAATCATATTAAGACACTAAATATAGCGTATTGGGCTTATGGATATGGTTAAAAATATTGGTTGACATAGTTGCATGCAATCACTTCCTTAATTTTTAGCTTTTCTTTGTTGTGTAAAGCACTGGGCAGAGTGAAACACAGATTCTAAAAGCTTGCACTGTTAAGCCTTCCTGTGTCAAGAAACCACAGTGAGGAAGTTTCCATAGGTACTGTTATGTTGTAGTAATTCCAGAACTTGGAAGATCAAATTAGGATGGAAGAATTGGGGCATGCAGGTACCCAGTGGGCTTACAGTTAGGCAAAGTTCTAATGAGGAAGTGGTGATTCTTGATTACCCTTCAGCACTGTCAGTCAGTTCATCTATGCAACATACATTATTTGTAAATAAGAGCTCATTGGGAGGGGCAAATACTGAAACTGTCTCCTGGCCCACTTCTGTGGCTAGGAAATTGCCATTACCACCTTAAGAGCAGGTAAACAGCCTCAAATAACTTTGGCTTTGTAGTGGCGGAAAATGCCATCTCTAATACCATTTTAAAATTATACTAATATTTTTTATTTTTAGGTACTCACAGCTTGAGCAAAAGGTGTGAAGTATTTCAGTACAAATGACTGTCTACAAGTCCATCATATAATCAATGTTACAGTGAAATTTAATTTGACAGGTAAGATTCCTATTACACATATCCTTTGTATTAACTAGGCTATTTAATTTTTGAGCAGTGTTATCTAGTGGGCAAGAACTTGTATTCTTACCCAGCTGTTACTAGTTTATAAAGTTGAGAATGAGAATTAGGCCTCTCTGCCTTTGCCTCCTTCCATTGTTCTCTAGCTTTGGTGAGAAGATTCTGGCTTGTATCAAGCCAGAACCTTCCATTTGTTTGAAACAGGGAATTCTGGCTTAACGTCAAGTTACCAAAGCAGGAAAATAAGCCAGGATAATGGCCTGGAGGGAAGGGAAGAGAGCAGTAGTAAGGAGAGAGACACTTACGTAGTCTGGAATGATGATGTAAACTTGACCAATGTGCTTCTGTTTTGGAACCCAAGAGGCCATTTTACCCCATCAACTTTATATTATTGCAAATAGGTGGAAGTAACTGTACTAGTGTTCACACAATTGGGAAACCAAGGGAATTTGATTATTGATTGGGGATCGTGGTGAGATGAGGAAAAAACTTTTAATATATTTGAATTACCATCTGTTGAATTTATTATTTCAGCAACAGATGTACGTAGGTGATTCCCTACTTGGTAGAAGACCATTACACGATTATTAGTGTCTTTAACATTTTAAGGTAGTTGATAAGACTACTGACCCAAGCTTGAATTGACCTGACAAATGAATTAGGTAATGTTTTGGTGCTTTTGTTGAAAATATTCCTCTTTTTAAATATCAGTGCTTGACAAGTACCATATTTTTCGCCCCATAGGGTGCACCTAGTTTTTTTGGGGGGAGAAATAAAGGGAAAAAAATTATTTCCCCCCCCCCCCAGGCACGGGGCGGGGGAAGCCTGAGCTTCCCCCAACCCCAGCCCCCAGAACAGGCTGCTATCAGCAAGCCTTTGGAGCCCGGCGGGAATTCCCGCCGGGCTTGCAAGGCTTGCGGACATCTGCCCGAAGCCCAGGGTGTGCTCCGGAGCGTGCCCCGTGCTTCGGGCTGCAGGCTGCCGCCCGCAAGCCTTGCGAGCCCGGCGGGAACTTCCGCCGGGCTCCTAAGGCTTGCGGATAGCTTCCTGGAGAGCGAGAGGGGTCAGTGCGCACCGACCCCTCTCGCTCTCCAGGCTTCAGCGAAAGACTGCATTCGCCCCATAGGACGCACACACATTTCCCCTTCATTTTTGGAGGGGAAAAAGTGCGTCCTATAGGGCGAAAAATACGGTATCTGAAGTATAATGATTAAGAGTTAATTGTTAATTAATCATAGCTTAAAATGATCATAATGTGAGAATGTCAAACATTAGACTTCTGAAACTTTGACCTATATATCTCTTGGGAAATTTATTGCACTGTAACTAAAACAAAGCAAATCCCTTATGTAGGTACAGTGAAATAAACCTAAACAAAGCATACAAAGGTAAACTGAGTTCATAGCAAGTTTCCCCAAAGTAGAAAAATGCATAAAGACAGATTGGTGGTCATGTTGGGTTGCCCAGGTTGTAATTTGTGGGCAAGTGTTGTATCCAATATTGTATCCAACTGGTGTAATCTTTCTGGGTAACATATCTGTTTTCCAGAGCTAGAAATTTTGGCAGAACTTCTGAAATCTTTCCTCTTCCTTTTTGTAAATACCGTACTGTTAAGTCAATTAGCCTGTCCAGGCTGCTTTAAATGAACTAGTAGATAATTTAGTTGTGTTTGCATAGTGAAAGGTATGAAGAAGAGGCTTTTTAAAAGGGTGTGATTCTCCCTTCACTCCCCCCCCCTGTGTTTTTGCTAGAAATGTTCAAAGGCAAATGAATATAAAATGTCTCAGGGCAGTTGTTTTGAATTTTGAGTACACAGGTTAACTGCAAGCTGATGTCAAAATTTGTACACATTGTGTAAAAAAGTTAATGCAGCAGAATAATTAGGGTTCAGTATTTAGTTAGTTGATTAAAAAAAAAGACCACACTTTATCAGTTGAAATGGTGCACAGCCATTGTTTGTTCTTAATGCAGGTACATTAAAACCATGGGTGGCAGAAATTGCCTTAGAAGAGACATTCCCCCCTCTTTCTCATTCAGGAAAAAAAACCCCTCTTATAAGATTGGCATGTGTGGGTAACATCTCAACCAAAATAGTTTCCCCACCCCTTCAGTATGATTGGTCATATGGAAACATGTGATTAAAACCCCCCCAATCAAATCATAATGGATTGGATCCAGACATGCCCTTCTGTGAACAGAATGGTCTCTGATCAATTGGTGCCTCCCACCAGAGGAAGGGGAAATGATTTTTTGCCAGTTTCCCCTTCTCACTCCTGCATACCCAAGCACCACTTCACATGTTGTTCTGGAGGATCCCTCAACTTGTAGAGCAGCTTTTCAGGGGATTACAGGGAGAATGAGAAATTTCCTGTTTTGTATGGAGTTGTACTCCCCCTGACGGAGAGTGCTCATAGTTGGGTTGCTCCTGGATCCATCTCTCTGACTAGAAGTTCAGGTGACTTCAGTAGCTAGGAGTGCCTTTTTCCAGCTTTGGCAGGAAAGATAGCTGCAACTGTTTCTGGACTAGGATAGCTCAATTGTCTGTGGTAAACTTAATGTTGGATTACTACAATGCACTCTATGTGGGCTCAGATGCTACAGCTTGTGTAGAATGCATCAACGTAGGCTGCCCAATGATCAGTCACTGCCATAATGTTATTCTACTGCTGAAAATGCTGCACTTGCTGCCAGTTAGCTAGTAGGCTAAGTTTAAGGTTCTGGTACTGGTGTACAAAGTCCTTTGTAGCTTGGGACCTGAATACCTAAAAGATTGTCTCACCCCTTATATACCCAGCTGATCATTGTCCTCTGCAGGAGAGGGCACCCTGTAGATACCATCTCATCAAGAGGTCCATTCTGTATGAAGTAGGAATCTTGTTTACTGTGACAGCAGGTAGCCTTTTAGAGCTTCCTCCCACTGCATATCAGACAGCTGTTGTCTTGGTGCCTATTGAAGACTTTCCTTTTTCAACAAGCTTTTTAAGTGGATATTTTTATTCCAGTCTGGGTCTGTTTTGTATTTGAAATTGATTTTAATACTAGTACTGTATTCAAATCTCATTACGTATTTGGAGAACAGGTGCTTTCCCCAGCCCCCACAAATTTACACGAAGCATTACAGTGTCTCCCAGTGCTTGAAACCTGGAAGAATGATTAATTTTATGGATTGCGTTATTCCTGTTTGCTGCTTCATATCAGATAGTTGTATGTACAGCAGTGGTGGTGAAACATAATAGTCTGCATCAGTAGTCCAGAACATAATCTTTCAGGTTTTTTTTTTAAAAACCCATGAAACTGGAAATCACAGAACTATACTGTACTTGATGAAAGGTTTAGAATGTTTTCAAATATTAATGATAGAATGTTTCACAAGAAATGTAGCTGTATCCTTTGTCTCTGTTTCCAACTGCCATCTTAGATTTTAAACCTTTTTTCTGTTGCTTATATAGACAACAAGGTATTTTGCTTGTCTACAGGCTTTTGCTCATTTAGTGTAGTTTCTCAAGGCACTTTTTGTATGCAGAATACATTATTGTTATACGGGCAACAGTTCAGAGAAGGAAAAAGGTTTACTTATCAACTAGAACTGTATCTTGGTTTAACCATGCTGCTTTTGGTATTGTCACAGCCTATATATTGAATTGAAAGAATTGAACATTTGATTTACAATTGTACCTTGTGCATATTCCATTTTATTGTATGGCTGTGCTGGCCAGAGTTCCAGAGGGCACCAGGTTGGGGAAGGCTGTGTTAGATGAATGCAGTTGATAACCTAATTCCATAAATCAGTTCTTATAGGAAGAGAAGCTGTCATTTGGAGTTGAAAAGCTACATTTTGATTTTTTTTATCAAAGCTGTAAGGAGAAAACTTATGAATATATGTATTGATCTGCTCAAACTGTTAGAGTTCTTTAAGTATCCTAGGAAACAAGCTTTCCAAAAATGCTGATGTGGAACATTGCTTGTTCAGGAGTTTTGCCCTGAGGAAAATTTGGGAATGGGCTTGAGGCTCAACAATTCCTTCTTGCTACAGGTGGAGTAAGTGTAGGTTGTCGTCATTGGCATCCATTTGTCTCAAAAGGCAATAGAATGCACCTTTTCGGGAGAAGTCGAACTGCTGTTTTAGCTGCACTGAAGTGACCTCCCCAGAGCACATACCTGAGCAGTGTGTATGGAGGTTCTGGACTGCCCAGATGACAAGACTCCTCTCAGCCTTGCTGATGTGGTTCAAAGAAAAGCAGAGCCGTATGTATGGCACCAACTTTGCTGCAGGAGTTGCTGGAAAGAGGCATGCAAGGCACCATCCAACTGTCTTAGAGACTCCACTCCAGATTTGTGTTGGGTGTACTCCTTAGCCTTTTCTTCTCCTGAAGATATCCCGCAACGCAGAGGAGATTTAGGATTAGAGCTACCTTCCTATGTTGTTGAGCCCCATCTGCCCCTCACTTCCCTCTGCAGCATGTGCAGAAACCACCATCATGACTGTTGGACCCACTATTTGTCTCATCTGCTCAATCCACTTGAGCCTGTCTACACATGCAGGGGAAGTCCGTAACTCATTGAGGGTTTGAGACCCATTGGCTACCCTCACCTGGTTTACCCGGCCAGTTGAAGCTGATCCTGGCATGTGACCACTGTTGCATGCTGACACCTAGTGTTGGCTATTTGCAGTTTAGTGGCGCAGCAGAAAGCTTGCTGAGGAGACCACGCATTACAAGGAACTCAAAAATAACTTTATCAAGGTTTTAATAACAAAAACTCCTTTTACGTTAAATATATCAACAAGCATGACCCAACCACCAACCCATCCCCCAGGGTACTGAGCGAGCTCTTTATATACTATACCCAATTGCTGACACAGCTTAATTAACACAACTTAGCAGCACCTGCTATACTGTTTCACAGCTGTAAAACTGGGTCTCGTTATTTGCTCTGGCCCTTAAAGACATACACATCTTGTGGAACAATAATGAACATTCACATTTAAAGAGACCATGCAACATCTAGGAGCCACAGGTGAGAGCTGAGTGCGGGGTGGGGACTAAAGGTGGACAAACTACCTCAGAAGGAGCACATCATGAACTCCATGTCAGTACGCCTTTCAACCGATGTCAGCGAATGGGCCCAATAACTGGTTCTGACCTGACTGGGCTAGGCGACTGGAGCACTTTCAGAGACCTTCCAATCCTGGAATGCAGGTCCCAGTGCATTGGACCAATAACTGTGCATTGTGAGCACCAGACTCATGCAGAGTAGAAATAACGCGGAAGCTAGCTGTGAAGCATAACTCCTTTTATTTCTAATAGCTACTACAAACTAACAAACTATTGGCTTACATGAGTGTTACATCTCCCACTCAGCCATCTACATAGATGAGACTCTCTCCACACACAGAGTCAAGCAGTCATTCAGGAGCAGAAGAGTAGAAGAGCAGTTTCCGCCCCCTCCTTTTTCAAAACATCAGATCAGGAGAGTCTGTCAATGGGAGGGGTGAAAATATCAACACACCAGAGGTGCTACCCCTGCTTTACAGGATTAGGGAGATAATAGTGTCCAAGAAATGTAGTTCCATTCATTCAGTTCTGTTTGTGGTGGCGAACTGGGAGCATCTGATAACAACACAAACAACGTAACAGGCTGTATGTAACTGTATAAATTCTTTTTAAATGCGATTCAGCATATATCAAAATATATGGTTCTATAGACCAACGTATTATATAAACAAAACATGAGAAATTAGAGTCCATCAGATAGATCAGGAAATACAATCTATTCAGTTCTTATATTGGCAGTATCCACAGTGTGGAATTCTTATACCAATCTTGTAGTGTTCCACGTGAAGATGCTTAAGAATTCTAGCATTCCTTGTATGTAGGTATCAGAAAAAAAACTTGGAAGAATGGCACATGCCGAAAATAAGACAAGGATTCCATGATAATTCCTTGTTTCGCCCAACCGGGCTTCGTCAACTGTGCATACTCTGGATTATATAAACAAACATAATGTGATGTAATTTTATACAAAACCAAGTAACATAACACGCATACTAAACAATAAATTTACAAACCGTATTCTTGTATATCAGAAACATGGAACATAATGGATTCAGTCATCATGACCATTAACCTAATGCCTCTTTATATAGAGAGAGGCAATATTGGCTACAACCACAGGTGACTATAATTTCTATAAATGCTTCTTAAAGAGACCATATTTTAACTAAAAACCATAAATAATTTTTTAAAGAAATTGATAATATTCCTTTAAGATGTTAACCATGTAATAACTCATAAAAACAGCTGTAATCTAATTCTGTATTCAAGCCTGAAGGATGTAAAGTGTTGAGTAGAAAAATAAATCTCGTTTCTTTCTGCAAAAGAATCTTTTTAGCTTGTTCTAATCTATAGGTCCCTGATGTGCCAAGATGACAAAAAATGTTAGATCCTCATCAGAATGTGACGCTTGAGTAAAGTGTTGTACCAAAGGCACGTCAACAACACCGTTTCTGATTCTGGAACGATGCTCAGATATCCTGACCCTGATGGGTCTAATGGCGGGTCCTACATACAATAACCCACAACTGCACATAATCACGTAAATTACGCGTGAAGTGGCGCATGTGGCAAATGATTGCAAAACAAACTTAAAGCCTTCTTTATTAGAAAACTCTTTCACCTGCAATGCATATTTACACGAGGTGCAATGACCACATCTAAAAAAACATCGTGGAGAGTTGGTTAAGGTCCGTTGTGTAAGTGTAGGTTTTAAATCTGTGTGTACCAACATGTCCCTCAGTGACCTAGTGCGTCGTTTGGCAAAACAGGGAATCACAACACACCCAGGAATGTCTTTAAGGATGTGCCAATGACATTTGACTATTCTTTCAATTTCAACTGGGAGCAGCAGCAGAGAGAGCATGTAAGTCCGTTGACATTTTTATCTTTATGCAAGTTCACTTGTAATTATAAAAGGCTGATCAAACTCTGCTCTGGGCTGCACTGTCATTCTGGTGGATCTTTGTTACATTAGCATGTAAAGAAAAAAATAGGGAAAGGTTTTAAACCTGAATAAATGTGTCTGAATTTGATTATAGTACTAACTTACAAGGCATTTTAACTAAATGTTGGGCCCAAACATTTGTAAATCTGTTTAATTTCTTTATGCAATTTAGGTGATAGCATTAAAGGAATTAAATATGCCTTCCTGGCCCAAACACTCATATCAACTTTTCAATATACTTTTCTTGTTCTGGATTATTTGTTGATCTTTAACTTTTGCTACTCTACTTTGACATTACTGACTGCTACAGAAACTACTTTAGACTTTGTAGAACCATAAGGAAAGAGATTTATGTGCAGGGGAATTCTAAACATATTTCCTCAGAAATAAAGGCCATTAGTTTATTGAGGTTCACCTCTAGTTAAGTGTGCATAGGATTGTAGCCTGAATCAGTTCACAAGTCTTAACTTATCAATATTTAGATTGAACCTACTTTGAGTAGGGAAACTAGGTTTTGGTTTTTGTTTAATGATGGAGCTCAAAGCTTCAAAGAAAAAAAAGATGACATTTCTTTTTTAAAAAAGTTTGCATAAATGTTTAAAACTGGGGTACTAGCCATCCTTGAATATATGTATTTATTTAATAGTTGAGGAATCTGAAGATTAAGACTTAAGGTGTCAAGACTTTATGTTTTATATAAAAATATAGTTATACATTTTGAGCACAAGATAGCCAGAGCTAAAATGCTTAAGATTTATTAATTTTCATAGGAGAGTCAAGCATGTGCTTAACTCTATTCCATTGAAGTGAAAGGGGAGAATTGCTTAACTTTGCCAAGAAAGTGCCCTCTCAATGATAACACAACATAGTTGGAAACTGCCATGTGTAGCTTTAGCTTCAGGTTTTCTGGGACAATGGGCAGTACAAATTTACTCAGTCTCTTTGTCTTGGAAAGAGACTCTTCTTGACATGCTGCATTTTCTTCTAATTAGCTGCAACTATTGGTGTCATCTTATGTTTCCACTGACAGAAAAATGCTTCCCCAGAGAGTGACTTTTATCTGCTTTGTTTTGTGTGTTTCACTGAGAGTTGTTGCGGTCATTTGTCACAATAATTAATTTTTTATTAGTGCGTTGCTAGATGTACTGAGTTCATAAAAGCAGCCATAACATGGGAGCAGGAACTTAGTGGATGTTGTCACTGTAACTTCTTGAGCGTGGAATAATTTTCTAGTTCCTGAAGTGACACAAACTGTTCTACAGTGAGTACACAAAGTTCTCCAGAGCAAGTTCTGCCATTTCAGGAATTGGAAAGCACATATGGCTCCCAAAATGGGAGGGGCTATGGGGGCTTTCAGTGGGATGCGGGTGGCGCTGTGGTCTAAACCACAGAGCCTAGGGCTTGCCGATCAGAAGGTCGAAGGTTTGAATCCCCACGACGGGCTTAGCTCCTGTTGTTTGGTCCCAGCTCCTGCCCTCCTAGCAGTTTGAAAGCACGTCAAAGTGCAAGGAGATAAATAGGTACCGCTCCAGCGGGAAGGTAAATGGCATTTCTGTGTGCTGCTCTGGTTCGCCAGAAGCGGCTTAGTCATTCTGGTCACATGACTCTGCAGACAAAATTCGGCTCCCTCGGCCTATAGAGTGAGATGAGCACGCAACTCCAGAGTTGTCCGTGACTGGACCTAATGGTCAGGGGTACCTTTACCTTTATCTTTATGGGGCTTTCAGTGAGGTTGCAATCCTGTATTTGCTTACCTGGGAGAAAATCCCACTGAACTCAGTAGGACTTGCTTCTGACTAGATATGTATAGGATTCCAGTGTTAGTCTTCTTCCAGGAGTTTAGCAATGGAGTGTGGTGAAAGAGATAGAAATGCAAAGCTGGTAGATGCAGATAGGCTCATGGGATTGGCTTGTTAATTAAGTTACAGTGCTTTCCTCCTATAAAAATGAAGGCATAAACCATGCTTGTATATGGTGTAATAGGAAAGAGGGATGAGTACTTGGAAGAAGTAATAATGCTTGAATGCAATATAGATATATTTATCAGGATGTACCAGTCTGTAGTTTGCCCAAGTTTTGTAGAATGCTGTATGATATAGCAAGAATGACATAAGTGTATTGTAAAGAGATCCTGAACGGTTCCTATGCAAGAGAGAAACTTCACATTGACCAGTTTTATGCCACCTTAACACCGAGGAAGGTCTGTGGCCAAATATAGGGATTGATCATTTTCACTCAGTCCTTAAATACTTTTTTCTTGGAAGTATGTGTCCTTTGAGTTTACTGAGGCTTACCTCTAAGTAAGTGTACTAGAGAAATGCTTGTTTCTTTCCTTTTTTAAAAAAATAATTTTCTTGTTAAAGATTTTCTTTAATAGTACATGCCTTGTCTCTTTTTTTGGGTTGTAGAATCTTTTTTTACATTTAAAGTGAGATGCTAATGTTGTATACAGCATAAAGTTGGGGCAGAAGGAGGGGTGATAATACTTGGTTCATATGTGGGGGTTTTATGTCAGCTTCACTTTGATAGGTTCTCCGTCTATTCATTTATTATATTTCCTCAGTAGTAAGAGATTGGATGGGGCCCAGGGCATCATTTAGTTGACAGGGCATCATTTAGTTGTTTTTAGTTGACTGCAGTGAGATTTGTTTGCATGGGGAACGGGAGGAGATTGTTGGGTCAAGTTAGCCATATTGATTCATATGGAAATATGAAACAATATGGCTGATTTAACCCAACAATCTCCCTCCCCCACAGACTCACTGTTAAGACTGTGTTCATGGCCGACAATCTTACTTGGCTACGAGTGATCGCCAAAGAAAGATTGATTCATATGCTGTCAGTGGGTTCTTGTTGTCTTGTTGGACTGTGTATGTAATAAAGGGGAGCCATACCTCTTCTATTTGTCCCTGTGCTAGTTTCAGTCTGTTGGTTAGCTTTTCTAGTAAGGCTGTTTCCCATACAGTTTGGTACCACTGGTCCATGTTCACTCATGACACTTCTCTCTGGTGTCTGGCTATGATGCTTCTGACTGCTGAGAGTAGGTTCGTTATAAGCCCTTTATAATGTGAGCAGTGTTAGAAACTGAGATATGAAAGCTAGGAGCTAAATGGCACCTTAAAACTAGGCTATGGCTACAACAACTGAACGTCTAGGCATCCTTTTTTATAACAAGAATATAAAGCAGAAAACATTCATTTTCAGCTTTGTATTTTTGTTATAAAAAACCATGCCTAGACGTTCAGTTGTTGCAGCCATATACAGTGGTACCTTGGGTTACAGATGCTTCAGGTTACAGACACTTCAGGTTACAGACTCCACTGACCCAGAAATAGTACCTCGGGTTAAGAACTTTGCTTCAGGATGAGAACAGATATCGTGCTCCGGCGGCGCAGCGGCAGTGGGAGACCCGATTAGCTAAAGTGGTGTCTCAGGTTAAGAACAGTTTCAGGTTAAGAATGGACCTCCAGAACAAATTAAGTTCTTAACCAGAGGTACCACTGTAATTTAGTTGCAGCTAAAATATTATGTTCATTTTTCACATGGCCTAGTCCTTCCCCTGCCCACCCCCCCTAATATTCTTAGGAGGGTCTCTTCTCCAGTCTTCAGAGAGTAGCTGGAAGTGGGGAGGCAGAAAAAGGTCCTCCTTTCCTTCCACTCTGCAGTTATAATCTGAAATCTTAGGCGCGGAACTATGCCCAGAGCTCAAGAACTGCTCTCCCTAATGTAATTCCCTGTCGCAAAATGCACCTAGAACAATGGGAGTTTTGAACACTGAATGTGGGTGGGCATTATTGTCCTGGAAAGTGTTCACTAGGGCCAATAAATGTTTGCTTCTTGAGGTGCTGCACTAGTTGTGTTATCTCTGTTCCAATATCTTTATACAAGTTTCAAATTTTACCATTTGAACAGAATATAGTGTGCTGATGAGAGCAAGCAGACATTATGCAATAGTGAGAGAGATTATTCCTACTAGGGAACCCAAGTAGTGAATGCCAGTGGGATCATTAAGAAACAAATGGGGAGTTACTGGCATGCTCAGGGGAACTTCAGGACATGCAGAAGTACAAAAATGTTTTCTGGAGAGACATAAGGGGACAGTTGATCCGTTTCCCCAAAACAGCCCAGTAAGGATTGAGTTCTGTAACAATGGAATGTTGACTGTCAGTTGGAAAAGAAAACAAAGCTGGGGTTGAGGGAGTGGAATGCCCTGCTTGAGTCTCTAATAATACAGTGGTACCTTGGGTTACAGACGCTTCAGGTTGCAGACTCTGCTAACCCAGAAATAGTACCTCGGGTTAAGAACTTTGCTTCAGGATGAGAACAGAAATCGTGCTCCGGCGGCAGCGGGAGGCCCCATTAGCTAAAGTGGTACCTCAGGTTAAGAACAGTTTCAGGTTAAGAATGGACCACCAGAACAAATTAAGTTCTTAACCCGAGGTACCACTGTATAGTATAATAATAATATGGTATCCTGGATGAGTGCATGGCTGACAGGCTGGAACTTTGAACAGCACTTCTGCTAAGCGGTGAGGGTACACTGCCACATTTGTTACAGGTCCAATTTCTATTACCCCCCCCCCCCAAAGTTTATTCCTTAATAGCTGTATATGTTTAATACATAAAATCAGAGGCCCACAAAGATGGTTGTCAATACCAGCCAAAAATTTGGTGCCTTAAAGACTAAAGCGAGAGATGCTATTAAAACAAACTGTAGTAAACCAGACAATTTAGGTAATTGTGTGCATGTGAAGAGGACTCTGAAAAGGGTAGGTGTTGGTTTCACTTTGAGTGAGGTGGGAGGAACTAGCCCTCCCTTTCCCAAGTTTCTCAGGAATGTGCACAAGAGCCTGAATAGGCTGTTCGGTGGGATACCTTTTTTAAAAAAACTAAAACTGTGAAAGGGCAGGGTTTCATCTCTTGTTTTCTGCTGTGCTTTGGAGAAAATTAGAAGCCGTGTGAGTCTTTTCTACTGTTTTACCTTCTAATGTTGAGTGTGAGATGAGACAGTTAGTTCATACTAGATAGTTAGGAAGATCAGAAACAGTGGAAGAGGCATCTACTGCTTCTGATTTTGAGGGTTTTGGTGGGGATGAACTGAAAAGTTTGCTGCTTCATTTTTGTGTATTTTCTGTGTACTGGATAACATGGAGGAGCGGCAGGGTCACTGATGAACAAAAATGTTGGCTGGGTTCTAAGCCAAAATTAGTGGACTGCTAGATAATATGTTTTGTCTCATTGCGGCCATGTTTTCATGCTCAGTGTTCAGCAGAAGAATGGTGTGGCAGTAATGCATTTTTCACACTAACATAAATGCCACTTTGGGTAGTGCAAGGATAAATATGTGGCTGGTGTTTACTTTAAAGGTGTGGAGAGAAGTTATAACTACAAGGCTTATGTGTAAGCTTATAGAGCAAGAATTTGGAAGATAGAAATCATAAGGTATGCCTTGACTTTCACTGCTGGACAATTAACTCTCCCAGTTCGGTTTCTGTGAAAGTCTTTAATGTCCAGATCAGATCAGTTCATTGGCAAGGCGTAGGCTATAAGGTACAGCAGGTACGCAAGAGATACAGATAAATGGCTGTGCACAAGTTAAGACATATATCTAACAAATGACAAGCCAACTGTCTCGTCTTTTTGAAAGATGGGGCAGGCACAGCTTTTGTCACATGCTGTTTGTATAGCAAGTAGCCAGGATCTTGAGATTGGGCAAGCAAGCAGGCACTTCTTCAAGTGAGTTGAACCTGCAAGTGCTGGAGCTGTCATTTTCTTGCCCAGTCAGTAATCTGACTTACTCTCATTTGCCTCTCCAGTACAGAAAGGCCCCATATAGGCAGGAGGAAACACTGGAGGTGGCTCCTCAACATTCTCACTGGGAGAGTTTGACATTGTAAGTGTGGAAACTTTCACTACCAACCCAATTGGTCCTCCCCAGAATCCAGTTCTCCTTTCCCCAAACTGCTGATCCCTACCTTGGACTCTGATGCTTCTTGAGATCCTGATCTCAACTCCTCTATCCCAAACTGCTCCCTGGGGTCATAGAATCATAGAATCATAGAGTTGGAAGAGACCACAAGGGCCATCGAGTCCAACCCCCTGCCAAGCAGGAAACATCATCAGAGCACTCCTGACATATGGTTGTCAAGCCTCTGCTTAAAGACCTCCAAAGAAGGAGACTCCACCACACTCCTTGGCAGCAAATTCCACTGTTGAACAGCTCTTACTGTCAGGATGTTCTTCCTAATGTTTAGGTGGAATCTTCTTTCCTGTAGTTTGGATCCATTGCTCCGTGTCCGCTTCTCTGGAACAACCTTTCTCCCTTCTCTATGTCACATCCTTTTATATATTTGAACATGGCTAGCATATCACCCCTTAACCTCCTCTTCTCCAGGCTAAACATGCCCAGCTCCTTTAGCCGTTCCTCATAAGGCATCGTTTCCAGGCCTTTGACCATTTTGGTTGCCCTCCTCTGGACACGTTCCAGTTTGTCAGTGTCCTTCTTGAACTGTGGTGCCCAGAACTGGACACAGTACTCCAGGTGAGGTCTGACCAGAGCAGAATACAGTGGCACTATTACTTCCCTTGATCTAGATGCTATACTCCTATTGATGCAGGCCCAGAATTGCATTGGCTTTTTAGCTGCCGCGTCACACTGTTGGCTCATGTCAAGTTTGTGGTCAACCAAGACTCCTAGATCCTTTTCACATGTACTGCTCTCAAGCCAGGTGTCACCCATCTTGTATTTGTGCCTCTCATTTTTTTTGCCCAAGTGCAATACTTTACATTTCTCCCTGTTAAAATTCATCCAGCTCCAATTCCCTGAGCCCTTACCATTCCTCCTCAGGTTCTGACCACCTCCTCCATGACACCTCCATAGACTCATGACAGATTATTATTTTATACAGAACACTGGGGAATGAACCCTTAACTCAATTACTAGGTGTTTACATATCTTCACATAAGAACAAATGTAAAGCATGGCACAAAGTACAGATAGTCTACTAGCCCACACAGTTACTCAGATCTACTAGAATGTCAAGGTTGAACTAGCCACCCTGAAGTGATTTTTACTTTACTCTGAGACATTAGGTAAAGGAAAGGTTGTTGGACAATACAGGTAGGATCCAGACTTGGTCATGTTTAAAGTAGACCCACTGAAATCATTGTGACATCACTTACTAATGACAATTAACCCACAGAAGAGAAATTTGAATTGTATTTACTCTGTGCTTGGTGTTCAGGTGGCTAGTGTTTGGCTTGTCACTTTAAGGCCCATCTCTTGTTTCTATGTACTAACTTTCAGGATACTCTTATACCCCTTTGGAATGTCTTTGGCATTTTTTGTACAGACCTTTTCATCTTATTCCCACATGGAGCATCAAGTTGTTTCCTAAGTCTTATTCAAAGTTGTTTGTTGTTGTTTAGTTGTTTAGTCATGTCCTACTCTTCGTGACCCTCTGAACCAGAGCACACCAGGCACTCCTGTCTTCCACTGCCTTCCTATTCAAAGTAGACCCATTGAAATTGACCTAATTTTGTCCTATTGATTAATTTCAATGAGTCTACTCTGTGTAGGACTAGCATTGGATATATCTCATAATGTGTATTCCCTAAGACGTCTTATCAGGTAGTATTTGGTGAAGTTCTATTGTTTTTTAAGTAAGGTCTCTGATCCACAAGCTCTCGACAAGTTTATATTTGAATATTTCATTGACTTGTAGAAGCCAGGTTGAGAAACCTTATTTTCAAATGGCATTGCGCAGTGTTCCAGGGCATCTTGGTATTTATAACATCTTGGACAACCTGTTTCATTACACTTATGAAACTTCAGGGATTAGTCAAGTGGGACAGAAAAGGCTGCTACATAAGCTCTATTCGTTTTGTTAAAACAGTTTATAAACAAGAAAACTGATCATGTCTTCATGTCTGGAGGTGGCTGATTCTTTTTCTGCCCCCTCCCCCTTTCTGTTGAGATCTTTGACCAGGATGTCTTTCAGATGGTTAAATGTGTTTTTTTGCTGTATCTCTTCCCATTTTTCATTTGTTTTGTTCAGAAAAGAAATTTAATCTTAACAGTAACTTTGAAAGGCAATTGCAGATATTAATGCCTCATATCAAGTTTATTGAGCCGTTGCTTCCTTCAAAAATAGATCAATCAGGACTGCTTTCCTGGTAGACCAAGTTATGAATTTATGTTGGATCCTTTCAGGTGTTTCATATAGACTGTGCAGTCTATATGAATGCAAGAGTTGGCTTTATATGTGGAGGTGACATGGTCATATAAATCCTAACTTAGAGAGTAAACATGCAAGATGGTACTACTGTCATTCCTAAACAGGCATCTATTGTAGTGGGACATACCACCCTGAAAATGAGCATATCAGACCAAAGATATGGGTTACCTCTGAAAGCCTCAAAGATTTGTTATCTTGTTTGTTCATGCATTCAGAACTATTACTGAAAGAGAAACTGGTTTTCAGATTCCATGAGAATTAATTTAGTGCTGCTGTGAGAGATCTGATCCATTACCTGTATTTGGTGTGTGTATGTGTGCGCATATATGTGTGTGTGTGTATGTGTGTGTGTGTGTTTGTGTAAAAACCTAGTTATTTGGGATGTATGCAATTTACAGTGCATTTTGCCAAGAAAAAGTGAACTATTTCATAAATATTCAGGCCACCCTCTTCAGTGCTATCTCAAGAATTTGAGCAATCTAACCCCTTTCTCTCTTCCTCATCGCCACCACATTCAACTATGGATGTCACTTGTGAAGCATGCTCACAACTTCTAGATTACCTTTGGTTCACTGGAATATACTGTGTAAGGTATATTATAAATAGCTTGATTTCAAGGCAGTAGAATCATTTGCACTGAAGCCTTTACAAGATCTGTTGGTGTCGTAAGAGAAATACTTGTAACTGTTGCTTAACAAATTATTAGAGGTGCGGTAGCTGCAATGAGAAAGGAATCTATGAAAAAGTAAGCAGTATTATTCCTGCCGCTTTTAGTGGTCAGTTTGCTGCCTTTCATTATTTTTGGGCTTTCCCCTCTGATTTTGAAAAGGAAACACTGAGCCTGCAAGTATGAAAAGCAGCAAATTGATTTCTCTTAAAGCAGTAGTAATTACGGTATACTGTTTATTTTTCCAGATATTGAACCTTTTTATAGTAAAATGTCCTGAGCCATCCAGTTTGCTGCCAAAAAATGAGCAGTTTCGCCTTGTGAAAGGCAGATAATGATCTTGTAAGAAGAAGTCAACGAAGCCTGAATAAATTAGCACAATCTGTCATCACCATGGTACTGGGCTATCTTCTATGGAAAAATAAACACACCAAAGTCTGCTGCAGGTGGCTGCCTATTTTCAAGATGCTTGTTGCCATGCCTGCTTGGTACGTGTATCTCTGAACAAGTCTTCTGACTACTTTTCTGTGTTTGGGCAATAAGCCCTTCTTAACATTGGGAGAAGTTGGCTCAAATGTTGTGCTGGGAAAGCATTTCCTAGTGTGACACAGGATGTTCTTGCTTCAGAAGAGCTGGTCCAAACCAGCACACTAATCAAAATGCACTGAAGTCAAGCTTGTGTAACATTTTGTTTAGCCTGGTTACCAGAGTGCTGTCATTCGGAGGGTGGCAGAGACAAGTTGGAACTTTTTGAGAAATTGAATGTTATCAAAAGAACATATAACACAAGGAATAAACAATGAAATGGTTTGATTATGAGGCTTCTGAGAGGTTGTGAGATAAGTGCTGCTGCTGTGCCATGTGACTTTTGGCTTCAAGGGAAGTAGGGGAATTTCAGTTGGGTGTGTGTGTAAAAAATCAGAGGAGGGAGAAATCTACCTTTTTGTTCATTTTGGCTGTATTAGGGAACAGGAAATTTGCGGGTGTGGAGCTCAGCAGGACACTGGAGCCTATGGAATGGGGAAGGGATTCCAGAATCAAACCCAAGGGAGAGAACACAAGGGGGACTCCTGTTTGCCTGGACAGTTATTGACTTATTTAGAAAACAATGGATGGTCATCTGTCATGGATGCTTTAGTTGAGATTCCTGCATTGCAGGGGTTGGACTAGATGATCCTCAGGGTCTCTTCTAATGCTACGATTCCATGATTCTGTGATACCTTGCACCTTCAGGGATCACTGTCTGACGGGTTATAATAGCCCATCTATGTGGGGATATTGGTGTAAAGAGCCTCAGCATTCATGCTAGATAGAAATAATTGTCTTGAGGGAGCGTTATGATTATTTTATTGTAAGTTGCTTTAAATATGGAATGAGGAGTATACATATTTTAAATAATATCTCAATGGCATTGTACATGCAAAGAATCACCACAGTGTGCCACATGTTTTTTAAAAAGGGAAACAGGTTTTTCTCCCCTTCCCCTTTTGCTTCAGGTAGGTAGTCGTGTTGGTCTGACGCAGTTGAAATATATAAAAAAATAAAAAATTGACCAGTAGCACCTTAGAGACCAACTAAGTTTGTTTTTGGTATAAGCTTTCGTGTGCATGCACTTCTTTTGTATCTGAAGAAGTGTGCATGCACATGAAAGTTTATACCAAGAACAAACTTAGTTGGTCTCTAAGGTGCTACTGGACAATTTTTAAATTTTTAAAAAATATATTTCCCCTTTTGCTGTATGCTGTTGCATCCAAACATAGGCCTTTGGGTGCTTAATATTTACTTGTCGGGAATGGTGGGCTTGGTCCATTGAATTATCCTATGTAAATAGAAGTTGAAACACTATATTTCTCCCCTTTCTAAACAGATTATCTGGACGGATTTTATTTTTCATATAAAAGTTATCTCTCACCAAGAGCAACATGCATTAGAGGAAAGTAACCTGCTGGTGCAGAAGAAAAATTACAATGAATAGTGAAGAAGAATTCTATGATGCCGTCACAGGTGAGTAGAGAATGGTGCATTTCTATCTTTTTAAAGGAAATTATACTTTAATATATTAAACATTTGGGGAAAGTTTGAGAAGGAATCCTGTCTGTTTTGAATACCGTATTTTTCGCCCCATAGGACGCACTGGCCCATAGGACACACCTAGTTTTTTGGGGTGGAAAATAAAGGGGGAAAAAATTTTTTTCCCCTCCAGGTGCGCTGCGCTAATCCCGCAGCTTGGGGTGTGCGGAGCTCAGTGCGCCCCAAGCTTCTGGGTGCAGGCAAGCTCTCCGCTAGCCCTGGGAGAGCTGGGTCTTCCACGGCTAGCGGATAGCTTCCTGAAGCCTGGAGAGCGAGAGGGGTCGGTGCGCACCGACCCCTTGCTCTCCAGGCTTCAGCGAAGCCTGCATTCGCCCCATAGGACGCACACACATTTCCCCTTCATTTTTGGAGGGGAAAAAGTGCGTCCTATAGGGCGAAAAATACGGTAATAGATCTCTGTACTTTTGTGGCTTTATCTTAAATACCCAAGCCTCTCCCACCCTTACTCCAAAAATCAATCCTCCCCAGGAAAAAAAGCAAGTTGTTTCCACAGTGGAATCTATAGTCATTCGGAGAGGAAAAGTTAAAAATGAAGGCATAAGAGTAAATTGTATTGGTTGAGATTCTTACAGCTTACAGTTCATGAGGAAGAACATTGTAGGTTGGAACCTTGAAATGTGAATTCTGGTGAGGGTAGACATTCCCACAGGGTTGGGAAACTGTGTCTCTCAAGCTGTTATCGGACTTCATCAGCCCCAGCCAGCATTTCTAGTAGTCAGGGCTGATGAGAGATGGAGCTGCAGGCCCCACTTATCATTTACAGAAATAAACAGAAATATATTCAACCATTCCAATAAAATATTTTCAATTTGGCTATTTTCCTGACTTTTCCTTTCTACCAAAATGGAAAACTGAGTTATAATGGCCATCTCATAGCTGATGGGGGTGGTGACTCATAAAAGGAAGATAAGAAGGTATTAGATAAGAGTATTGTTTTAGAAGGAGAAGACACAACTGGGCGCTGGGGTTTCCAAAACTGTTTGGAAATGGAGGGAAGGGCATGGACTTGAGCAATTTACTAGAAACTTACTGTCTAAGAACTAGCGCAAACTTATGGGCGTGGGCAGGGAGGTCAGCCCCCCCCCATCAAGCAAATACAGTGGTACCTCTGGATGCGAACGGGATCTGTTCCAGAGCCCCGTTTATATCCCAAAGCGAATGCAATCTGCGTGTGCGTGGGTCACAGTTCGTCGCTTCCGCCCATGCACGTGATGTCATTTTGAGCATCTGTGCATGTGCGAGCGGCGAAACCCGGAAGTAACACGTTCTGTTACTTCCGGGTCGCCTCCGAGCGTAACCTGAAAACGCTCAGCCCGAAGCTACTTCAACCCAAGATATGATTGTAAATAGAAATACTTAAGTAACTGACCAATTGCATCACATATATCTCTATATCTCAGTTCTGCCCCCCCACAACATAAAGCCTGCCCCCCCCCCCCATGAATCCTGGCTACGCCTATGAGCAAACTTGCATTATATACATGTTTACTGGAAATACATTGCTTGTGTTTTAGGGGAAACTCCTAGTTGCAGATATTTTTGTCCTCTAGACTTTAAACCACGAAGCAGTGGTTGTTGTCACCTGCCAAACATAACGGCTTTCAGGGTCTGTCTTGTTCCTCCCTCTGCTCTTCTCTCTCTCTCTCTCTCTCTCTCTCTCTCTCTCTCTCTCCCCCCGCCCCATATTTCATTGACTATTTCTTTGTGAGACTATTTCTGTAAATAAAAGTATATATGTAAAAAAGCAACTCTTACTGTACTTGTCTACATAAGTAATTATGCTTCAGGGAATTCAGAGGGGGGCATAACCATACCAGTCCACATATTGTTTGTAAAGATCCACTTTGGTGGATGGGAGATTGCCTCCTCTTGATGTGGTTACACTCCATTTTATGTCAAATGTTTTGGTTATTTTGGATGAATACAAAGTCAACTTACTACAAGCCAAAGGATTGCTAATAAACGGCTTTTGGGCATGTTTGTTACACTAGAGTCCTAGGCATGTCTACTCAGAAGTAGGTACTGTTGAGGTTAATGAGTCTTACTCCAGTAAAGAGTGCAGATTGCAGTCATAAAAGCATCAAGGAATTGTCTCTGACTTTCAGTAAATTTGCTTTCATTTCAACTTACGTAATTGTGGCAGTCATCAACAAATTCCACCGCACTTATTGCCAGCAGGTGGCTCTGTTAATTGTATTCATCTCCTAAAATAAGTGAGCCACTGACCTTGCTCTGCTTCAAGAACCTACAAATGACATGTAACCTTATTTTACACTCTTGGCAGCATTGTAGGTTGCATTAGGTGTTAGATTCCTAGAGCCAGTGGAATTTTAATTACTATCAACACTAACAATAATTCTTTTCACAAACACTAGAATAAAGTTCAAGTTTTAAGGATAGGTTGTAGTTCCATAAAATGTTATATAGTGTCTTGCTTTGTTTTATCTTGTAATACTTAACACCAGCTGTTACAAGGTAGGTCAGTATTATGTCAAAAGAGACAATGCACGTATTTTTGTAGACCAAGAAAATCTTTAATTAAAATGATTAAATCATCAAATTACAGATTGGAAGTGGGGATCTGAGGGACCAGTTTACCTAATGTCATCTAGTAAGTTTCTGGTAAAGTTGAGATTGATTGGTAGCCTCAGCATTTAGCCATCAGCTGCATCAAATACTTTATTAGTTCATCTCCTTGAAAGTTAAATAAATAAATCCCTGTCACACCATGAGAAGTTAAAGCCAGTTATGAGGTTTGGAGGGAAAGGTGTAATTAATTCTAAAATGGAGCATTCTGAGCAGTTTGCAATACATGAAATAATAACAGACATCAAATCTAATTTATAGATTAGATAATAAACAGTCTCCTTGGTTGATTTTGATGAACAGGAACAGATGTGGGTATATATGAGAGGTGGGTCAAATTCTGTAGGGCAGGTTGCACAAATCAAATAATTCGGAGGATCATTTCTGCACAAAGCCACCACAAAGGAACAGAAGGCATGCAGGGTCATCACCAGCTCTGCTCAGAAGCCATAGCGGAGTGGATGCAGGGCTACTCCATAGGTGGGGCTAAGAGACCAGCAGCTTTTGTCGCATATTATCCATGAATTTTTCCACCCCATCTTGTCATTGACAGAACTTGTAACTAAGAATTTATACCTGTGTACCTAATTTCTTTCTTTACTTATCAATCCATTTCCTTTCTTTATCATGGTTTTTTTAATTGCTGGGAAGGACTTTTCATGTCTTTTTTTAAAAAAATATGGTTCTGGAAGTCTTTTTGGCTAAAGAGTGGGCTACCTTTTTCTGATACTGTCTCTGTCACAACCTAAAAGACTCCCATGATAATGCTTTTTAGGAGAACACTACAGTTCTCACAGGGACGCGGGTGGCGCTGTGGGTTAAACCACAGAGCCTAGGACTTGCCAATCAGAAGGTCGGCGGTTCGAATCCCTGCGACGGGGTGAGCTCCTGTTGCTTGGTCCCTGCTCCTGCCAACCTAGCAGTTCGAAAGCACATCAAAGTGCAAGTAGATAAATAGGTACCACTCCGGTGGGAAGGTAAACGGCGTTTCCGTGCGCTGCTCTGGTTCGCCAGAAGCTGCTTAGTCATGCTGGCCACATGACCCGGAAGCTGTACGCCGGCTCCCTCGGCCAATAAAGCGAGATGAGCGCCGCAACCCCAGAGTCGGTCACAACTGGACCCTAATGGTCAGGGGTCCCTTTACCTTTACCTTACAGTTCTCACGGTTCTGTTCTTTTTGCATTCTCCCCTAACAGACCTTCTCCTTGACTCTGAAAACAGCCCTTCATATAACCTTTCCACACTTTTGTTTCTCTGTTACAGGTAGCAGCCCTTTTAGGTGTGTCTAGTACAAACACACATTGCGCCAAACTCGGAAGTGACCCAAAAATGTCTCAAAAAGGGGCAGAACAGGGTGTTTTCAGGCTTTTCCAATGGTGTTTCAAATATACGCGATTTCACTTTTCATGAGGCTCAGTTTTATGTTGTGGCAGCTCTTCCTAATATTGCCTATAAGGGAATGGCATTATGTATAAAAGCAAGCAGGGAGGCACCCAGTTGCTTATGGAACACATCTTGTGCTTGAGTTTCTAGGTGGAGATTAGTTTCTACCTGGTTTCTAACTGGTTGGAGCTATTACTGAGTAGATGAGTTAATCTTTGATGGTTGACTCATTAAACATTTCAGGTCAAGTTTCTCTAGATCCTGGTTTGTTTGTTGCATGAGGCAACCATGAGAGATATGTAAGCTTCTATTTATTTATTTTGTTACGTTGAATTCATTTATTTGACACCTCTCCTTTTATACACAATTCTGTTCATGTCTTTCTGTGTACCAACTGCACAATCTTAGCTAAGCCCTAGCTCAGATTGCTGAGTTGTACCATTTAGTTCTGGCTTACTATTTAGGAATAAAATGGCATTGAACGGGGATGTAGAGGAGCCATGTATATAAGATGGAAGATGATGATTAAATAGCTAGTAATTGACCAGATATTTGTGGGGTTGTAGTTAATAACAACCCCACATGAGTTGGCATGTGGTATTACAGGTTGATACAATTCTGTACAGTGCTTGAAGGTCTAAGTTAGCTTTTGAGTGCCATGTTTCAAGAAGGACCTTTCAAATTGAGAAAGACTTCAGAGTTAAAATACTACTTAAGGGTTGGGGTCATAATTTGTCTCAGTAGTGGAGCATCGGCTTTGAATGCTGAAGGTCCTAGGTTCAGTCCTTGGCATTTCCAGGTAGGGCTGGGAAAAGACTTCCATTTGAAAGCCTGGAGAGTGTGCAGCATAGGCAGACTGACAAGACTGAAGCAGTTTGCAAAGGCTCTGACTTGGTATAAGGCAGCGTCCTATGTCTAAAAAGCTGTGTAACATGAAAAAGCTGATTAAACTGAGTGTGTTTGGCCTACAGAACTGGAAAGCCTTAGGGGTCCTATCAATATGAACCTAATCTGTAAGAATTGGAAAGGAGAGAAAATTCCGACTAAACTGGAGTGGCAAAGTAAACTGCTAGAATACGCCGAGTTGGCAAAAATGACATAGAAACTGAGAGGTCACATCGATCAAACATTTATTAGAAAATGGGACATGTACAAAAATATCTTAAGGACTATTGTAATAATATGACTTCTGTGGTATGATGGATAATTATAAGAGAATATATTACTGATGAAAATTAACAAAAGAAAATGAAAACAAACAATGCCCTAGATAGATTAAGTGGTAGATGCAAGATGGGGTGATGGGAAGTCGTTAGAAATGCAAGAAGAACTTATTGTGATATGATGTAACAAATATTACTGGTTTCTTTTCTTTTTTCTGGAAAAATCTTTTGTTTGTTGTTTCCTTTTAATTTCAATAAAGCATTAAAAAAAATCAATAGAACCTTGGTATTGGTTATTGTGAGGGATAGCTGTAGCCAGTGTTAGAAACTCAGGTATATAACCTATATAGCCAAATGGCACATACCTTTTTTTTGTTTCCTGTTATGCCACATTTTTCAAGGATAGATCCTTCTGTTGATGACTTGTAGGCTTCTACATATTTTGCATTCCAAATGTGTTGCATTATAATTAGTAGAAGGCATATTTTGTGTGGAAGATTTTAACATTTTATCTGTTGAAAAATATTTGTCTTCAGTGTGTTGTGACTTGAGACAAACAGCCTATGAAGGATTCACCTTTCACTGTGGTGATTCTTGTATATGGTTTCCTTCTTAGTTGCCCTGTTCTAAAGATTCCTGGTTTGATTTTCTATGATTCAGCCTCCATCTTACTGACTTGCTTACCTGACACTTATGTAAATGGTTACATGTAAAAAGGGCGGCCTTATTCCTTTTGTATTCTGACGCAGGCTGTAGTTTGCCTCTGGGATTTCAAGGAGGTGGAGATTAGTCAGGAGGAGCTAGGTTTACTTTACAGGATGTGGAAGAGGAAGAAGACATCTAAAAACAAATTTGCTAGTAAGTCACCTTTTCTCTCTTTTTCTTATGGTGAAGTTCATCCATTCTTAAAAGCTATTAAACTTTTCTTGTATCTTTGTATTATGAAGTTCATACAAGTTCATTATTATGAAGTTAAGGAGTTAAATAATGTCCTCCTAGTCGTGGTTGATAAGCCTCTCAAGAAACAAAACCGTTTCTGCTCTGTTTTCTCTATCTAGTCTCCCAAAATATTCCTGAAGAGGTGTAACAATAGTGCCAACTTAAGATAAGTAGCAATGCTCTTTCCTAAGTAGGCCCAGCTGGTGCTTTGGGAATTGCAAGTGACCAGCATTTTCCAGTTTGCATATTCCATGGATTCAGGTTTTTTTTTTTATGTGATGTCTGTATGTGTTTCTTTTTTTAAAAAAATCTACTATAAGGTTTCTAGCTATGAAATAGCCTGACTTTTTCATCATGCTCACAGTCTTTCCTCACTGTTCTGTGTACATGCCATACATTTAAACCACACACTCTTCAAATCCTGGAACCTGTAGTTTGTTGAGGGTGCTGAGGATTTTATATTTGTGAAAGGTAAGCCATAGTGCCAAATATTATTCAGGGGTAAAATGTACTTAAGTATATGGTGTTGTACATAGCTTTCTTTTTTACAGTTCAGTATAAGTAAGCTTTGGAATTAAATCCTTCAACAAAATGAAAAACAAACTGTAATATCCAAAGTTTGTATTTGAAATTTAGGCAATATCCTGCTTTGGTGTAAAAATAACTCATCTTGGCTAAGTTGGTAGTTATTGGTAACTGGCATTTTATCTGATTATTTTCAGTTAGCTAAGTTTATGTAGCTGCTGCCAATTTACTCATTCATCTTGAGCTCACCTGACTAGAGCATGGGTGTAGCCAGGATTTATTTGGGGGGTGGGGCAGAACTGAGTTATCTGTGATGCAATTGGTCAAGTATTTTTATTTATTTGATTTGGGGGCAGTTTTTCCCCCTGCCTCCCTTGGCTATGCCCATAGACTAGAGTTTTGGTATGGAATATGTTTACCAACTTTTAAATCGGAATGTGTATGCATTATACATAATAATAACTAAATAAATATCTGATAATGTGGACTCTAGTTTACAAAACAGGGTATAAATCCAAGGACTCCCTGGCAGACGAGGGAGGGGCATCCCTCGCAGAGGATTTGAATGCCTTTTTTGCCCGTTTTGAAGTAACATCTGCAGCAACACCTGCTGAGGCTTTACCAACACCGCCACCACTCCCTGTGAAGGCTTTGCCATCATCACCACCATTACCATCATCAGTACAAAGGAATGCAGTAGTCTCTGTGGAAAAAGAAGAGATGAGGAAGGTGTTGAAGGGAATCAACCCAAGGAAGGCCACAGGGCCAGATGGGGTAGCTGGAAGGGTATTGAGAGACTGTGCAGATCAACTAGCAGGAGTTTTCACTGGGATTTTAAATCGATCCCTAGCCCAGGCTATTGTTCCATCCTGCCTAAAGTCCTCTATTATCGTTCCAATAGCAAAAAAATCTAACCCGGAAGATCTGAATGATTTTCGTCCAGTAGCAATAATCATGAAGTGCTTTGAAAAGCTGGTACGAAATTATGTCATTGCTTGCCTACCAGAGGGACTGGACACATTCCAATTTGCTTATAAAACGAAAAGATCGACAGAGGACACTGTGGCGATTGCCCTCCATGCCATCCTTGCACATTTGGAGCAGCGGTGGGGTTATGCCAGACTGCTTTTTTTAGATTTCAGCTCGGCATTTAATACCATTCTACCACAACGTCTGATGTCTAAACTGGAAGATCTGGGGCTTCTGTTATCACTTTGTGGGTGGATATTGGACTTTTTGTCAGACCGCCCACAGAGGGTTCGGTTCGGCCCTTATACCTCTAATATGCTCAAGACTAACATAGGAACACCACAGGGATGCATACTCAGTCCGCTCCTTTATATTCTCTACACGTACGATTGTGTCGCTACTCACCCTAGTAATAGGGTTGTCAAATTTGCAGATGACACCACCGTGATTGGGCTCATCCCTGAAAGGGAGGGTGAAACGGATTATAGAGATGAGGTGGAGCGGCTGACAGAGTGGTGCAGAGCTAACAACTTGCTCATAAATACAAGGAAGACAAAGGAGCTTGTGGTGGACTTCAGGAGACAGAAGAGCAACGTCCAGCCACTTTTGATTGATGGGGTCTGTGTGGAGAGGGTAACAACGTTCAGATTTTTGGGCATTGAATTACAAGAGGATCTGTCCTGGAGTGTCAACACAAGGGGGCTTGTGAAGAAGGCGCAGCAGAGACTGTACTCTTTGAGAATACTAAGGAAAAACCATCTTCCACAGAAACTGCTGCTTGCCTTCTATCACTGTGCCATTGAGAGCGTGCTCACTTATGGCTTATGTGTGTGGTACGGAAGCTGTACTACCCGGGACAGGATGGGGTTGTGCAGGGTTGTTAAGGCAGCAGAGAGCATTGTTGGCTGCCCACTCTCCACCTTAGAGCAGATTTATGCCACAAGGTGCCATAGGAAGGCACTGGACATAGTAAAAGATCCATTGCATCCCAGTCACTGTCTCTTCGAGCTCTTGCCGTCGGGACGGAGATACAGGACGATGAAGACAAGAACGAGCCGTCTTAAGAACAGCTTCTTCCCCAGAGCGATCTCGGCCCTGAATGGGAAGCCCGGACTTTGAAAGTCATCTAATCTCCATTGCTGTATTATACTATATTGATTAATTAGTGTTTTTATGGAGCAGTCAATTAATTTCGTTGTCCCCGAAGGGGGCAATGACAATAAAGATATTATTATTATTATTATTATTATTATTAAAAGTTTATTACGGTAGCACTGTCAATGGTGGTTGCCAGGCTTTGGGGCCAGTGTATTAAATGTCTGTATATTTATTTAGTTATTATTATGTATAATAATAATAATAATAATAATAATAATAATAGTCAAGTTTACAAAAGTATATGACCATACATCTTCCTGGACCAGCTCCATAGAATAGGAATTGGGGGCACTGTGCTATAGTGAATCTGGTCCAGGTCCAGAGAGTAGCATTAGGAGAGTGCTTTTAGCGGCCCCCGCCCCCCGGTAATTATGTCATGGGGTTCAAAGCACTATTTTATCTCCAGTCCTAATTAATATCTATATAGAGCAGTCATATAGAGCAGGTGTTTTAGGGCAAGATGCTATCAGTGACACTCTTGATTTGTTTCACTCTAACATTTGGGTTAAGAACTTAATTCGTTCGGAGGTCCATTCTTAACCTGAAACTGTTCTTAACCTGAGGTACCACTTTAGCTAATGGGGCCTCCTGCTGCCGCCACATGATTTCTGTTCTTATCCTCAAGCAAAGTTCGTAACCCGAGGTACTATTTTTGGGTTAGCGGAGTCTGTACCCTGAAGCATCTGTAACCTGAAGCATCTGTAACCCGAGGTACCACTGTACCTGAGATGCAGTTGTGTGATCGGTGAGGGGAAAATAAGCCTAGCTTGAATCCTGGAGGCACTGTGGACAAGTAGTTCCTATGTCTGAAAAACTGGTCAATTTGTTGTTTTGTGTGGGCTTGCATTCTCCCTGAAGGAGCAGGCATGCTTCAAAATCTAGCTATGTCACTGGAGGCCCAAGTAACCAGTGGCTAGAAGTGCTTTTTACCAGCTGTGCTTAGTACAAGAACTTCAGCCTTTCCAGGACCCGGAGGGCATGGCCACAGTAGTTCAGGAACCTGGTGACTTCAAGATTGAATTACTGCAGTGCACTTTCTGTGGAGCTCCCCTTATGCTAGACCTGGAAACTACAGTTAATACAGGATGGTGCAGTGCAATTACTGACAAGAGTGAGACCCTATCAGCATATATCCCCTCTGCTCCTGAGATCTGCATCACTTGCTGATTTGTTACCAGATCAAGTTCAGAGTGGTAACTGTTGGTATGTAGAGTCCCTAATGGCTTAGGAATCGTTTACTTGTGGGTTCACCTTACCTAATATGTGCCCAGTTGACTGCTTTCATCTGCAGAGCTGGTGCTGTTACAGCTGCCACATAATACTCATTCCACAGTTCTAAGAAAGTGTGGTAGCACCTACACTTTGAAATTTCCTGCCATCAGGCAGGTGCCTTCGCTGTACTCTTTTCAGTGCCTGGTTTTTCGTTAGGCAAACTTTTTTGTTTAGGGAAACCTATCCAGAAACATATACAGTCATTTTTGAATATTTTTCACTCTTAATTTTAGTTATTTTCAAATGTTTTAAATTGGGTTTTTTATAATTTTAATATTTTTTGTAGACCACTTAGAAGTTTTACTGTAATCAAGCGGTGTATAAATTTTGTAAAATAAAAATGAAATAATAGGTGGAAGGGTGGGCATATAATGCTCAGGTCCAGTTAAATGTCAGCATGGTTTAAGAAGGCATGTTCAGTGTAGCTGGGACAATGTGGATTTTTGTGGGAATATTTTTAAACTCCTTTCTCAAGCACAATAGGAGGTACTGGTGGGCAAACTGGTGGCTGTGGATGCCATGTTGGTGACCCTTGCCATATTAAATTTGTTAGATTTTTAGGTGCCACAAGACTCTCTGTTTGTTGCAACAGAATAACACACCTACCCTTCTGGAAGTTTTATTAAAAGGATATTTGAAAACACTGCACCAATTTTTTTATGATGCACAGAATCTAAAGTCCTAGTAAAACCTTACAGATCATTCTTACAGCTCTTTCTTGGTTGTGTGATCCTATCTTCACAAGCATGCACAGCTTTTAACATTTCTTCTTAACTTTGTATCTTGTTTGAATCGGCAGTTAAAGACTTGCTATTGTTTTGTACAGCACATTTGAGAGTGCCTCTCATGTGTTTGACACATGTGCTAAAAGTAGCTCTTCAGATTAATCACCCAAGCTCCCCATGAACACTACTATTATTGTTCCCAAATTAGGTGTTATGAAACCTTGGGATCTGATTATCATTAGGTAATTACACTTATGGGAATGCTCTGATTCAGCAGTGTGGATTAATGAGTGACATCACCTTTAGCAGTTGCACCAAGAAATAATAGAACAGGATCACACCACCTGTTACCTCTGTTTCAGTATGTGGTTATTTTTCCCCTTGTAAGTTAAATAGAGGGGAAAGAAAAGGAAAAAGTAAGCTTTGCGTGGTCACAAAAATCTAAAATGTTGCATTGGTGAGGTTGTGGTGGGGAAAACATGGTGGGTGGATCAAGTGTTGGACTTGGACCAGGGAAATTGAGGTTCAAATTCTGCTTGGTTTAGTTACAAAAGTCACTGTGTGCAGTTTGCACTATTTCCCAGGATTGCTGTGAGAATAAAGGGGAGCAGGGAATGTAACAAGACACGCTCTCTTGAATTTCTTGCAGAAAGAATGGACTAAAAATGTAGGAAAATAAATAACCTTTGTAGGTTGTACCTTTGCATTACACTGTCAGTAAAGGCACTGACCCTACCTAGAACTGTCTGTATCAAACTTTATTTTGGTCACTGACCAGCATAAAGAACTGTCTGGTGTTTTTCTGTTCCACTGACACACTCCACTGGTGTACTGAATGGGCACTCTGCACACAAATGATGTGTATTCACAGAGGCTAAATTTGGGTGCCTTAATCTGGAGATCATTGTACACCACTGAGGACTTTGCACTAGGCCAGGGGTGGCCATCTACTTTCAAAATTAAAATCTACCCCCGTTTTTTAGGGGTTCAGGTCAAAGTGTGTGGGGGGGGGGTTAGGGATTTTTTTGCAGCTCTTCTGAGGGAGGAACAGCAGCAGCCACTAACCTTACGATCACTGGCCAGATAACAGCCTCCGTTTCTAAACTCTTCCCTTCTGTAACAATAATGTTACAGAACAGGGAGAGGGGGTGGGGCCGGAAGGGGGCCAGCGATCTACCAAAACCTCGCAGGGATCGACCAGTAGATCGTGATTGATGTGTTGGACATCCCTGCACTAGGCTAACGTGCGCTTAATTACTTGGAGGGTCTACAGGGCGTGTACAGAATCCCAACTAAACCAGACTTCTCAGTTACACTGAGCACAACAGTTACACTATCTGTCTTCACAACAGTTGTTTGAGGTAATTTAGTTGACTGTATGTGACTGATGCAAAGTGAGGTTCACGGCTTTTAGTCAGGATTTGAACTGAGGTCTGCACATCCTCAGTCCAACAGTCCATCCTCTAGCTCAGTGTTTCCTAACCTTTGGTCTCTAGCTGTTTTCGGACTACATTTCCCACCATCCCTGACCGCTGGTATTGCTAGCTAGGGATGATGGGAGTTGTAGTCCAAAAGCAACTGGCGACCCAAGGTTGGGAAACACTGCTCTAGCTTATGTTGGCTTTCTGCTTTTGTATCCTGCTGTATTAAGAGGGCTCAGGGCAATACTATACATTAAAAAGAAAAGTAAAGCTGATATGTTAATGCTTTTCCAGCAGCGTTTTGTTCCAGATGTATTGTGTGCTGGTGCTGTACGTTGCTTTTAATTTTGCATCTATTTAAGTATACTGAAGCAGAGAAAGCAGATCCCTCCTCACATTGCTTATGCATGTTACAGATGCTTTAAAACACGTGAAGCAGTAGCTAAACTGTGTGCAGAAATTCTGTGAATATGATCTTTTGAGCTGGTCACGTTCTTGCTAAATCCAGATATTGTTTGGGTTAGTGTTTTTCTCCACATTACCCAAATTCTCTATTGAGCAGCCATGGCAGCAGTTAGTCCTGTGCAGAGATTATAGATTTCCAGGTGTACAATGATGTGATTGTACCGTGTTTGTATATGCTTATGATAGCATAAACTTGCTTTTTCTAAAATAGGTTTTTAAGATCCATATATTCAGTCAGAGTTAGATTCTGAAGTAACAAGACAAATTTAAAAAAACAACAACATTTTTTAAAAAAATCAGTATTCAGACAATATTATTTTGTTGGTTAGACCCAACTTTAGTATTGATATTGTCAAGAGTAGGGCCCTGGTTCCATTATCTACCACCAGCATATATGACACACACTAAAAAAGGAAGATAGGCCTTTAAATTTTATTTTACCCATGTAGTACGTGTTGCTTTATGCTTTATCTTTGTTTTTTGAACTGCATTCTAGGGAACTCTAGATTTCTCAGAAGCTTACTCAAGTTCCTCACTGAGAACATCAGAAACAGTGGACAATCATCCCTGAAAGACAGCTTTCCCATTTCTCACAATCTTCCCCTACAATGGCCAATCACAGCAAAGTGCTATATAGCGTGTGATACACTTTGAGTTTACACACACAGAGTGATGAGGTTGAATAGGCCTCTGATCATCATTCAGTGTGAACTGATTCTGCATGCTTAAACATGCCTCAGAACTTAGGTGGCCAGACTGGGGGTGTGGGGAGACAATAGATATTGAGAAGGTATAATTTCAGCAGGTGCAGCCTGTCTTCTTTTTCATCTGGCCACCCTGCCCAGAATCCATTGTAATGCAAGGAGTTCTTGCCAATCAACTCTGTGTGAAATGATTCCTTGAAAGAGGACAGTTTGAAAACCTCTTTTATAATCTTAGTAATTCATTGTGTAGAATCAGTGGGTTGTGCTTCTGATGGGGTCTGAAACATGTTATCTCTCTTTTTCTAAATGGAGCCCCTTTTAGGTGGCTAGACCCAAGTAACAACACACAAAGTGAAAACCAGTCCAAGCCTAGTCAGATACTACATTTGATTGTATTGGTTTTCCTTGTGGCTCTAGCTAATGCAAACTACATGGATTGGTTAGTAATATCAACCACCTGCCCCATTTCTTTAAAACACGTGGCACATCACACAATATATTATTTATTGACCCTGGGCAAACAACCCAGTACTGTGTTAACTACCAATAGGTTATGTCCTTACTTCCGACCTGATCCTACTTAAGCAACATGGAAAATTTGGCTCCTTACGATTTCATTAACAGATTATTCTGCCCTGTGGTCAGTAGAAGATATTGAATGTGTTTTTTTATTAGGTTGCTCCTAATCTTGGGTGCGGGTGGCGCTGTGGGCTAAACCACAGAGACTGGGGCTTGCCGATCGGAAGGTCGGCAGTTCAAATCCCCGCAACGGGGTGAACTCCCTTTGTTCGGTCCCAGCTTCCCACCTAGCAGTTCAAAAGCATGTCAAGTGCAAGTAGATAAATAGGTACTGCTCTGGCGGGAAGGTAAACAGCATTTCCGTGCGCTGTTCTGGTTCACCAGAAGCGGCTTAGTCATGCTGGCCACATGACACGGAAGCTGTCTGCGGACAAACACCGGTTCCCTCGACCTATAGAGTGAGATGAACGCGCAACCCCAGAGTCGCCCACGACTGGACCTAATGGTCAGGGGTACCTTTACCTTTACCTTTAATCTTGGGTAGTGATGTAGTTGTATTGGCACCAAACATAATGGCATGGATCATTTCTTCATTGAAGTATCATATCTTCCACTTACTGTGCTCATTGTCTCAGATAAATATCTTATCCCTTCTTGTAAGCAGGAAAAAAGTAGGATGTTGAAAGAGCAAATCCTGGGCCTATCAAATCACTGCAGAGTAAATGGAGTTCCTGTTGACTTTCAGCAGGATACCAATCACCACTGGCTTTTATATGAGTTGGCCTATAATTTAGAGCAAATTACTGTGTATGATCTGAATCCCAAATCTGTTTTTTGCAAAGGCTGGTAAGGTTGTTTGTGGTCTTTTTAAAACAACAACAACAGGGAAATGACGGCAAATCAATATGTGATTTTTGTGGCAACTTTTACAGTATGTTTGTTCTCTCTTTCCCACAATACGTGGCTGTAGATTTCTAACCCAAATCATCAGTTGCTATAGGAGTTCATTATTGAAGACTAATGCTACCTTTTCCAATGCCTAAATGATAGTGCACATAGCAAATCTCAACATTCTTACTCATGGGTTAACCTTCAGTGTCATAATATTTATGTAAGACTGTGATGCTGCATTGATGAAACAGTTAACACATGCTTTACCAAGCTTTTAGCGGCTGTCTCTTGAGATGCAGCTGCTCGTTATTTGTAACAAACAAATACAGTACATATTGGGCCGAATATAAGCCACCCTTGAACATAGGCCGCAACTGTAAAATGAGATATCTTAAATGAAAGGTTCTCTACACAGTTAGAGGCTGCACTAAGGTTTTTAGAAGCCAGATTTTTATTGGGGGGGTGGCATTTATTCAGACCAATACAAGGTTGTTGTTTTTAAAATAAAGTCATTAGGGAGCTTTACACCTTACATTTAAAATGTACACCTAAAAATACAAGACATGAATGTGCTCTGTGTGTTCTGTGATGTGTATGTTGTATAGGCATACACATCAAGAATCTACAGTTGGCTGTGGTTTTTTTAGTTGACTGTACACCTTTAAAGAGTGAACTTCATTTTTCTATCATGGAATGGAATGGCCCTTAGAAGCTGCAGCAATCCCACACAAGAAGAAGAAAGGAGCACACAGTGAGTGTGTGATACTTTCTGCGTGACCAGCTAATGTTCAGTTGAATTACAACCTGCCTGGATTTGATAGAGAGATCAGTACATTAATCAAAACGATGGAAGAAATTGAAAATGACATTTTAGAAAAAGTTGATTACGGGGTATATTTTAATCTTTATTATTGTCCAGATTTCACAAGAAGTGTTCTGCTGAATTTTTGTGTTGGTTTCTGTGGTTGGATCTCTCTACCAATGCTGAATAGGTTTGTAATTCTGTTGACATGGGTAGTGTTTAGAACCTCTATAGGCTTTGTTTCAAACCCACCCTACATTATGAGTTGATGTATAAAGTCAGTGGGGAGGTATATTTCCTATTCTTGTGGTTCTTAACTATGGAACTTGCAGCATCTACTATGCCCTGCATATCAAACCTTCAAATCATTTTATGCTCAACTAGTGTGCTGTAAAGAGCCATGACATTTTTATTCTAGCAAGGTAAAGGTATGACCAAAGTATCTTCTGGTCACTTAAGAGTGCTACATAATACACTTCTATCACACTTTTCCAGTGGCTGCTCTTCTTGCCTATTAAACTGTATTAGCACATATCTATAGTTCAGTTTTCCAGATTCATCATTGAAAGCTTGTATAGGTTGCTCACTTGTGGATTTCTTGTCTGGATCATAGAGGGGTGGTAGATTGGCCCAGAAGCTGCATCCTGAAAACATGTTTTCCTGACATCCACTAGTGAGGAAAGTCATTCCTTAGTTCTATACTAATGGAAAGCACATGCATGTCTTCTCACTTTTTGGTAGCACACAGGACACTAGTCATACTGGAACTTTAGCAGTGCACACTGCATTTGTGCTGCCTGGATTCCAGGCTTCCACTGTGCTGATATATCACTGATATATCAGATGATCTATCAGTCAGCCTAGACTGGCTTCTTAATAGATCACTGCCTATGTTGACTATCACTGCAGTGACAACTTTGACATATGCTTCTCTGCCAGATGAGTGAATGAAAGAATTACATGAGTACATGAGTCTGCTTATTTGTCTGTTTAGGAGTGAATGCCTATATCTGCTGTCAGATTCTCTCCAGGTAAAATGCTAGAAGGGTCAAATGTCCATTGTCGACAAAGGATGAGATCCTGTATCTCAGTCTTCCCTAAACTTGGAAGGGGGTGCAAAGTGGGGAAGGGGAGAGAATAGGGTTAATTGGTAGAATATATTAATAGGAAACTTCATTTCAGAATGCTGTCACTTATGCAGTTTACAGAATATTCTTGGGTAGGGAGAATATTTTTGTTAAGAAAAGAACAAATTCTAAGCAATTCAGTTTTGTTTACATGTTCTATGCCAAGAAAGACATTTGAAAAGGAAAATGCATTTCTGAGTTTTTGATTTGATGCAATTGTGTTGTTTTTGGCAATAGCTTGGGGAATATTCTTGGAAGTATACTGCATTAAACTTTGATTGTTGGCTTTTAATGCCAGCCTTGGTTATTTCCACACCCAGTGCTAATGTATATCTCATGGGTAGGCAAACTAAGGCCTGGGGGCCAGATCTGGCCCAATCGCCTTCTAAATCCGGCCCACGGACATTCCGGGTATCAGTGTGTTTTTACATGTGTAGAATGTGTCCTTTTATTTAAAATGCATTTCTGGATTATTTGTGAGGCCTGTCTGGTGTTTTTACATGACTAGAATGTGTGCTTTTATTTAAAATGTACCTCTGGGTTATTTGTGGGGCATAGGAATTTGTTCAACCTCCCCCCATATAGTCCGGCCCCCCACAAGGTCTGAGGGACAGTGGACCGGCCCCCTGCTGAAAAAGTTTGCTGACCCCTGGCTCAAAGGATAGCTAAGGAGGATTATACTAACCTTTAAACATGTGATCCAGTCTGTCTTATCATAAGATCATAACAAAAGCCCTACTTTATTAAGCCAAACACCTGTCTAGTTCAGCATCCTGTTCTCACAGTGCCCAGCCAAATGCCCATGGGAAGCCTGCAAGAAGGATTTGAGTGCAAGAGCACTTTCCCCACTTGCCTTTTCAGAAACTGGTATTCAGACGCATTCTGTCTCCAACTGTGTAAGTAGAACAAAGCCATTGTGGCTAGCAGCCATTAGTAGCCTTCTCATACCTAAATTTGTCTAATCCTCTGTTAAAGCCATCCAGGTTGGAGACCATCACTACCTCTTGTGCTAGCATATTCTAGAGTTTAACTATATACTGTGTGCAGAATTAGCTCTTTTTGTCTGTTTCAAATCTTTCAACATTCAGCCTCGTTGGATTTACCCAAGTTCTAGTATTTTAAGAGACATGGTGTTTTTTTGCTGTCTAATTTGTTCACATTGTGCATACATTGTGTACACATTGTGTACGTACATTGTACACCTTTATAATATCCTTTTTGACTTTTTCCTAAACACTTTAGAGTTAATAATAATAATAATAATAATAATAATAATAATAATACCCCGCCTATCTGGCTGGATTTCCCCAGCCACTCTCTGTGGCTTCCAGCAAAATATAAAAATATAATAAAACATCAAACATTCAAAAACTTCCCCATAGAGGGCTGCCTTCAGATGTCTTCTAAAAGTTGTGTAGTTCTTTATCTCATTGATATCTGATGGCAGGGTGTTCCACAAGGCGGGTTCCACTGCTAGGAATGCCCTTTTCCTGGTTCCCTGCAGCTTCACTTCTCTCAGTGAGGGAAGTGAAGTTGCAGAAAACCAGGAAGAGGGCCTTCTCGGTAGTGGCACCCGCCCTGTGGAACAGTTCATTGAAATTATGCCCCAAATGTTGTAACTGTTCCTCATTGAGAATTCTCCATCTCCTTGATCATTTTGGTCCCTTTTTTTATGAACCTTTCCCATTTCTATAAAATCCTTTTTGAGGCAGATGACCAGGATTGTACACAATATTTCAAACGTGGTTGCAGCATAGCTTTGCATAATGACATTATGTATTTGCAGCTTTATTTTATCCCCACACCCAATGATCCCTAGCGTGGCATTTGTCGTTTTCACATCTGCCATGCACTGGGTCAACATATTCATTGAGCTGTCTCCTATGCACTGAAGGTCTTGTTCCTGGGCAATCACTGTCATTTCAGCACCCATCAGCATATATGTGGAATTAGGATTAGTTTGGGCTACTTTACTTTTAGTCACTCATGGACAGTGTTGGGGAAAATATCTCAACTTTTAGGAGCCAGAATTAATTCTAAGGAACATTGGCTCCCCAGGAAGTCCATATTGATATGATCAGTGCAAAATCAGGAAAGTTGCATGTCCATCTCAGCCACAGTATTGCTACAAACTCCAGACTTTCCTTTTAACAGTGATGTGGTGGAGCAGACATGAAGTGCTGCCACTTACTTCACATCAGGGATGATGTTGTTATCTTGGGGCACTATTTGACATTTCTCTCCTTGCTTACATGTGTGCAAGTCTACTCAGAATTAAGCCCTATTGGGTTGATGGGATTACTCTTAAATGTGTATACTGAGGATTTATTTATTTCTTAGTAAAGCAAGTCGTTATGTATAATACATATAGTTTACCAGTTTGTTCTCAGACGGCTCATGTGCGGAGGGGACATCTTTTCCCTAAGTCTGCCCCTTCAACTTTTTCTGAAACTACATTGAAAGGGGGAAGTGGTTCTTTAAAAAGCCAGGCCAAACAAGGATGGAGGGAGGAATACAGAGGAAGAATGAGACAGCTTCAGGAGATGTTGGGTTCTGCATCAAATAAGGGCAGGGTTGCATACAGCCTCTGGGCCAACGACTGCCCATCTGTGTTCTAGAACAGTGTTTTTCAACCACTGTTCCGCGGCACACTAGTGTGCCGCGAGATGTTGCCTGGTGTGCCGTGGGAAAAATTGAAAAATTTGAAAGATTTAAAAAAAAATAAAATTCAAATTTTCGCCCACTAGGCGGGCGCCGGACTATGTCCTGGGTATGGGGGGGGTTTGACCCCACCCTCGGCCAGCAGGGGCGCCGATTGGCGCTCCTCAGGGGGACACCCTCTACTTTTCTGATGTCCGGGCTGTGATTGGTCCAGACTCCAGCCTGGACCTATCACAGTAGGACATCATCTTCCGACTTCCTTCCGGCCTGAGCACAGTGTGCGCAGCAGCGGAGAGAAGAAGACGTTGCGACTCGAGTCACCAGGAGGACCGGAGAAGTTGTCATTTTATTTCTCTTCGGTCTCCACTGAATGCCTTGACTGGGTTAGGGACCCTTATAGCTCAGCATCAGTTGGTGGAAAGGACATGACTTTACAGGAGCAGGAGGAACTAACTGAACTGAGACAAAATCGTGGTTTCAAGCTAAGATTTGCTGATCTACCTTTGGACAGTTTTTGGTTGGATACTGCCAAGGAGTTCCCTCTTCTGGCAAACAAAGCTATTTTGACATTGCTCCCATTTTCCACTACATATCTGTGTGAGATGAGCTTTTCAAGCATGATTGCTATAAAAACTAAATACAGAGAGAGACTGAGAGCTGTTGACGAAGAGCTACGTGTGTGTCTTTCTTCGATTCCAGCCAGAATATCAGCTTTGTGTTCAGCCAAACAGGCCCAGGTTGTGCACTGAATAAAGTATTTTATAATTTTTCATATTTCTGTTTACTTACTATTTCATAATAAAGTAATTATAAAATACTTTCTTTGTGTTTGATTCCTATTCAAGAGAATTACTTTATATATAGTCAATATAGGCACAGAGTTAAATTTTTTAACATTTTCTAATGGTGTTGTGCCTCGTGATTTTTTCCATGAAACAAGTGTGCCTTTGCCCAAAAAAGGTTGAAAAACACTGTTCTAGAATACCAAGCTTTCTCTCTGCTCAGAATGACTATCCTCCCAATAAAATATATTTTGTGTGTGTAAGCCAGCTGGCCATTGTAGCTGATTGGCAGAAGTACAGGTAGTTATGAGGGAGGGGGATTAATCAAGCACAGGAGGTAGCTTGGAATGTTTCAAATGCACACTCTTTCATATTGGAGTAAAGTAAAATTTAGTTATTCCAGCCATGCATGTACACACATACCCCACACTTGGGTTAATTGTATTAGTGACTATAACACAAATCAGTTGGGTACTAGCTTAGTAAAATAAGGTGCCAGCATTTTGAAGAAATACATGTGCTTTGTATTATTCAAATTGATCGTGCCTTTAGCATCCTTGCCTTTACTAGTTCCTAGTTAGAGACAATTTTTTGCACTTCATTTACACAGGCTTTGATTCTGATAATTCTTCAGGGGAGTTTTCAGAAGCAATTCATAAAGTCGATGTGGATGCCCACCAAAGTAATAGAACTGGAAGACACATTGGCGATGGACCAGTGCAAGAGAATGGAATCAAGAAACACAGGTATTTTCCAAAGCAGACCTAACAGCAATTACTATCTGGTTCATGCAAATCATAGCAGGTTCTTTTGTTTGGACATCCATTAAGCAACCTTGCCACTTCCTGGGAAGAGAGGCTTAAATACATCTACAGTGGTACCTCTGGATACGCACACCTCTGGTTGCGTATCCTTCAGGACGCGAATGTGGCAAACCCGGAAGTATTTTTCTGGGTTTCGTCACGCGCAAAATTGCTGTACCGCGGGCATGCGCAGAACAGGCATCTCCAGTTGTGAATTCCTCAGGATCCGACCGGAGCTCCAGAATGGATCCTGTGTGCAACCGGAGGTACCACTGTATATACACAACTTAAGGAAACGCTTCTAAGAATTATGATAGGGAAGGGAAGCAGAAGCTAGCTTACTTGTGGGTGGTACTGCAGCCTGAAACATTTCTGTTTGGTTGTTTTTAACAAAAATAATTCTCTCTCTAAAACTTTGACCTAATTATTTTTGAAAAGAGGAAAACAAAGCAGCTTATAACAACAGCAGCAATAACAAAACTAGCAGCAACTGTTGGTTTTAAAGGCTGTCTCCCACATCATCACTTGAGAACACTATGGATAAATTGAAGATGGGGGAGTCACATCTTTTGGAAAGCAGCAAAATGAAGTTTTGTATGTTTGTTTAATCTCCTTGACTAAATAAAATGGGGATGACTCACTTGGTTGTATACAGGCACTTGTTACTTGCCATATGTAAGCAAGTGAGAACTCAAGGCTGCCACGTCATGTGAACTGGCCTGGAGTGGCCTTGGTTAGATTGCTGCCTGTTAGCTTTAGTTCAAATAGAGTGCTCATATTCTAGTCTAATGCAGTCAGGTGACCTTGTCAGCCTAATTTCACTGTCAAGACTTTCTCTTGCTTTCTTCTGCGTGGTTAATACTAATTCTAGAACCTGCATTTATTTTACTTGTACGTCAGTCTCATTCTTTTGAATGGATCTTTCATTTCAAGTAGATATACCTAAGATCACAATCTTAGAATCAGTTTCTTTGTCTTTCCCTCTGGGTGTATTTAAAAATGCATGTAAGCAGTGAAAAGATTGTTCTTGCAACATCATAAAGTTGTGTGGTTTTGACAAAGTGCTGGAATCCTGGATAATTGATTGGAGTTCTGCATGAGTAAGGACTACATTGTTGGGACTTAGAAGTGACAGTTGCAGATGGATGCTTTTACCAAAAAGAGTTCAGTAGTGGTTTTAACCTGCTATTCTCTCTCCCCCCCACCCCTCTACAGAACATCATTACCTGCACCAATGTTCACTAGGAGTGATTTCAGTATCTGGAGTATCTTAAAAAAATGCATTGGACTGGTGAGTTACTGTCACATACTGATGTAGTTTACCTGGTGCTTTTGATAAAATTTGCATTGCTTAGTGAGGGCAAAGGTCAAGTTTGCAGATGCAAAATAGAAGTACCAGAACTGTTGTGGTACAATGCAGAAAGCAAAGAGTGAAATTGGCTTGTTCTGTTATCCATGCTGAAGTACAAAAAATACATAATATTATTACTGCTCTTTGTTCTGGTAATGAAGGCAGTGATGGTTTTGTAAATGAAATAGCAGCACTTTGACTCTTCTGGTCCTAATTGCTAATTTTTCCTCTTTTCTCTCTTATTCCCCACCTTTTAAAGTTTTTTTTTTAAAGTTTCAATCTTTTTCTTTAAATGATTTTTGTGACGATTTGGTAGGTAGTCCTGATACAAATTAAATCCTTAGTGTATTGCTCTGTGTTGAGCACACATTTGAAATATTTCCTCAGACTATGCTTTCACATTACATTATTTATGTATCTGTGATTATAATTCCATATTTTGAAGATACTGGTCTGTTACTGTGGATCAGTCCCATGAATTGCCTAATGTAGACAGTTACCCAGCATTGAGAGGCAAGCTAGCAGGTGATATTTAACAATAATATTTCTTTTACCTTTTTGTGTTTTCTTGCCATTGGCACACATGACTAGACATCTGGGGCGTGAATGCTTATTGTGATAGTGCAAGCTTTCTAAATTTTGTTTTAACCACATTCTCTGTATATCTGCTGCTTTAGTAGGAGGCTGACAGTGATTTTTAGCTGATGTCTCATGCTCCATTATACACCATGCCTCTGCATTTTATCATAGTTGCTCAAGCCCTTGTTTCTTATTCATATTGTATGCATTTTCTCTTGTACTGTTTAGGAGTTGTCTAAGATAACCATGCCCATTGCCTTCAATGAACCCTTGAGCTTCCTCCAGCGGATAACAGAATATATGGAACACACATACCTCATTAATAAAGCATGCAGTCATTCAAACTCGGTAGAAAGAATGCAGGTAATGTTAGCTATCATGCAGCTTTGCCCTTCAAATTCTTTCCATCGTGCATTTAAGATGGCTGGCTGCCTGCCTATGTAGAGAGTTGTGGGGGCTTATAGGAAGCAAGCTTATATGACTGTCCTAATAAGTTGCTTATTTGAGTGTTTAGCAATTTGCAGTAAGTATCATGAAAAGGTTTTATGTTCAGGTCACTCAACCATTGCAGAAGCAGCACCTTTTCAAAATTATTGTAAATCTGTCACGAACTGAGCTAAATGGCAGAATACCAGATCCCAGAGGTAACAGTATAGAAATTAAAATCCCGTAAAGGATCTTGTTGCTTTATTAAACCCCAACAATTTTAGCACTCATAATTTAGACATGACTATCCTCACAGCACTAAAAACTCTTACAAATATAGAGGTTAAATGCACCTAATTCATGGTGACACCAGGTGATGAACCAGTTGGTAGCCCCATCCACTTGTCAAATTGGATCAAACTCTTGACACTTGGGGAAGCAAAAGGTCCAGCTGGAAGAGGTTCCTCACCTGTGGCTTAGAGAGAAGATTGCATCTCCAGAAGCAATTGGTCTTTTTTGTTTAGGGAACATTTAAACACCATTTGAGAATAGTAAAGGAAAAGTTATTACAGCATATAAAAATCATAATTGCCCATTTGGGATTGCCTTTTGTTTTACATTAAGATTCCTTACCACTATGCTTTTTGCAGGCTGTTGCTGCTTTTGCAGTTTCTGCTGTAGCCTCTCAGTGGGAGAGAACTGGCAAACCCTTTAACCCTCTTCTTGGAGAAACATACGAATTAATCAGGTGAGAATACCAACTTTGACAGAGTCTTGTTTTTCCTTTGAGATATACACATTCCAACTGGCTTGAACAAAATGGGTTTTTCTAGGAGTGTAAAGTCTGCTTGGTCTTTGTTAATGTAAACTATTTCAAATGTTAGCCAAAACTCTCTGATCTGTATCAGATATGCTGTTTGATCAGCCATCTAATTGTTTAGAAATTGTGCAAAATATGAATGTTAAGAAGATTTTCTTGAGGTATAAAGAGGGTGCTCAGGAGGGCCCCAGACTATTGGGGCTGCTTATGAACTACACCATAATCTCCTACTAGAATCTTTACTGTCCTTTTATGGCATTTCTGTATGGGCTCTGGAGTGGGGGATTTTTGAAATCCCAGTCCCCATGTTGACTACACGCAGGCTTCTCTAGCACTACATTGTTTAGCTGATGGTGTGGATAAACATGGATGAAGGGTGTGGAAAACCAAATGAAAGGGGTTGTATCCATTGTTGTGCTCCACACCTTGGTGGTGGGGGTAAGAGATAAGGGAGAAAGTCCCATTGCTCAAGCAAAAATCCTTGCATGTCCCAGCTCCTAGGGGCAAAGGCAGTTTCGGAGCCCCCTATGTTTTTTAGAGGGAGGCTGGCCCCCTCAATGTTCAGAGGGCATTCGGCTCTTCAGGATGTCACACCGGGCCCACTCAGTGAACTCTGATTGGCAGGGTGCAATACCGCCCAAAATATTTGCCTGTGTATGTGATAGTACGTTGTGTTGTTTTATATTCAAGTGCCAAGCCAAGAATGCCATAAATTCCCATGTAGACATGTTTTTGTTGTATTAATGGTATTGTATAGTTTGCTGGTGATGATATTGGTACTTAATACTCAAGTATCTACCTCATCACAGTGCTTAAAAAGGTTTATCTACTAATAAGTAACATGGGTAGTGGGGCAGAGTTATTTCCAGCTGTTGTAGGGGAGAGCAGTTGGATTGTACAGCAGTAATTCAGAACTGGTATTCTGTCTCATTTATACTGATCATTGCCTTTTCTTCTTTGTAGGGAGGATTTAGGATTTAGGTTTATTTCTGAACAAGTCAGTCATCACCCACCTATCAGTGCTTTTTATTCAGAAGGCTTAAACCAAGACTTCATTTTTCACGGATCAATTTACCCTAAACTGAAGTTCTGGGGGAAGAGTGTAGAAGCAGAGCCACGGGGAACAATAACATTGGAACTCCTAAAGTATGTATATATATTTTCTCTTGTTACCTATGTATGACCTCCAAACTGTCTCATGTAAATGCATAGTATATTGTGATCTTTCTCTGGTTTGCATAGGCCTGTGAGTAGTTGAGCTTAGGTAATTTGAGGGTTTTTTTTGCAGTGTACTAGGAGATGAAACACATATACATAAATTACAGTGTGTGAATTGGTTGAGACTTCTGCAGATGATGACACAATCACATGACTTCAACATTTGGGCCTCATTCCCTACCCCTCAACCCTTAGGCAGTTGGCATTTTCTGAAACAAAAAAAGGGAATTCTTCTGCTTCTTAAACTGTTATGAGATATGTGATCAAGAGCTCTGCTGTATTATGGATGACACAAAGTTATCGCTGTCCTGGACTTGGATAACAACTGGTTCAAAATAGGCATCAATTGATTTAACAGTTTGGTGGTTTGCTTTGTTGAATATCAATAAGAAAATACAAAGGACAAACAGATAAGTCTGAGCACTGCTGGGATACAAAAGATAATAAACTACTGAGATGCTTGACATACATGGAAAACAGAATTTAGAAATGATACTTTATGTAATAGCTAAAGTCAAAATAGAAAATATAGACGAGCTTAAGAGCCAAACAGCAAGTATTTCTGTACAGAAATCTATTTGTCTCAAGAGCACGTTTTACAGTTTAAGCATTCAATACTCAGATTTAAACCCTCACATGCTACCTGTATGTTGTTGCTGAAATCAATATTCCAGCCATATTTATTGATCTTTCACACACACATTGTGTGTGTGTGTGTGTTCAGGGTCTCCTAGTCCAGGAATTATTGAAGCTATTGCACAAGGCATAGCTGATAAAAGTTGCTTCTAGTCACGGAGGCTACCTGGGCTCCAGTGACAATGCTGCAACCAAAAGCACCCCTGCCCAGGGCAGGCAATTTGCCAGTTTCTCAGAATGAAGTTGTTGCACCATTTTGGAGGCATATTCCTCAGTATCAAAGGTCCACACTGCACATACAATCAAATGCATGTAACAGTAGCCCATGAGTCCATTTTAGATTACGAAAAGGTGCTTCCAGTGAAGGGACTAGGAAGTGATGAGGGGGTGGTTAACCCTTTCCTCATTCCATACTGTCCCCTCAATGCATCACGCAGTTTTAAATTAACGTGCATTTCGGAACCCAGGAGGGTAAATCTTGCAGGTGGAGATATTGAAAATGGGAAAGGCATGGGAGGAAAGAATTAAGAATTCTTTCTCCTTACCACCTACCTGCTCTTTATTGTCCTCACAAGTAGTGATGTCTGTCATCTAAATGGGTATCTAAACTGCTGTTATGTGCATAATATGTAACTTGGTGTAAAATTATGAGATCTTGAATTCAATTACTGCATGTTTAGAGGTGAAATTGCATGTTGATTACATTTAACATGCTTCAAGAGCTTTTAGTACTAGAAAAGAGAGAGATTTGACAGAAGTGCAAGACACCGGCGATAAACACCTTAGCAGAAATAATCATTTCTGTCTGCTGATTTAACTCAAGCTTCTTTTAGCAAGGGCTCTCAGCAGATACTACCCACATATTCAGATTATTAAGGAACTTCAAACAAGCCTCTTTTCTTTCATTCAATTGCTTATTCGCCTTCCATCTGTTCAGAACATGGCACAATTACAATGACTGAGGGTGAACATTGCAGAGACCGCTACAAAAACAGGAGCTGTTCATTGGAAAATGATCCGGAGCGCTTGGATTCTCTTTTCAGATTCTCTGCTTTTAGCGTCCCTGGTATCTGATTGGCCTTTCTTCTCTCCCCCACAGACATAATGAAGCTTACACATGGACTAATCCTACTTGCTGTGTACATAATGTAATTATTGGCCATCTCTGGATAGAACAGTATGGAACAGTAGAAATTATAAATCACAGGTATCCTTTATTTATTTTATTTCATTTGTATTCCCAACCCTTTACCTTCACGGAACTCAATTTTTGCCACTATGTGTCATTTAAAAACTGGAAAGTGGAACAGAGTACAGTGGTACCTCAGGTTACATACGCTTCAGGTTACAAACTCCGCTAACCCAGAAATAGTGCTTCAGGTTAAGAACTTTGCTTCAGGATGAGAACAGAAATCGTGCGGCAGCAGCAGGAGGCCCCATTAGCTAAAGTGGTGCTTCAGGTTAAGAACAGTTTCAGGTTAAGAATGGACCTCCGGAACGAATTAAGTTCTTAACCCGAGGTACCACTGTACTCCTATCTTACAGTATGTATAGATTAATGAATTAAAATAAAATACTTCTAGCTCAATTAAGTGGCACAATTGTAATGAAGTCCAGTTTTCTTCTGGTCACTTGGGGAGCAGTTAAGTGATAATGATTTGAATGGGTGTGCGCTATTATCTCCTTTGTGTTTGGTAGAGATGTTCCTGTGTTTGAAAGATTTGTTGCTAATTTGGAGGTCCGTGTATGTGATCTGCTTCTGCTGGAATTTTTTTTCTGAGCATTACCTCCTTGACAATTTCGCCTGTATGGATTTTTATGTGGGGTCCAACCTCTCAAGCAAATATTTTTTGGCCCCCACGATGCCACTGACTTTTGCAGCAGTGAGTAAAAAAATTAAAATTAACCTAGCACTGGGAAGGGTGGAGCCCAGTGCCCTAATGAGGAAGCAGATCATCCCCTATACCATTGTCAGATGGACCATTTGATGGGCCGAAAGGACCTTGCATTCCTTGGCTAATGTGCATGGATCGTCCGAGGAGCAGCTTGTGGTGTTGGTGTGTCCAGTATGTAGGTGTGTGAGAGAGAGTGGGGTGACCACACCCACCGCTGGGATGCAGCCCCCAGAGAGTTGGCCAAAGGAGAATGTGGCTCCCAGACCCAGTTATAAGCTTCCTGTCTTTCATAAAGAAGCCTGAAAGTTTGGTGCACTCTTCTTTGCTTATATTTCCCTTTTAATAGCTCTTGTACCAAACCTTCAGACGATGACTTAAATATCATGGAGTTGAAATTCATGCCCAGGGGGAGCAATGGAGATCTGTTGCCATTTTTCACAAGACAGCAGCCACAATCCCTCTTGTACATGCATACCTTTCCATCCTTCCCCTTTCCTTTTTACTTGTACAGCATCACATTGTATCTTAAACCTGTTGTTGAAACTCTGCATGTATGGTTGTAGTGATCCCAACACAGTGACTACCGAAATCATGCTGGTATCAGGCAGAAGGCTTTTACAAGAACTTTGTGAGGATTCAACACCAAGGAATTAATCTGTTAACTACACTTTGTTTTCCTTTTGCAGTACTGGAGATAAATGTATCCTTCACTTTAAACCATGCGGTCTGTTTGGGAAAGAGCTTCACAGAATAGAGGGCTACATTCAGGACAAAAAGTAAGTCTACGTGCTTGTTTACGTGTTCAGGGATTGAGCTCAGTTGTCCTACTCTAGTTTGAGCTCGGCTAGAGGAAAATTTGAGAGGGAGTATGCAGACATACCTGGCCACAGAAGCTGATGTAAATCAAGCTTCTGTAATAAACATTTGTTTGAAGAATATGTTACTGACATCCTGGGTGGAAAATGTAAATATAAGGTTGCTTAGTAAACCTGCAATATTCCCTTCCCTTATTTTATTTTACCAGAAGAAATAATCTTAGAGTGGAAGTTCAAGTTGAACTCTACAAAAAACACACCCTCGTATTGCTCTCTTTCCCCTGCAATTGTTTTGATCACTTCCTGTGTCCTGGTGGTGTCATATTGTTCATTTCCACACACACACACACCCATTTGTTGCCTTCTGATGGTGGGAAGGATAAATACACTTTTTGATGATATTGAGATGCAAGTGACTCATCTTCCATGTTACAGAGGAGCAACAGTGAGCTCAATAGGGTGTCATTTTTAGCAGCAGCTCCTTGCTGAAAGTAACATGCAGTTCTGCTCATAGTTTGGTCTGAACTAAATACAGTCTGGACTTTAGTTATGTTCAGTGTTATTATTTTTCAAAATAAACAGTAAGAAGAAACTTGCAGTGATCTATGGCAAATGGACAGAATGTTTGTGGTGTGTTGATCCTTCCACTTATGAAAACTACAAGAAGAACGAGAGGAGAGGTGGTGACCAGAGGAAACCAAAGCCGGTAATGTTTGTTGATGTTGTGATGGCAGGAGGAGGACTTAAACTCTTAAACTTAAACTCTTTTACTTAAATGAGGTGTTCCTCAAAAAGGAAACATTGGAAGGAACCAAACTGATGCAGTATTAGGTGGACTGAGTAAAGCTTATACTTGATTATCTTTGTGACAAGGGTCCAGATCTTCCAAATTAAAGTGTTTTGTGAACTCCCACAGACTTCAGTATCTGCCTGGAATGAGCATTAGGAGAAGCTGCTGTCCAAATTTAATCACATCTTATCGTCTTCACATTAGATTGTTAAAAATGAGAATGCTACTGATGCATTGGGGTTTTTTAGCTGTAAAGCTGTAAATTGAGGCTATGCTGTTCTGCGACTTTTTCTGTTTGGGCATATAATAAACCCTTTAATAGAGCCCCTCTGTGAACAATCTCAGGTTTTCATTTTGTCTCCCGCTTCTTCTGTACTCTGTGGATTGTAAATCTCCTGGGATCAAGAGCTAGATTTTAATGTACCAATATCCAATCTCCTTTCTTGATGTATTTGTGTTCTGGGAGTTACTACCTGTTATTTTGAGAGAGGCCCATTCTTGGGCCTCAGCTTACATACGGTTCTTGGGGGGAAATGACTATTTGCTTGTTTGTATGAACAAAAACAGAAGAAAAGAGAATAGAGGCTGGAATAGAATATAAAAGGAGCAATGAATAGGGTTGTTCACACAGCCCCCATCCGAACTTGTCCTGGAGTCCTGATTTGGGGCGCCAGATCACCACCTACCTGGGGAACACCACCTACCTGGGGAACACCTGGGAATCTGGCCCCAAATCAATTCAGAGGCAGGGCATATGTTCAGTTAGGATTATTTTACATCTTTCCTTTAAAAAACAAAAAAAACAAACAAAACCTAATTAACCATATGCTGCAGGTAGGGGAAGGAGAGGCTGTGTCTTGTCCTTCCCTGGCCTTGCTCTATATCACATTTAATCAGGATTTAAAGCCCTGATAAAGCATGAGAATCAAGAGGGGGGCAGGAGAAGAGATGCTGTGTCATTTTGAACTTGACATACTTCTTACTTTCCCTGAACTATGTCTTTGTTTCAAGAGTGATGATCCTGATAATGATGAAGCAGATGATATGCCAGAGATCCAAGAGACTGTGCAAGTTGTACCTGGCAGTAAGCTACTTTGGAGGATAAGCACTAGACCACCAAATTCATCCCAGGTAAGTTGCTTATTAATTGGTATATTGGGAGCAGGGACATAATTCAAAAGACCTAGTTCAAGTAAGGTAGACTAATCACACTACAACAATCAGACCAAAGGCCTATCTAGTCTAGCATTCAGCTCTCACAGCAATCAGCCACATGCCTACTGTAAGAATTTGTGTGTGTGTGTGTGTGTGTGTGTGTGTGTGTGTGAGAGAGAGAGAGAGAGAGAGAGAGAGAGAGAGAGAGAACAAACCTTTTGTTACTCTTGAGCTCTGCTACAACCAAATGAGAGAGAATCTATCTTGACCTTTGGACTCTGTATTCTTACTATTAATAGTGTTGTTATTAGATGTTTTATTTTGCCTATCATGGAAGGTTTAAGGAACACCAGGTAGAGATGGTTACCAGTACTCTTTTATATTACATTAAAAGTGTGGGAATTATAGGGGGAAAGGAAACTCTGAGGTCATTCCAAGCTAAGTAGTTTGCCATGCTGCCTATTGATGTACCCACATAATATATGTGGCTCAACCTGCCTCAAGATTATTATTTCACTATCTGTACTTTTTTCCTGTTTGGCCATAATGAGGATTGGTAGTACTATGGCAGAATGAGAGAGATAACTGAAATTCTGCTGATTTGAATTTGGATATTAGACACAAGCTTTTCCAATAATAATAATAATAATAATAATTTATTATTTATACCCCGCCCATCTGGCTGGGCTTCCCCGGCCACTCTGGGCGGCTTCCAAAAGAATATTAAAATACTATAATACATCAAACATTAAAAGCTTCCCGAAACAGGGCTGCCTTCAGATGTCTTCTAAAAGCCTGGTAGTTGTTGTTCTCTTTGACATCTGGTGGGAGGGTGTTCCACAGGGAAGGCGCCACTACCGAGAAGGCCCTCTGCCTGGTTCCCTGTAACTTGGCTTCTCGCAGTGAGGGAACCGCCAGAAGGCCCTCAGTGCTGGACCTCAGTGTCCGGGTAGAATGATGGGGGTGGAGACGCTCCTTCAGATATACTGGACCAAGGCTGTTTAGGGCTTTAAAGGTCAGCACCAACACTTTGAATTGTGCTCGGAAACGTACTGGGAGCCAATGTAGGTCTTTCAAGACCGGTGTTATGTGGTCTCTGCGGCCGCTCCCAGTCACCAGTCTAGCTGCCGCGTTCTGGATTAGTTGTAGTTTCCGGGTCACCTTCAAAGGTAGCCCCACGTAGAGCGCATTGCAGTAATCCAAGCAGGAGATAACCAGAGCATGCACCACTCTGGCGAGGCAGTCCGCAGGCAGATAGGGTCTCAGCCTGCGTACCAGATGGAGCTGGTAAACAGCTGCCCTGGACACAGATTTGACCTGTGCCTCCATGGACAGCTGTGAGTCCAAAATGACTCCCAGGCTGCGCACCTGGTCCTTCAGGGGCACAGTTACCCCATTCAGGACCAGGGAATCCTCCACACCTGCCCGCCTCCTGTCCCCCAAAAACAGTACTTCTGTCTTGTCAGGATTCAACCTCAATCTGTTAGCCGCCATCCAACCTCCAACCGCCTCCAGGCACTCACACAGGACCTTCACTGCCTTCACTGGTTCTGATTTGAAAGAGAGGTAGAGCTGGGTATCATCTGCATACTGATGAACACCCAGCCCAAATCCCCTGATGATCTCTCCCAGCGGCTTCATGTAGATGTTGAAAAGCATGGGGAGAGGACAGAACCCTGAGGCACCCCACAAGTGAGGGCCCAGGGGTCTGAACACTCATCCCCCACCACCACTTTCTGAACACGGCCCAGGAGGAAGGAGCGGAACCACTGTATAACAGTGCCCCCAGCTCCCAGCCCCTCAAGACGGTCCAGAAGGATGTTATGGTCGATGGTATCAAACGCCGCTGAGAGATCCAGCAGAACTAGGAAACAGCTCTCACCTTTGTCCCTAGCCCGCCGGAGATCATCAACCAGTGCGACCAAGGCAGTTTCAGTCCCATGATGAGGCCTGAATCCCGACTGGAAGGGATCCAAATGGTCCGCTTCTTCCAGGCGTGCCTTAATGCACAAGCATATTCTTCAGTTGTGCAAAAATGCTGTGGCAGGTTGCCAAAGACAATATTTCCGAGCTCAAAAAGTATTCCACAGCAACCAAACAGTATTGATCTCCAAAACTGATATTTCACTTTGATGGTCACTTCTTGCATCATCTCTGTACAAGACACAATAGAAAACTCCATTTTTGGGACTGTTTCCTGTGCTCGTTCCCTGTAGCAGGGCAGACATCTCTAATATTGATGATCAATCCACATTTTGTGCTTGTGGACTGAAAGGATTCCATTTGGCTGCTGCGTGTTTTTCAATGGCAGGACTGTTGTTAATGGGCTTCCTTTTGTGCTGCTTTTGCTGTTATGAGAGATGTGAATTTGCCCCCCCCCTTAAAATAGAAATGACCTCTTCCAGGTCATTCTCACATTGCTTCTGTTCTGTGTTTCATCATCTCTGATTGCCTTGCCATCTCTGTGTTCTTGGGCAGACGTTGCTTATGATTCTATTGGAGGTGTTTTTGATTTTCCGGTTGCTTTTTTTGGCAAATTCAGTGTTCAACCAGTTCATACAGGACTCGGACAAATGACTCAGCAGTTTCTCCTAGCATAGTAGGCTGCAGTCCTAACTCCACTTACCTGAGTATAACCCCCATTTTATGAAACAAGACTTACCTCTGAGTTAGGTTAGGATTGTGCTGTTAGCTCTCTGATAAAAGTAGGCCCTCTGAGGAAGCACAGCACATTTTGGAATGAAGTATATATGGAATTTAAAAGCAATGCTGTCTTCTTTGCCCCATAGCAGCTAATAGCAGTTTCCAATGAGGGGAGGGGGAGAGACTCACGTTGCATGAAAGGCTAAAGCACTTCTTCCTTCAGTGCTTCCCCTGAGGGGATCTCCACCCAAGCACTCACTGTTACTTTGTTTAGGAGGAAGGCTTGCTCGCTTATCTCTGCATAGCACTGGTGGGTAATGCCATAGCACATCTTTATAGGATGCAAATGTCAGTTCACCCTGACAATATAAACACATTTTTGTTTTCGTTCAAGATGTACAATTTCACCAATTTTGCCGTCAGTCTCAACGAACTAGAAAAAGGCATGGAAGAAGTGTTGGCTCCCACTGACTGTCGATTGAGGCCAGACATCAGATACATGGAGAATGGAGAAATTGGTATGTGTGAGTGGGTAGGTTTTAGGAGTGGGCCTGCCGGCCTGCCTGCCCATGCAGATTAGAAATTCCAAGCATTATATTCTGCCATTTTGCATGCCTCTTTCCTCTCATTTATGTTAATGCAGAAATTTATAGCCTGCCCTTCAGTAAGTTCCCAAGGCAGGTGGATGGTAGAATGGGCCTCTGGGGGGCGGGGAAGTAGTCACCCACGTAACTGCCTATGGACTACTTAAAGCTTCAGGTATCACATATTATAATAAAACTGCAAATTATAAAATGATACTCCGGAACAGCTCCCTGTTGGCTTAATTCCAGCCACCTTTCACCCAGCTTCGTCTAGTGATCAGGCTGCAGTGCTTTCTCTTTGATTCAGACCTGACAGTTGTGCCTTTGTAATCTTGCAGTCATGCTGCTGTGTTACTTTTTAGTAGAGCTGCTTTGGTGAATGGGAGGGTGCAGCTGTTAATGGATTGCGGTGCCTTGCTTCCTGCTGGCAGACCCCTCACAATTATGGGATTTGCCTTTCTGGGCAACTTGCTAAAATCAAAGCCTGGGCATCTTTCAGTGACCAAGTTTAAGGTGGTGGTCTGAGTAGAATGAGAAAAAATTGCTTTGTGTTGTGAGCTTTCCTTAAATGTGTTCTTAAAACTATCTGGATTTTGTTTCTCTACCTTCCATTCCTTTGTACTTTTTCTCCTTATTTTATAAAGTAATCAGTCCCTATTAAAATGTCTGTTAGATCTGGCTAGCAAAGAGAAAGAGAGACTAGAAGAGAAGCAGAGAGCTGCTCGTAAGGAACGTGCAAAAGATGAAGCCGAATGGAGAACAAGGTAACTAGTGGTGGAAACGGAAACTGGCTGTGCAGTTAGGCTGTTTGCAGTTATGGCCATATGAAGATTACCACAAGTGCATGTTTGTTGGTAACATGCTTACTCTGAGGAGGGAGGCTGTTTGTGTGAACAGAGAAACTAGATGAGGTTGGTATAAGGATCAAAGTAGTGTAGAATCGGTTTGTGCAGTCTTTTTCCTCCTCAGAAATCCCTGTGCCTTCTTAATGAACAGTATAGAGAAGCAGTGCAGCCTTTTCTGGTACTACTACAGCAGTGTGCTCAATAAGTGTTATTAATACTAATGTTAATAGTGCTGGCAACTGACCTAATGCTCAGATGGGTTGCTGAAGGGGGAACTGGGTGGGAACCTGCAAGTTCTCCTTAAAGCCAGTGAAGGGTCATAACTCTTTACCCTGGCATTTTACACTAGATAGATAGGACCTACTCTAGTTGTGATTTGTTTCAATGCTGTATTTTATATTGCTGTAACCCACACGGGGACCGTTTGGTGAAGGGCAAGTAATAACTCATCATACTCCAGTAACAGAGGCCATCCTTCTCTGACAGGTTAAGGTATGGCTGTGGGACCCTCCAGACTGGAGCATTTGTGTGGGTGTGTTCTGTGACACATCATTCACACAGTAATGGTGCATTAGCTGCAGATTTATGCTGGACCATCTGCACTCCTGCATTATAGTGCAACAAAAGCGGGCAAAATGAAGTAAGGCGGAACCATAAAAGTTACAGAATTTCCTTGAGGCATTTATAGGTCAAAAGTAGCACTTTGAATTGAGCCTGGAGACTAAGAGTGTAGTCGTGCTAGAATTGGTTTTATATGCTTGGACTGTCTTGCTCCAGTCGGCAATCTGGATGCTGAATTCTGCAACAGCTGCAGTTTCTAAACCATCTTCAAAGGCAGCTTTATGTATAACGCATTACAGTCATTTAGCCTGGAGGTTACCAGAGCTTAGGCAACAGAGGTTAGGCTTTATTAATGTATTTTACGGTTGCACCTAACATTTCCCCAACCCACTGTCTCCTTTTTTCCACAGATGGTTTTATCAGGGCACCAATCCATACCTTGGGACTCCTGACTGGTTATACTCAGGAGGGTACTTTGATAGAAACTTCTTTGACTGTCCAGATATATACTGAAATCTTGAATGCAGTTGCTCCTTTGCCCAGGTTCGGCAGACTTTACTCCAGTGACTCTGGCACCGCCATGACCAGAAACCATCCTTTTTCTAAAGCTAAATTTTAATGAAAATTATCAGTCATCAATGAAGGAATTGTCACAATTTTGATTGCCAAAATGTCTCCCTAAAGCTGCAACCTGAAATTATCATGTTTCAGAGGAAAGTGGTTTGCACGTTTTTGTTTGATTCCCGCTTATTTGTCATTTTATTTTTGGCCAGAACTAATGCAGTGTAGCCAGAGGGGAGGCAGTACTGACTCCAACGTGTAACTTCTTAAATACAGATGATAGCCAAGGAATTTCTTAAGTGTCAGCAGTAAGAGATGCCTTTTAAGTATTCTGAACTTGGAGCAACAATGGTGAATCGGTACGATAGAAATATGCTTATGGCCATTGGAAAGGTATCTAATGAGAATCGGAGCAACTGGAATTATTGGGAGTCTTCTGAATCGCCTGTAATTTTAAAAGTTTGACAAATATAGCATTAGGCTTAACTTGCAGTTTCGGAAGCTGTTACTCTGTTCTGCCTCAATTTTAGGGCACTGTGATTATCAATGAAATGAAGTACCTGTGATTTCCCCGCCCCCCAAACAAACTTTTGCATTGAATGTTGGGCATGGTTTGTAGGTGTTCATAGCAGGCACTTCCTTGTTTGAAGTTTCAGAATGTTTTGCTTTTAAAACACATGACACTTTGGAAATATTTATAGGACCAGGGTGCTTTGTGTGTAACATGTAAGAAACAACATTTTTGCTTCTGTTTAGACATACCTGCTTTGACAGGTTGACATTATTCAGGATTTTTAGGCATATTTACAAACACACACTCCTTTCTCTTTGGATTTACTTGGAATGTATCTGCAAAAAGGTCATGATTTGGTGTGGTTTTTTTAATGCTTGTTCTGAAGCACTGACTGTGTCAGGACTGATTCTTGAAAAGCAATTCCTTCTTGCTACCTTTTGGCTAAAGCTGGATGATTTTAACGGAAGCTTTCATTGAACTTTCTTGAGAGTGGATTTATTTTTGCAGATTTAAACTTTGGGAAAGCCATATAATCCCTGAGCTATTTGAGTCATGGACAGGGGAGTGTTTTTCTGGTTATTTATACATTTCTAGAAGTCAGGTAAACATTACTGACTAGTTGTGGGCTTGAAGAAAAATCAGGTGGGCAATTCACCCATTTTAAAACATTTTCAAAAACAAATGGTTAAATTTGTGAAATCTATGAAATTAGAGAGAAGCTCCTTGTGAAATTCACTGTAATTACTGACATCAGGAGGGGTTGCAAGGACAATTTAGTGATCAATTATGTGGATATAATATGAGGGGCTATAGCATTTTGGCTATTTTAGATTTACCACTTTATATATTTAAGGTGTCCAAGCTGCTTTTTCACGTATATTTTGAAGCATCATACTTACAGATGTCAACCCAAGACCTGAAATTTGAAGTGCATCTAAAGAAGTAAAGCTTTAGAGACGTTTATTTAAAAAACAGCTGTTGGGGTTGCATAGCTATTTTGTTGCAGTGCCCATGGAGCAGGAAAATTTGACTGCAGCATTATTTTAGGCACATTACATTAATATTTCCAGCAAAGAAGTTCCCATGAAAACATTCAAGGCAATAAAAGACACTGCTGAGAGAACTGTCTTTGACTAGCGTGCCTTGTTTTTAGCACTAAACTTGATGTTGTCCTTGGGCATTAATCTGCCAAGTATTGCAGCTTCATGTTCTTTATTTCAGCAGGGCTTAAAACGTATGGAGAAAGCCCTTCCCTCAGGTCATCTGGACCACCCAGCTTGTGCCACTGTAGTTTGTATATTTCCCATTTCCCCTTGCAATGAATGAATACCACCTGCTTCCTAATGCTATATTAATTGTTCATGAACAATTAATGCGTTGCTCATATTGTGCCCAGCATTTGTCCCAGTCTTGACAGCATTGAGTTTTTTGTTTTCTCCCCCTTTTCCCAACAGATAGCTGGCAGGAAGGAGGGAGGGAAGATGCCTACATTCAATTTCTCTCTCCTCTCTTCTGGCCAATGGTAGAGGAAAATGAATTTTAAGCCAATATCTTTATTTTTAAAAAGTTACAGCTACTCCCACCTTGTGCATATAGACAAGTTGTGGCATGCTACACTAATGCTTGCAAGGATTACTTTTAATTTTGAATTGCAGAAGAAATGCAGTTGCCCCAGCTTAAAGCTTAAAAATAAGTTGGCAAGGGATATTTTTTGCATCTCAAGATGAAAGACGTTCTCCAGTTTTTAAATATGTAACTGTTTAAAATCCATGCTTTATTTCCATTCGTATGCTCAATTTGATTTTTGATTTTTAAGGGAATAATTTCCATTACTTTCATTCTGCATTTGGTATACGTACATGTAAGTCATGCCCACAGGTTAGACCTCCTGCCCATCTTTCCCAGGTACACTCCTGACCACAATGGTGGTGCCTGCACAGATCCATTTAACACATAGTGGGAAGAAAAGTTGGTAGGTTCCAATCAGAGGATGTCTGAGCTGCCACCTATCCTGGAGAAAATAGTGGGAGGTTTAGTTTAGCAATTGCTACTCTGTAAATGATGAATTGCACTGAAAATGTTTGTTTATAAAACTGCAAACACATTTTCCCGCTTTTGTCTTTAATTTCTAACCTGCCTATTGCTAGGTCAGGAATTTATATAAATATAATGCACGAGAATAGATTCTGATTAAAATACACACTAAAGTTTGAGGCCCTTAAAAGCTTTAACTGTAATATTAAATTGCCTTTTAAAGAAAAAAAAGATAGTCACCTAGCTTGTTTACATTTAACCTGCACTTGTTATTGGTACCACCTCCATAACTTAAGCACTGCCTTACAAAGTTGACCATTTGACACCTCCATGCGAAAAAGCACTTTTGAAATTAATTATGTTAAATGTTAAGGTAGATTTTAACTTAAAGCAAATATTTTTTGTGGAGTTACTTATTTTCCTGGCTGCTCACTTTCCGTTGTATTGGTTTGAATTGTGGCTTGTGCACACATTAGCCCTGCTGGTCGGTATCCCCAGGCTTCGATGTGCAGATGGTTGCCTTTCTAAAGAAGGGCTTTCTTGCTGCTGCTGCTGCTTCAGTGTTGGCGAGAATGCTACATGCACATCCCCAACGCTTGTATGAAGCTGTCAGTTAACACTGAAGTAAACAGGGATGCTCTGCTGGCGCAAGGCTGCCTGTGCACATAATAGCTCTGTTGGCCTTCGGTTGGGGTCGTTGCTTTTCCTCTTGCTGTGCCCGAAGGTAGCTGTGTTTACTTTGTGTTAGATGCAATTAGAAGCAAGAATAGTAACACTAGACTACCTCTGGCATAGCACGATGGCAGCAGAGCATTAATCCTGGATAAAGCCAATTGCCGAGGGATAAATTCTGCAGAAATATTAATGTGTCCACAAACCTTTGATAGTCTTCACCTGCTCCCACATCCATTTCCACACACAGTAGAATTGGCTACATTATTATTTTAACTGATTTAGCTGGATGCCGGACTTGCATGACACTATGAATAACTTGAGTCCTCTGGCAGGATGACATTGACTGAAAGGTATAGATACTTTTTTATTTTAAAGGAACAAAATATTTGAGATCCTGCTAAGAAAGTATTTGTTTTACCTTCTGACTCTGAAAATGAAACTAACTCTGGAAAGTGCACCTTCCTGATAGATTGAGCTTGGTAAAACTTTATTTTCACCAAGAGATATAAGTATAATTGGGTTTGTAGCTGTTGCACCTTGCCTACAATTTGGGATGGATCATAACAACGTACAGCTGCAACCATTTATTTTGCCTTATGGTACATTTACTAATCCATGGCACAGATTAAGAGATGAACCATGATTAGATTAAAATCTCCACACAATTGCATTTGCAGTCACATCTATTTTCTTTTGAAGTGAGTAATCATAAATTAATGAGCACGTACATATGAGCCACAAACATGTTTCATTAGAATTTTGATACAATTTTTGCTTCCAAGAGTTCCATCCCAAATCTACAAAGGTTGCAAGAGGCTTCAGATCACAAACTGTAATATTCAGGTAGCTTGTGATTCTAAAAAACTTAATAAAAACTTTGTGATGTAATCATGCAAACAGTCAGGTGCCTAGTGTGGTCTTTAATCTTTCTCCTGTTTACTGTATTCTGTATTTTAATGTTGCAGATAAAATGTAGCTGTTCCTGTTTATGTAGTGTTTTAATTCTTAAATTAATTTGATAATGTACTGTAATGTTGCCTCTCAAAATACACATGTGCTTTCGGGTTAATTGTAAAATAAAGCAATATTTAAATTTATGTAAAGCTAACGGTTCTAACACAGAAAAATTGATTTTTTAGTATGATTTTTATAGCATGGAAAAATTAAACTATATATATATATATTTCCCCTTTCCCAGTCCACTCTCTGCTGCTGCTGCTATTGCTGTTCTATTTTGCCTTACTTATTTTGCTGTATCCCTCTTAATGATTATTTACATACCTGGCACAGTCTACTTGGAATTTCTGTCGTCCAAACCTCATTTGAAACAAAACGGGCTTGCAAGAGAGCATTTCGCTGCTCCTGTTGTGCATGGTGTGCACAAATGCAACTCCAAGTCACTTCAATGGGGTTTGTACTGGTGAGCAGTTCCTGGCAGATTGTGCCCACTGTATTTTTTTGCCTTATCCACGTTGCATGAAAACATCAGAGGATAATAATAATAATAATAAATAAGAGGCTTTAGTGAAATGGATTTATTTTTATAATATTTAATAACTGTCAATACCCATCTATATTAACTATATAAAAAATCATATTTACCTTTTTAGAGAAGTCTGTACAGGTTTGTGGACATAAATGTTAAAACTGTAAATCTGAATAAAGGTTGTTTTGGAGAAGACAAGTTACTTCCAACTCTTGCTTTGTCATTGATTCTTATCAGGGTTCCTCTCCTCCCCCGACTCTGACTCATTTGACAAATATTATTCCCAGATAATTATTTCAAAATAAGAGCTGGTAACACCTTTGCCGCATTGACCCAGCTGGAGTGGATGAAGCTCTGCTCAGTGCTAGCCCAGTAACCCTTTCCTTCTTGAATTAGACCCCCAATGGCACCCCCTCCCCGCTATTGCCAAGTTTTTTTAAAAAAAAATTGTTGCTGCACTTAATCCCTGCCTGTCTTTCATGCGCATCCTCACCTGGTACCACCTGAAGCATGTTGCTTGATCCTGTGGCATGGCAGGGCCGGCCCTGATCCTGCTTTCAATGAAAACAACATGACCCAGTTAAACTGATCCTAGGGATGTGCCCTCACACATACCTTTACATTGTTTATCATTTGTAGAGAAATGTAGTTACAAAGCTCTTGCAATGGTGGACCCAAGGACCTAAAAAACCACAAAAACTTGGAATCATATATGCCATCCCTGCATGTACCTCCCACTGCACAAACTGCTGCTGTAATGAAGTTGCCAACTTTAGAGTGCCTGGACCTTCTTGTGCTTTTGCCATCTGAGTGGCAGTGGGAGAAGCGGTTCATATGCATCTTCTTCCCATTCTGCAGCTTCTTGAGAGGAGGAGAGAAATCGTCAAGTTCTCTCCTGGAGCTGGTATGGTGGAGCATCCTTTATTTGTGAGGCCCAACTCCTGCACAAGCATATTGAAGGAGGGATAAAGAAATATCGCATCCCCATTGCCTCTACATGGGTAGGAGGCTTGAAGGATGGTACACAAATTGGATACAAGAGTGATGCAGTGGAGGAAACAACAAAGGGCACACCGTCATGAACTTGAAAGTGTTAGGTTGTTATTATGATTTTTATTTTTTTAATACTGCTCTGTTTTAGAATTTTAAAATATATTTTCTTATTATTAAAGTGATGGGGTTTCAACTATGTTTTGGTTGCTTATCATCTTATCTGAGCCACTGTGAGAGCACCTGTGATACTGAAAAGGGTATTCAGGTTGAAATTAGTAAGGACTGTAATTTCAATACCAGGACACTGCCTCCACTAAAGAGAAAAGGGTTTGCTAAATGCCCCGATAATTCAATTCCAGAACATCCATAGTGGGATGAATATAAATTTTCCTGACTTGAGGAATGCATTGTCCACTGAAGTTTATATGATCAATTGCTTTGTAGGATGGATCACAGAATAATGTTAGAGGCAGTTGGAACTTGAGCTATGAAGCTTCCAGGTACAGTGGTACCTTGGTTCTCGAACTTAATCCGTTTGACTCCCGAAACCATTCGAAAACCAAGGTGCGGCTTCCGATTGGCTGCAGGTGCTTACTGGACTCAAGCAGAACCCGCGTCGGACGTTCAGCAAACATTTGCAAACCGGAACACTTACTTCCAGGTTTGCGGCGTCCGAGAGCCGATTTGTTCGACAACTAAGTCGTTTGGGAACCAAGGTACCACTGTAATATATTAACATATATCTTCTCTCAACCTACATGCCAACTGAAGGGAGTGTCTCTCAGCTTGTTGCAGATTGAACTCTCCTCCCTTATCCAGCAACCGGCCCTCACACCTCTGACCTTGTTTTCAGAGAGGTTTACAACCAGGCTGGATTATATATTGATATATTGACCAAAACCAGTTTCAAATCCATCTCGTGATATCGGTTTCATAATTTTTGAACTGGCAGTATATTGCGAATCGTGTGTGTGTGTGATACAAAAATCACAATGTGGGAAAACCCATGAAGCCAGGCAATGCCTGCATAGCTCCATCCTTATTTCAGACATTGTGATATATCAGTATATTGCAATGTTTAGCAGTTGAGAACCAGGTATTGCCCAGTCCTATGCCACACAATTTGTGAACCAATATAGAGGAGCGTAGCTCACTTACTGGCTTATGTCCTGTGGCAATGAAGCCTGTACTACTCCAGGACAGGATGGGGCCTGTGCAGGGCTAGATTAAGGCAATCAGAGAGTCACTTGTCTTGCGGCTCACTCTTCACCTTACGAGCAGACTTATGCGACTAAGCGTGCCATAGGATAGGCTACTGGACAGCTAGTGCAAAGATCTGCATCGCGATCCCGGAGCCGCATGTGGCTCTTTGCAGCTCTTGCCGTCGGGACGGGCAGATACTAGCGAGCGAGGAGGCGCATGTGCGCAGCCTCGCACTGTGACGGGCAGCTTGTACTCCAGGCTGTGATCATCGGCCATGGGATGGTGAAGCGCGGTACTTATGCACAGTCCATCTAACTTCTCGCCCTTGCTGTAAGGGCATATACGCTGGTCATTGCATTGAAAGGGGCATGTACGCTGGTCACTGTTTGAAGGTGAGAAGAACACACGCACAAAAGGTAACTGTTAATTTAACGTTTATTTCCATGAGGAGGAGTAATCTGAGGTCAGACAAAGAAATAATTATTATAAAGTGACAATAAGTTATTATTATAATGCCCAGTCTTATGGCTCACAGTTTTTGATCTTCAAAAACGAGAGTCGAAGTGGCTCTTTTTGTCTTAAAGGTTGCAGACCCCTGGCTTAGCGGCTTTAAGAAAAAGGAAACAAACTCGCAAGACACAAGACGTATCCCGTTCTCACAGTGGCCAGCCAGATCCCTGTGGGAAACCAGACAGCAAAGAATGTTAGAGTGATGTTGGATTGAAAAGGAGTGGTTTCCAGCTGTACAGGATTTAAAGTTATAGATAAACTAAGATTAAGGATTAGGATTAAAGAAGTTTAAGGAAATGGAAATTTGGCTTTTAAAAGGTAAAATTTTAATGTTATATTATATTAAGATTAAAGATTGGGATTAAAAAAGAGGGATAGAAATTGCTGGACAAACAATTTGAACTGGAATACAAAAGAGGGAGATATGAGGAGGTCCAGAAAACAAGTAAATTTAAAGATGGAAATGAAAAGGTGATACTGTTTTTAATTGTTTTTTTTGTCTTGTATTTTGTTTTTTCTTTCTTCTTTTTTTTCTGGACTATGTATTGTGCTTTTTTGAATTGTGTATTTTTCGTTTATTTTTTTTGTTTAATCTTTTATTGAAACCTTAATAAATATCATTTAAAAAAAAAAAAAAGGGAAACCAGACAGCAGAACCTGAGCACAACAGCTCTTTCGCCTCCTCTGGTTTCCAGGACTGGTATTCAGTGTGAGCAGTAGCCTTCATGGCTAATAGCCACTGATAGACTTATCCTGCATGGATTTGTCAAACCCTCTTTTAAAGCCACCCAAGTCAGCGGCCACCACTGCCTCCTGCCGCAGAGTGTTCCACAGATTAAACAACTTTCTGCTTGAAGCACTTTCTTTCATCTGTGCTAAACCTTTCGGGATTCAGCTTCATTGGATGCTCACGAGTTCTAGCGTTGTGTGAGAAGAAAACCTTTACCCACTTTCTGCAAGCCACACATAATTTTATACCCTTAAGTGATGAATATTCGATTTACGAATCACTCCCCATATATAAAACACCCCAAAGCGAACCCTAGAGAAAGTCAATTTTAAAAATAATTATAATTTTGCCGTCTCTCATATAGCATGAGGAGGCTGTGGAGGCTCTCGGCCCCTTTATCGCACGCAACGCAGCACCGGCGCAATCCCCATGCAGTTCCAACGCGCGCCGCTAAAGGCCGCGCCCTCCCTCCCCGCCCGGCCGACATGACACAGCACAATAGCCAACAGGCGGGGCGGAGGCCGCGGTGCACGACGGGGGCTTGTTGGCGAGCGGCCTTCCTTCCGAGTGGCAGGCCCTTCCGGCTAGCGCGGGCGCGGCGGGGGAGGAGCCAGCGTCCCAGCCAATGGGAGATGGCGGTGGAGAGTGGGCGAAGGGAAGAGGGCGTGCTTCCGGCGTGACGAGCAAAAGGCTACCCCTCCCCCCGCTTCCCTCAGCCGGCCGGAAGTGCGGTAGCGTCTGAGGGGGAGAGCGAACACGGGGCGGGTGACAGTGGGGCGAACTGAGGCGGCAGGTAATTTTCGGGGGGGGGTGTGTGAGGAGGACTGGAGGTCGCAACCACCGGGGGGAGGGAGTGGGGGGGTTGCTAATTAGGCAAGGGTGGGGGAGGGGCGAGCGGGGTCCTCGCGTGTGAGGCCGAGAGAGAGACGCCCTTGAATTGACGGAGGTGGGGGAGGCGGCGGCTGTAGGGGGAGACTCACCCCGTCGCTGAATGTTCATTCTTGACCCAACTTCAAAAAGTCCCTGAGGAAAATGGAGGGGGAGGGGTGGAGCAGACGAGGGACCCCATTCGCACGTGGGGAGGACGAGGAGGAGGGGGCTTAACGTAACACACACCCCCGCGGCCTAGCTTCCAAGGCATACCGTTTATAAATTTTACTAAGTTCATTAGGGAACAGCAGCCAAACGCCGCAGCTTAGAAGAGTGCCAGGATGTTCCCGCATTGCAGGGGGTTGGGCTAGATGACCCTCGCCGTGTGCGGGTGCCCCTTTCCACTCTGCAATTCTTGCACTGGGGTATGTCACTCCTCTGTCCCTGCTTTCCTCCCGTTTTTTCTTGGTCGTCCGTCCCACGCATTTCCCAAGAAGAAAAGGACACTGGTTTCTGGTGTTGTTATTAGTATTACTATTAGTCAACCTTTTTACTTGCTTGCCACCCGAAGGTCTGCAAGCAACTTACAGCAAAGGAAAATGCACAGTACATAATACCACTTGCCCACCCCATTGCTGTGTGTTTAATTGGCAAAGCACTTCATTTTGCAAATTGGAAACCTATTATTACTTTGCTTGCTGTTTGTTCTCTCGTGTACCATTTTTAGAAAGGTGGGGGGGGGGAGAGTGACTTGTGTTGTTTACATGGAGTGTTTACATTCCATGGTGTGATAAACTTCAGCATAACTACCTACTCAGGCTGAACAACGTCAATGGCTAAACTGGGGTTTGAACTTAAGATCTACAAATATCAAAACTGGTAGTAATGATAGGATTCAAGGGTTGCCATCCCTTAAATTTGCCTTGTGACCCTGATACTCAAAACAGTACAGCCCCACAATTGATATCCTTTAATATGGTGCTGTTCTCAAACTTTACAGATGCCCTGCTTTATATTTAACAATTGCTTCTCACTGTGTCCATTTCCCAAACTTGGAAGTTTGCAAGGCTGTGTATTATGAACTGGTAGACCTAGAATAGTTCTTTTTCTTAGCCATTCACAAATATTTGGACTTGTTCCAAATATTTAGTATATTGTTTGTTCAGAGGTGGGAAACTGTTGTTCTCTAGTTGTTAGACTTGAACTCTCATCAGCCTTAGGCATCTTGGCCAGTGGTTAGAGATGTTAGGGATTATAGACCCAACAGCTTCCCGACAGTTGACATGGTAATTGGCTGGGATTCCAAAATCTGGTAACTTATTCATGCTGTTTAGCTAGGAATCAGCCATGTGAGCTTCAAAAATATGAGTCTGGTGAAAATATTACATTGTTCTTATGCTAATCATTTTAACGTGAACATATTTGCAGTGATGCAAGGAAATTAGAGTGATAACAGGTGCCTTTAGTCACTGTGACAAATATTATAGTTCTTGGGTAGAGCAGTAATTCTCAAAGGGTGTGGCAGGAGAGGATGGCAAGTGTGGCAGGAAGATTCAAGGACAGTCTAATAAACATTTAAACATTTCAGTGTCAAAACAATTTGTTTGCAGAATATGAATAGATATATTTTCAAAATGAGAGCAAGAGCACCAAGTGATTCTGAGGACAATCCTAGTTATGTTTTCCAATGTATTATTTCTTATCAATTAAAAAATCAGTGTGGCACAAGCAAATTTTTATTCTGAAAGTATGGTCCAGAGAAAAAAGTTCAAGAACCACTGGTATAGTGTTTATTTCAGAATGCATGGTGCCTTAATGCTCTAAAGAGCACTAGCATTCAGTCTGCTTTGTGTCACCTACGGTGGCTGTGTTTGTAGCCATGGTTTGTTCAACAAATCATGAGATGGCTCATTGCCAAGCAAGCAAGCCGCAGTTTTGTTTCTCCCAGGCTTGATTTGTTTTCCAGCAGCTGTTGCCTTGTGTCTCTAGTTTCGTGAGTGGTATGGAGTGGCTAAACAATTCATGGTTTTGAGATGCTATGGACTGTAACACCCCCTACCAGAAGACTATATGTCTTTGTCCAGGATTGTGTTTTACCACTTTTCTCCAGCTATGTTGATGACAGAGTCTTTATAACTCTGCCCAAATTTCTTTCATGATGCTTGTGTTCTCTTGCATCACTTGTTGTTGCTAATGGGTCACTTGATACACTCCAAAGTGCTGCTGTCATAAATGCCTTGTGGTATGGCCTGGGGCCACAAGCTGACCTGGGAGTTCTTGGCTTTTTTGAGGAAGAATGGATTTGAAAAGTTAGCAATAGCCAGCAAAAAATCAATTTCACTTGAGAGATCCTGTAGCAGAAAGTTAAGAGCTGAAGAAGCTTTGTCAGGAAACAAACGCCTGAATGCAAGAGGGGTTTGCCTCTTGGGTGCAATCTGATTCATTTCACCAGGATTCTTTAGCTGCTGTTCACTCCCTAGAGACTCAAGTTCTCAGAAGCTCTTTATAAGAATGATCAGAAGTCTGACTTGAAGAAAAGCCACAGCCAGGCAACGATGCTTTTCCTGTTTTGGAGAGGAGAATGGTGCTAGAGGACTACAGGGCTTCTTGGCGCTCTGCGCACAGGAGTAGTGTGTCATTGGTGAGTATTGCTTCAGTAACTGTTGCACAAATAGCTGTTCTTTTTGGACTGTGGCATCTCCTGGCATGGCATATATGTGTGCACAACAGGCTAATTCTAGCTGATTGCTAATTCCCTAAAGAATCCACTTTCAATAATACTCGTTAGTTTGTGGGCCTTTTGATTTATCTGTATTGTTACATTTTATATCCCATCTTTCCTCCAAGGAGCTCAAGGTAGCATACATGGTTTTCTTCCTCCTCATTTTATCCTCAGAACAGCCCTATGTGGTAGGTTAGGCTGACAGGCAGTGACTGATCCTAGGTCACCCATACTTTGATTTAGCTATTAAACTGCTAGTGCTATTCACTGAAGTGCATTCTAATTGTTGTTGTTTTAAAATGCTTTTTATACTTTCTGCTTTGGAAAAGTAGTTTACACTCTTTAAAAAAGCACAAGCAGAAGTCTGCTGATCCATCCTCAAAATAGGCCCCTGTTTTCCCATCAGGTCTGATGTAAATGAGCCTCTAAGCTATTCTGAAGGTGGTCCAAGTCCTCAGCTTTGCTTTTGCTCCCCAAGTTGCTAGTATTTTCAGGGATCTAGTGATAGTTAGCTGTTAGTTCTATGTATCTATTCTTTAAGTTGGTGGTACTTTTTCAGTTGGTGCACTATAGTAATGGTTTTCTAACTCTTCTGTTTTCAGATTCTGCATAAATATCTCTCAAAGCATTCTGACTCTGGAAGCTCCCTTCAATCATTGCTTGTTCCCATAACCAGACGGCTTTTGATCCTTGATGCTATTCTGACCCAAGCCCTGGTCAAGTGCTTACCAAAGATCAGAGGAAGGTTGGAGGGTTGGTACTAGAGATCTGAGTGAAGAGGCTGTTTTTCAGTTTGCAAAGCACAGAGAGAGGAAGAATTATCTGCAGGACTTGAATGAAGATGATCATTACTGCTGAGATGCTTGAACTGTTGCTCCTGTACAAACATTGTCCACCCCTGCCTGTAAATGGAAAGGATACTGTGATTGATTCAACACACCCAGGGAGTCTGCTTGTTCAGGGTGTACAGGAGTTCTGGCTTGGCCCCGCCCATTTAGGCTGTCAGATTGGTGCTCTTTAAGTTACCTTTAAAAGACTGAATTCTCGAAACCCATTGCTCTTCTGGGCCATAACCCTGGATTTGGCCACTGGTAGAACACTTGTATATTTGAAAGAGAAAACGTGCTTATTATGAAATATTATCTCTTTCCAGGATGTCTTCTGGTGCTTTATTTCCAAGTCTGGTGCCAGGCTCCCGGGGCTCATCTAGCAAATACTTGGTAGAGTTCCGTGCGGGAAAGATGTCTTTGAAAGGCAGCACTGTTACACCAGACAAGAGGAAAGGTCTTGTATATATCCAGCAAACGGATGATTCCCTCATTCACTTCTGTTGGAAAGACAGGACTTCAGGGAACGTGGAGGATGTAAGTAGAATGCTGCAGCCTAAAGGTGTATGCATTGATTTAATGCTGCTTCGTGTTTAAAATCAATGTACATAAGAGACTGTTAAAAGACATTTATGTACTAGATTGAGGTCTGTGGTTTGAAAAAACGGGTTTCTTTCTTCCCTGGCCACCTGACATGTATCTCAAGTTTGTGTGGAATTTGTGCATCTTGTAAGAAAAAGATAAGCATGTTCCCTAGAGGCAGGCATAACATGTGCATCTATGTAACTCCCCATAGCTTGCAAAGCCACCCCTGTAAGCTTGTCATGGGAGAGACATTCAACTGCAGCCTGACTGAGAAAGTGGTTAGTGATCTCTTTCTTATTGTAACGCACTTGGATAGTTTTGTGTGGAAAGTAAATAATAATTTGTTGTCATCTTCTTCCACTCCAGGACTTGATTATTTTCCCTGATGACTGTGAATTTAAGAGGGTGCCTCAGTGCACTACAGGCCGCGTTTATGTGTTGAAATTCAAAGCTGGATCCAAGCGGCTCTTCTTCTGGATGCAGGTTTGTAGCTGTTAGCAGATGAAGGGGAAACGAGGCATAAGTGATGCTAGTTGTTGCTGTGCAACATTGAAGCTGTGGATTAGACATCTGTCATGGAATGCAAAAATGCATTTTTCTTCTTCTCCCGGCAGGAGCCCAAGACTGAGAAAGATGAGGAGCACTGTCGTAAGGTGAATGAGTATCTCAACAACCCACCAATGCCTGGAGCTCTGGGTGGTAGTGGAAGTGGAGGCCATGAGTTGTCTGCCCTTGGAGGTATAGACCTTTTCCATGAGTCCTTTTCTGTGTGTTCTTTAGTATTAAGAGCGAGTTCTGATACTTTAGGGGGTTTGTTTGTTTGATTCTTTCATTGCAAAACCAGCTTTAATTGGATGTTTAATTAATGTAGAACAATAAAATAGTATTAAAAATAAAACTATAAGGCAAGCATAACAATTTCAAATATCAACTTGGGAAAGCTTAGGAAACACAGATGTTTAGGAAACATGAGATGTGTGGATATTCTTGATATTCTCCAGGGTTTACCTGTGGTTCTCTTTTGTATATTAGAAGCAAAACAGTGAGATTTTCCTCATAAAACCTGTTGCCATTTTAAATTGCCTGTCGTTTAGATGGAGAGCTGTAAAAATGTGTGAATATAATACGCTCTCATCTGTTTAGGTGAAGGTGGCTTGCAAAGTCTTTTGGGAAACATGAGCCATAACCAGCTCATGCAGCTGATTGGACCAACAGGCTTAGGAGGACTTGGTAAGCTTCTGTTGTACATTCATGCTAAAATTGTGTTTGTCTGGGTTAATCTCTTCCTAATGCTCCCTGCAGGTACTATACTTGGTTCTTAAGCAAAGTGTTCATAATAAATCAAATATCACTGGACAGAAAGTTGTGCCAAGTAACATGAGCTGATCCATTCTTTCCTCTATTCTTTCATTAAATGCCTGCAACATAGATACAGTGTTGTCAGAACATTAAAAGTGCACGCTTTGTAAGATTTCCCTGTGTGTGTGATGGTAAACCTCCTGCTTAATGGCATACATGAATCCTTCTGTGACTGATCATGCAGCCACTTTGCATCCTCACTGCTTGATGCCATCCAGTGGTCCAGAATAGAATGATTCCACCAGGAGGCAGTTTTCAGAGAATGAAGAAAAACAGGTTTCCCAGCATCTTGTGCTATTAACACAAAGCATGGCAGAAGCACAAACTTAGTTCTGTGACAACTGTTTCTACCCTTGAGGATGTTTGGCTTAGAAATGACAAATTGAGACTCAGAATTAATGCTTCACGTATCAAAGTGGACTCTCAGACAAAACTTGGCATAGAACTAGACAGATAAATCCTTTGTGTGTGTGCTTTTGCTTAAGTTTGTATACTCTAAATTGGACAAAAACCACTTAAGATGAAGAAAAGGCTGGCATGATGGCAAAAAGGAGTCTTCTATTCCTTCCTAGGTTTAGGCATGTTTTCAGTCCGGGTGGACCATTAATCAGTGAGAGCCTTCAAATGGACCAAAGAAGTCCTCCAGCTCCTCGCTGAATTTGTGTAAAAAGCATCTGGTCTTGCAATATGAGCTTGTACGTCTGTGTTTCTGGATGGGGGAAACTGTAACGTTACTTCGGTTATTTTGAACAAGAAGTCTACACAGTACAGCATTTTTAAACCTACTTTCTATTTATTAAAAGAAGTCTCTAACACACATGCTGTCTTTTTCCTTTATGGAAGGTGGGCTCGGTGCTCTGACAGGTCCTGGTCTGGCTAGTCTGTTGGGAAGTGGGGGCCCCCCAACTAGCAGCTCTTCTTCCAGGTAAGAGCATCGTGGCTTATAACTGTCCTTTTAAAAGAAACAGATTGCTTTAATAATACCTGATGCTTTGTTAAATTGTACAATATTTTAGTGAGGACATTTCTCTCATAGGTTTCTGTTTTTATTACATATTGCTGCAGTGTTTCAGATCCAACAGCCAGTGCTGTGTGGCGAACTTGTGGGGAAGTAGCTCCTGTGGTATCCGTCTAACATTTAAAGAGAATCTCTCCTATGTGTGGGAAAGGTGGAACCTCATTTCGGGATTTGTTTTTTTTTAAATGATATTTATTAAAAGTTTAACAATTACAGAAAAAAGAAAAAAAGAAAACAACACAAAATTTAACAAGACATACAATACATTTACAATACATAAAAAGGAAACCATAAAGAACAATATAACAAAAAAGAACAATAACACTAAAAATCCAATATTCCATATCTTTATCTTTCATTTACTTGTTTCATCGACCTCCTCACACCTCCCTTTTTGTATTCTTGTTCAATTAATTGTTTCAGCAAATTCTTTCCATCTTTCTCAATTTTTATTCTGTAATTTATCTTAACAGTCTAACCTATTTATTAACTCAGTAAATCCTTTCCATCTTTAACTGTATTCTATCATTAAATTACCTTAATTTATTTTAACCTTATCTTACCATAAAGAACCTTAAAACTTAAAACTTAATACTTATTTATACATAACTCCTTATATCATTTCTACTAAAGCCAAGTAGTTTCATTCCAACATTTTTCCTAACACTCATTAATTTTACACTAATTCTCAAAATGAATTTTTTAAAAACTTTCTTCCAATCTTCATCCAACGTCTCTTCTTCCTGGTCTCGGATTATGTCAGTCCTTTCTATCCATTCCATCTAGTCCATCAACCTGGTGATCTTCTGTCCGAGGCTCTTAAGACTCATTTCGGGATTTGGCTAGAGAAGGGAAATGGGATAAGATGGGAGATCAGAAAGGGTCAGTAGGGTTATAAACAATAAGTCTTTGGCTTATGTAGTACAGTGGTACCTTGGTTCTTGAACTTAATTCATTCTGGGAGTCCATTTGACTCCTGAAACCATTCAAAAACCAAGGCACGGCTTCCAGTTGGCTGCAGGGGCTCCCTGCACTCAAGCATAAGCCGTATTTGACGTTTGGCTTCTGAAAAATGTTCGCAAACTGGAACACTTCCTTCCGGGTTTGCCGCGTTCAGGAGCCTATTTGTTTGTCAACTAAGCCATTCGAGAACCAAGGTGCCACTGTAATTCTAGGGCTCATCTTTAAATTGCAATTTTAGAAGTTTGGGATTTCAAACTGAGGAAGGAGGCATCCCATTTCCTCCTTACTTAGGTTGTGTTGAGTGAGCTCAGAGCTTCTTTTGGGGGGGAGGGGAAGACCTGTTGGTACTCTGGAATGGCAATTCTCTCACTTGCTCTTTAGCTGTGGGAAACATCCCCGACTTCAAACTGTACTTGCAGAGGCTAACTATACGAATTGCCTTTTAGCTCTCGCAGCCAATCGGCAGCTGTGACACCATCTTCCAGTACTTCTTCCACACGGGTAACGCCAGCTCCTACAGCTCCCGCAGCAGCCTCTGCCACTGCCACTGCCACCAGTCCCAGTCCTGCTCCGAGTTCTGGAAATGGGACCAGTACAGCAACAAGCCCTACTCAGCCCATCCAGTTGAGTGACCTCCAGACTATCTTGGCAACGATGAATGTGCCGGCTGGAGCAGGAGGCCAGCAAGGTAAAAAAGGGGTGTGGGAGCCTCTGTAGCCTGACAAAAAAATGAGGTCTCCACAAAGATGCGTCCTGCCTTGTGCTTCCATGTTCCTTCCTAGCTGCTTTCCATACTGAAACAGTATTAGCAGCATGCTGTTTATCGTATTGTTTGTCTTTGTACAGGGGCATGTAATAAAGTGGTTTTTTGCCTCTTGTGTTTGCTGCAAGGATGGGCATCCTGTGGCCCTCTGGCTGTCATTGGACTCCAACTCCCATCACCCCAGGCAGCACGGCCCAGAACATCAGAGATGTTCAGAGTTGTAATCCAATAGTGGCTGGAGGGCCAGAGTTTCCCCATCCCCGCATTACAGTGTGTGTAAGGGACGCGGGTGGCACTGTGGTCTAAACCACTGAGCTTCTTGGGCTTGCCGATCGGAAGGTGGGTGGTTTGAATCCCCACGGTGGGGTGAGCTCCCGTTGCTCTGTCCCAGTTCCTGCCAGCCTAGCAGTTCGAAAGCACGTCAAAGTGCAAGTAGATAAATAGGTACTGCTGTGGCAGGAAGGTAAACAGCGTTTCCGTATGCTCTGGCACTTGTCACGGTGTCCCGTTGTGCAAGAAGTGGTTTTGTCATGCTGGCCATATGACCTGGAAAGCTGTCTGGACAAGTGTCGGCTCCCTCAGCCTGAAAGCGAGATGAGCGCCACAACCCCATAGTCGCCTTTGACTGGACATAACTGTCCAGGGGTCCTTTACCCCTTTTACCTTCACAATTTGTGTGTGTAAGAAAGAAGATAAGCAAATGGTGTAACACCAAGTGTGGGTCAAAATATGAAATACTTGGTTTTTGAAACAGTTTGGCTCCCAAATCAAATCTGTTTACCATGCTATATATATGTACTTAAGATTTAATTGTAAATAGGCTCAGAATTTTGATCAGCTGAGGTTTTCAAAAGAAGTTAGTTAATCATTTGGTTGACAATAAACAACAGAACACTGTTACAGGGGGAATAATTAATATCATAATATTCTGCAGAAAAATATGACTTGACATAAAATTAGAGTATTTCTTCTAAACAGAAATCCAAAACCACCTTGAATTTGCTTTCACAGGAGGTCATTATTTTGTTGACAATAGTGTATAAAGGGCAACTAGTTTTCCCAAAACAAGTTTCCGTATTCACTTGCAATTCTTGATCTTAGATGAGATGTTATTTTTGCCATTACAGTACAGTATAGCCAAGTCCCAAACTTTAACAGGTCATTCTTTCCAGGAAGTGAGTAATGTAACTAGTTTTTAGTCAATTAGCAGCTGTAATCAAATAGGATGTAAGTTCTTTATGGTCTTTCTTTAGGATAGGGGACTTACAATTGAGCAATATCAGTACTGGATCTAAAGGAACTTCATCTTCCAAACTTTTTTCTTATTATTCTAATAATAATCTTCCAGTATTTTTGGGTGCAACTGCATGCCTACCAGATAATGATAAAAAGTTCCATTCTCCCATTTGCACCTCCACCCTATTTTCAAATATGATTTATTTATTGCTGCAATAATTGCAGAAGTCAGATGCCATTATACCATAACTTTTAAAAACAATTTTCCTCTTTTTTTTTTTTTTGCATATTTTCTCCAAATATCTTCCACACCTCCATGCTTATGCTATTTCCTGTGTCCTTGACTGCACCTTATCATACAAACCTTTACTTGTTCCCATTTGCAGTTGTACTTTAACAACAGGTGATTAGACTTTTGTGGTGCCTGTGCTGTGACTCGCAGAGTTCTCCTGCAGCAGCTTTGCTAATTCTTGGTACTTCCGCCACAGACATTCTGGCTCTGTTTCTTTACAGTTGACCTGTCCAGTGTCCTGACCCCGGAAATAATGGCACCCATTCTGGCAAATACAGAGGTTCAAGAGCGCTTGCTGCCTTATCTTCCTTCCGGGGAATCTCTGCCACAGACAGCAGAGGAGATCCAGAACACACTGACCTCTCCGCAGTTCCAGCAGGTAAAAGTTTTGGTATATTTGGAAAATACGCTTGGAGGCAGCTACTTGGCTTAAATAGGAGGACTGACATACTGGGTGGAATTGGCTGAAGCACACCAGGAGGAATCTTAGGCAGATCCCTGCATCATCTGGAAAGCTATGTGATGAGGAAGGTCTAGTTATGAGGCAGTTGACTTCTCTTTTAAGGTCTTTACAAGTTTAAAAATGGATGAATGAGGATGGGAAAACCAAAGAGGTGGAAGTGGTGTCCCAGGCAACCCCTGTGTGGATGTACAGTGCAGGGCAATAGTGTCAACATTTCTCTCGCACACCAAGACTCTGCACTTTGTGTAGCCTGTCAAATTTGCTGGCTGGCCTTTCCAACAGTGTCTGTCAGCTATTTGGGTTGTCTTTCCCCCTGTTTCAGGATACTGTGCCACATTTCCCTCTAACCAATAAAATAAAGTTTGTGTCTGCTAAATGCAGTCTTGTGATTTGTTATTTATAAACCTGCCTTTAGAGTGGCTGAGATGGCACTGCTCTGCTGTAACCCCACAAGCTTATCTCTAATTACTTGCTGAATTAATTCAATGCTGATAGCAGTAATCTTAGTGGGGAAAGCTGTTTTTTAATTAGAAGATTGAAGAAGTTGGCTAGAAATCCACCCCCCCCCCCAAAAAAAAAAGACAACCCAGCTTGGCAAGAATGGAAGAAGCTCTTGTTTGAATCCTTTTCAGTTTGCCTGTTGTAATAAATCTCAGAAAGGCCATCACTGAGCTGGGTGTTGCATGTAGCCTTGGATGTCATTTTATTGCTGCCTTTGATGCCTCTTCGAGCTTTCATACTACCAGAGTTCTTTCTTCATCATCCCTGGCTTTAGAGCATGCACCCCCAAACTCAGCCTTCCAGATGTTTTGGGACTACAATTCCCATCATACCTGACCACTGGTCCTGTTAGCTAGGGATGATGGGAGTTGTAGTCCCAAAACATCTGGAGAGATTGGGGATGCCTGCTTTTGAGTGCTTGCCCCCCATCATTCTATGTTGCTTCTAAACAATAGGAAGGGATGGTATTTTGTTTTTCCCCCCTTGGTTGTATGGTACTTAGCTGTCTGAGAACAATTTGTTATGCTGCCACTCTGTGTATGGTGTTGGCAACATACTAAATTTGGAAATAAATTCCACTTTTCAGAACAGTAGCTGTATTGATCTTTTGTGCTTTGAAACCCCCCCCCCCCCCAAAAAAAACCCTATAATTGAAATTAGCCTTGTCAAGCCCAGTGCGGCCTACTTCTGCACCTGCATAGGAGGAGTGGGCATTCTAATCTTCCAAGTACCTATGTTGAAAACTGAAGCAGCATAGATTTTATTCTGGAATAGTTAATCCAGAATACTATTATCTCTGGCTGCACCTGCCACCAGAGTGCAGCACCTGAAGGAATGCTGCCCTCCGCAGGAATCAAAAAGGCTGCTCAGCCTTTGCTGTATAGAATCTTTCTGGAATTTGACATAGCTTTTTTTCTTTGCAGGCACTCAGCATGTTCAGCGCTGCCTTGGCTTCTGGGCAGCTGGGACCTCTAATGAGCCAATTTGGCCTACCAGCTGAGGCAGTAGATGCAGCAAACAAAGGAGGTGAGTTCATTTCCGTCAATAAACCCAAAGTTGCTCAGTGGCTGTGCAGTAGGCTCTGCTGGGTCAGAGGTCCTTTGTGTTGCAGTTTTACCAGAGTCCATATCCCTTCTTGATTTTGAAGCCCTCTTGAAGGCAGAGAATCAGGGTAAAAGGTGGCAGCTCTGGCTCAGCTCTCTGTAACCCAGCGAAATATATATAAAGATTGCTGTGGAATGGTGACACACTGCTTCTAATGTAGTGCTTTTTGTCCAGTTACAAATATGGACTGGAATGTCATTTTGCAGGCTAAGTACGTGACAGGTCTGAGCTGCAATGAACATGAGGAAGGGGGTGGTTAGACCATTACAGACCAGCACAGATGTTCAGATGTTTCCTTTGTCCACCTACTCCAGGCTTTCTGTCCTGGGTAGTTGTCTTCCTTTTGCCATATGCCGTTCACTTGGAGCCATGCATTAAGTAGCCTGCTTTCCTATTGCATGCTGCCATGTTATTAATTTGATGTGTCTTGTTTTCAGATGTCGAGGCGTTTGCAAAAGCAATGCAAAACAACGTCAAATCTGATCAAAAGGAAGGAGACTCAAAAGACAAGAAGGATGAGGAAGAAGACATGAGTTTAGATTAGGTTTCTTAACTGTGTCTTACGGGTACTCCTAGATATTTACCTTAAGATAAGTAGGATAACTAGCATACTTCATGTATTGAATCTGCAAGTAAAGGACCTCTCTGCCAAATTCATCCTGGGTATACTGGGTTTTCCCCCCACTTGCTGCAGTTTCAAACAGATGTTTGTCTTTGTGGCCTTAAAGTACACTTTGGCAGCTTCTTATTGTTGTCCTTGGAAACAAGTTTGGTTCACCCGATTAAATTTATAGTCTTGCATCAAATCCAGTTGCAGGTCTATGCTTGGGGTTTCTCATAAGGTAAAGGCATCACCTTGGCAGAAACATTTGTAATTTTTATATTTAGTTTGTTGTTGCAACCCATATCCAAGAGTTGCTGTAAAGCTATCCAAGGGCTTATCTGTATCCAGCAGAATATTTTGAGCTTTTAAACCCTACCTATTTAAGCAATTGCTTGGTTCTAACAGTTCTTTTGTAAGAAGTCCCCTTGTTCCTAGAAGGCTGTCTCCTGTTTCTACTTATTCTCCTCTCCATCTCCTACATTGTTTGAGGTAATCCTGACCCTCAAGTCATGTTTTTATGAATGACATGGGGCAGTAGGAATGAAAAAAAAAAACCTCTCATGAGAAGAATGTGTGATTCTGAAGGTTCCAAGGCAACCTGTCCCCAAATTTCTCACTCAGGAGTGTTGCATCCTCTGGGCTTCAGCCTAATTTTATGCAGGGGGCAGTCTGAGCCCAGTCCACTTTTAGATGGTGTGTAGTCTTCAACTATCTTCTAGGACAGAGGTTTCCAAACTCTGTTGTGACACACTCCCCCTGGGGCTGGAAAGAGGTTAGTTTAACCTCCAGTTTGCTAGTAAAATTGTGTCACGAAATGATGCATGTCTAAAAAGTATGTCACCAGCATGAAAAGTTTGGAAAGCTCTGTTCTAGGGACTGGGCCTCAATAGAAACGGGTTCCTTTCCCTGTTCTTAACTGGCTTGCCCTTCATAGCCTTGCTTCTCTATTAGCAATCCTTGCATGTTGAAGTAATAATAATAATACTTTTACTGTTTCTTCCCTTGCCCATCTGACTGCGTTGCCTCAGCCCCTCTGGGCAGGAAGCTGGGAAACCTCCCTTTGCCTAGCATCCTGACTTACCCAAATGTAACTGCATTTGACAGCTATGCCTGTTTTTGTGAGATACATAAAAATAGTGACAGGAATTTTGGTGGTGGAGAGCTTTTGGGAAGTGCCATACCTGAACTATAAAGAGAACTGTGCATTTGGCAGGCATTTAGACCTCTAAACTTCACTTTACAAAACAAAAACCTGCAGGAATGTCTGAGGTCCCTATAGCGCTTGAAACGGTTGTAAAGAAGAGTTTATATAAAGTGATTGTGGGTTTATTGGCAGCTATCGAGGCCCAGGCAGAGTATCTTAACAAATTCAGCACTACTCCATATCGTTTGTATGAATTATAGATCATAAAATTTTATTTGAATTAAAAGTATGTACCAGTGATTTACAGAGATTATCCCTTAAAAGTACAGCTTAAAAACAGATACTTACAGTGGTTGAAAGTGAAACCAATAATTGTTAAAACCCATTTTACAATATGTACCCCAGCATTAAAATAGCCAATATACTGATAAGTTATAAAGTCCTTTTCAAAGCAGTATCTTGACCCATGTGATGAACAGTGTATATACACACAAATATATATAAGGCAATCTCTAAGTGCACCATATACTTTTTTGGGGGCAGGGGGAGGGTGTTATTGTGAAGTTAATGCGCCAGGGGAGTTGGGAAACACTGGGTGGTATTCAATACCAGTCCTATTCAAGAGTAAACCTGTTGATGTTAATGGACATGGGCTTCTTAATTTCAATGGGTCTACTCTTGAGTAAAGAATAACTGACTTAAACCCATGCAAGAACTGAATGTTGAGCACAGTGGTACAAGAGTCAGCTGGCAGCTTAGTCCTCTGCTGCCTTCTTGCCCCAGGGCAATTAATAAGTAGACAATTTACTAGGGACATATTAAACTTCCTACCTCACGTGGAAATAGGGCTGTATTTCTTGCACAGTCAACCTGACAAGCTGGTATATAACATGGTTGGAGAAGCAACATGGGCACATTTACCGTATTTTTCGCCCCATAAGATGCACTTTTTTCCTCCTAAAAAGTAAGGGGAAATGTCTGTGCGTCTTATGGAGGGAATTCATGGTCCCTGGAGCTGAATTGCCCAGGGGTGAAAAGCAGATCATGCTTTCCCCCCCCAGAAAGACGGAAGGGAGTGTTGAAATGAAGCCGCTGAGCAGCTGGTCGGCAAGCGATCAGGAGGGAGACAAGGGACTCTAGCAATAAAGGAGGCTGCCTGGGATGGGGGAGGTAAAGCCCATGGATCCTCAGGATTTTTGCATTGGGTTACCCCAAGTTCACCATCAGATCACATAGCATGTCTGTGGCCACAGCATGAACCACAAAAATCATACATCCACTGTTTCGTTCAGAATATTTTTTTTCTCTTGTTTTCCTTCTCTAAAAACAAGGTGCGTCTTATGGTCAGGTGTGTCTTATGGAGCAAAAAATACGGTAGTTGACTCATCCTTTCCTTATACATTAAAGGTTATCTGCCCAAGTCGTAATCAATGGATTTAATTCTACTCATTAACTTAGCACCAAAAACATGAAATACTGTTTTTCTGAAACAACGAGTGCCTGGTTGGTAGAGACTAGACAAGCACAATGCAAAATGGCTTTGAAGCTCCAAGACTTGCATCTTGCACAGTTTTTCATTATTTCAGTAAATAAATACTGACCCCCAACCAAATGGTTCTCATGCCGCCAGCTGCTTGGAAATGATGAAATACAATTTGGATGATGGCAGCAATAAAGTTTTCATATTTAGACGTGCTTAAATAATTTTGTTCCTGTCCCTTGAGCCTTTCAGCTGGCTGAAGCAGTTGTTCACAAACTACATTGACAGATTCATCCTGATTAGAATCTTACCAGGTGTGGGGAGGAGAGAGGGAACACCTTATGCTTCAACAGTACTATTATAAATATACCATATGCCCTTGCCCTCTTCAAAAACATTACTGTGGACAATGTGTAAAGGCAGGAAAGCATCAATTACAAATAAAAACGGATGAGCCCTCCTTGCCCTCTCAACACACCTGCTGTTGGTGCTGAACATGGTCTGTATCCCCAGGTGGCAAGGAATGCTGTGTGTGCCCAAGCTTGAGGGACTGCTGGCTTCCTGAAGGGTCATGTGGCTTTCTGCAGTACTGACTTAACACGTACAAATAGTTTTTACATAAGTGGGCACTCTGTGAGCCCTACCGCTCCCTGTACAGTCCCAGCTTCTCTTAGGTTAATTTGGTTCCGGTTGATCACCAAGTTCTTCATGCAGCCAATGTAGGAGGGAAGATGAGCCACAGGTGCCAAAGGGAGGCCAGTGTCTTCAAGTTCTGTAGAAGAGCAAAATAATTTTTTACCACAACTGTAGGCAGTCCGAAGGTCATTAGGCTTCAGTTTCACTTTAAGCTAATTGTGACTAAGGCCCATTGGTTAACTTGTCTAATAAACAAGGAAGTGCACTCCATTAAGTACAAAACAAAAAAATATAGGAAGCACATACACAGCGCAGAACAGATGGATTTTGCTAGTGCCACATATAAGAAGAATTTGTGGCACAGATTTTCCCTATGACACAGAAAGAGCTTGTTTAACTTTGGTACTGCATAAACTGAGCACCTTTTGGAATGCAAGCATGGCTGCTGAACATTGGAACACTCCAAAATGCAAAGAGATTCTGTGACAGGTGCATAATGTTCTTCAGCAGGCAAACAAATGTGGCGATTCCCTGGGAATACTTTGAAATTCATTGTGCGAGGCTAGAGATGGACCACCTCAAGCCTGGGACATAAATGCAAGAAGAACAAGCTGAGCTATGGGGGCATTAAGTAAATTAACTGCAATGGTTTGTAAGCAGGATCCTCCCAAATATCCGTGCTTGAGCTACTCACCTGGCATTCCACCGAGGTAGAAGTTTTCTTTGATGGCTGCAGCATGGGCTTGGTTGGGTCCCACGGTGTAATTTCCCTCTGTGTCCACATCTAACTGAATCACGTTGCTGCTTTTGATTACTTGCAAAGAGAGGGATGGAACTAAGTCAGAGCTAGACATGCTGAGAAACCTCACCTCCCTCACAATGCATGAAGCCCTTGCTCCCACACAAGGGTGGGTTGGTTCAGTGTCTAGCACAACTTAAAATGAATGAGGCGTGTCAATTTGGACTAGCATATGGGCATGTAACAATTGCGCAAGCAGCTGGGTTTAAGAACAGCCCTGTTTACGAACGATTCGGTTTACAAACTCCGCAAAACCGGAAGTAGTGTCCTGGTTTGCAAACTATAACTTGGTCTAAGAACGGAATCCAAACGGTGGAAGGGCACTGGCGGCGGGAGACCTCATTAGTGGAAACGCACCTCGGTTTAAGAACGGTTTCGGTTTAAGAACGGACTTCTCGAACGGATTGAGTTCGTAAACCGAGGTACCAGTTCGTAAACAGAAGTACCGGTTTGTAAACTGAGGTACCGCTGTACTCTGCATTCTGCCTAGACGGAGCCGGTGCTAATGATCCACATGAAGTCTTAATCAGCATCAAAGAAGGAAATGGGTTGTGTTGGGAGGCACATGCATGGATATTTCCATCCTTCTCTCTAGCTCTCTTTCATACACACACTTTGACCAGTCAACATCCACACCTATTTTATGAAGGGATTTGACTCAGTGATAAAGCACATCCTTTGCATGCAGATGAGCCCACTTTTAATCTCTGGTGTCTCCAGGCAGAGCCGGGAAATATTCCTGCCTGAAACCCTGCAGAGCCACTGTCAGTCCATGCAGACAATACTGAGTTTGCTGGACCAATAATCTGGGTCCGTGTTAAGGCAAATTCCTAGGAAATGTTTGGTGAGATACAGAATACTGACTTTGGTTTGAGAAGAAGAAGATTTGATATCCCGCCTTTCACTCCCCTTCAGGAGTCTCAAAGCGGCTAACATTCTCCTTTCCCTTCCTCCCCCACAACAAACACTCTGTGAGGTGAGTGGGGCTGAGAGACTTCAAAGAAGTGTGACTAGCCCAAGGTCACCCAGCAGCTGCATGTGGAGGAGCGGAGACACGAACCCGGTTCCCCAGATTATGAGACTACCGCTCTTAACCACTACACCACACTGGCTCTCAAGCAGAACAACAGAGAGAGAACGGCTTGGATTTTGAGGAATGCTGCTTGGGCTGTGATGTTCTCAAAGCAATTAACCCCCCCCCCCCCGGCAAAAAAAGAGCACAGCAGGAAAAGATCACACACCTGCTAGCGTATGCCACTGCCCATCGCAGAGTGAAGGTTGGGTCACCGAGGTGGCAAATTCCCCAGCACCAGTGTTTGCAATCACAGTGACCTAATCCAGAAAGAGAAGATTAAGAGAATTTCCATCAGGATGGGAAGGGGGAGACAGTCCTGAACATACTTCAAATGTGGTTCAGCTGAAGTGGTGACTTTCTTTCTGGGAACACAGATTCCCCAGTGAGAAGACTGGCAAGTGATAATCTTGAAAAGCAGGGAGTTTTTTGTCATTGCTGATCTGCTCCTGGAAGCACAGCTGAGGGCGAGTACCAGGCTGTATAGGTGCCTTGAATGCATGCCCAAGTGTGCAGCCCAGAATATAGGGATGTATGAGCTGCTGATTCCTTGAAATCTACTGGATCAGATCAATGAACTGCACAGTTCCACTCGTGATGTTGTCATGTCCTTATAGGTGGCAAATGCATTTAGTGGGACGGAACTGAAGCAAATTCATGAGTTTGCAAAACAACAGCCCCAAATTTAACTCACGGAATTCTGCATGTACAGCCAGCTTCCCTCTTGATAACATTTGTAGCAATACACATGTTCGTGATAAGCAAGAGCTTTTCCCATGCAAAATAGAGAGATGCAAAACAGCCTGTGAAACAAACAACTTGGGCTCCTAGAACCAGGATTACGGGCTGTTGCGGCTGCGTTTTTTCCCAGTTCTGCACATGGAACAACAGGTGCATATTAAGCATATGTACCCCTGCCTTTCTGATTTCACGAAGCAGGTCTTCAGCTTCCTGAGAATTTCAACTTTTGCTTTTCAAGGTTCCTAGCTGTGAGACATAGGAAAGCTTAATGTTTGTTTGCAAAAGGCTATGGCTGATCCAGCAGTCTCAATTTCTCCTCAAGGTTTATAGTTCCTGTTGCTTTATCTTTACCAAATCTCCGATGTCTGTCTGCCCTAACCCCAACTCCAGGCCAATAAGACATTTACTTTTTGCTTTCTGGCTAACAGTACATTTTTGTACTTTGTGTGTATAAAAGGATCAGCCAAGCAGGTGTGATTTTTAAATTTTCTCTTCTGGCTCCCTTTAGAGACCATACAAGTTATTACTTCCAGTGTATACGAAGTGCTTGCAGACATCTTGCTGTCTGATCACGTTACCTTTTCCTTGTCTGTATACAGCCTGAGGTAGTTCATTTGTCTTGTGCCGATGTGAAATACCAAGCCAGACACACTCCGGGGGCGAATTTCCAGCATCAACTCAAAGTCCTGCCCAATAGCTACGGACCTGTCTGGGGGATGAAACGAGACAGCTGTCAGAGCAACAGAGAACTCATGGGCCTTTATGCCTTAGGAAAGAAGAGGATGTACTGGTGAAACTAGGAGGAACATGTGGGGGAGTCCAGCAGGGTACAGAAAGCTCAAGAAAGATGATCCATACAGTACCTAGAGCCACGTATCCTCCATCAGCAGAGAAAAAGGTGCCACTTTCCAAAGGACCCTCGTAACAAGGGGTCACACCAAAGAGGCGGGACGGTGAGACCAGAGGCTTCCTGTCTAGTTTCAAGTGCCGGATGCACCCCTTAAAGCTGGTAGCGGAAGCATCCTGAAGAAGGAAAAAGATCTTTTGAAGAAAATGCCAGCATCCAAACACATGAATACTTAGCATACCGGGCAATGGCCGCCCAAAAGGCAGGCTTTCATTCTTACTGCTCAGCGACTTTGTATTCCCAACAAGACTGTATATACAGTGGTACCTCGGGTTAAGTACTTAATTCATTCTGGAGGTCCGTACTTAACCGGAAACTGTTCTTAACCTGAAGCACCACTTTAGCTAATGGGGCCTCCTGCTGCTGCGTGCCACTGGAGCACGATTTCTGTTCTCATCCTGAAGCAAAGTTCTTAACCTGAAGCACTATTTCTGGGTTAGCGGAGTCTGTAACCTGAAGCGTATGTAACCCGAGTGTCAGGGAACTGCCATCGGAGCTAGAGGCGGAGGGAAGGCTCCAGAGGGATGGCGGAGAGGGTTCCAGTAGGGAGAGAGGCAGCCCGTCCTCTGGGGAAGGAAATCAGCGTAACACCAGTAGAGAAGGGGGGCAGATGGGGGAATCGGAGAGGAGGCTCCAAGACTCCTCGCCGGAGACCAGCGGAGAGAGTACGGGTACTCCGCTGCCCACACCCTCCCTGCGCAGAAGACTTCCACGCAGGGAGAGTAGGAGGAGACTTGGCGTCAAAGAACTTTTGTGCTGGAAGAAGTTCAAGAAACGCCCACTGACGGATTCTGCCAGCGACTGAGACAGTCACGATGCCGGAGGCTGTTCAGTCAGAAAGGGTTTAACCAGGTAACCTCGCCAGGAGTGGCGGCAACTTACGCACGAGCAACCCCTAAACCCATTACACCGAGGTACCACTGTATATATTTTTGTTTTGGAGAAGGTGGGGAGCCTCAGACCTGGGGGCTGAATGTGGCCCTCCAGACTGTTATATCTGGCCCTTGGGACTCTTCCTAGGCCGCACCTCCTCACTGGCCTCGCCCTAGGCCATCCTTGGGTGTTTTCTCCTGCCTGGATTGTGTCTCAGAATTGTGATAATGCTTCTTGGTTTACTGGACAGAGATGGAAAGGTGTGTGTGTTTATGTAGGAAGTTCTGCCTTTTGTGGGTGGAAGGATGCCACCTGTACAAAAGTACAAAGCCACATCCACTTCTTTGCCCACTTTTGCTTCTGGCATTGCCTTTAAAGGGCATGCAGCCCCTAGAAGGTTTGCTAGCAGGAGATTCAGCCCTTGGGCAGAAAAAGACCCCTCTTGTAGATGCTGATGGCTTTTAGTCACTGGTGCAAGATGTAACCCTGGAACTCCTCTGCATGTTTACATAACTGTTACCGGTGGCACCAAAGGACCAGTTTGCAGACACAACAAACTAGAAGTAGGGGGGGAGGGACAGTAGGCATGTGTCCTCCCACTTACACTTACACCCATCTTTGTGATGCAGGGAATAGTCTGAATTCTCACAATCTTGCTACCCTCCTGCTTTAGCAGGAAGGACTGTGAGGACTGAGCATACCACCTTATGGCCTGTATTATGGGTGGTACATGCCTTGGCCCACTGCTCTATCACCTGTATGGGATTTTTCAGTTTGCCTATAGTGTCAGCTGGCTCTTAGGCAGCGTGTGGGCAGGGGACAAACTGCTCCCTGGGTCCTCACAAGGGCCCCCAGACACGCAGCCCTCGTTTTCTGA